TGAACTGAAAAGTGTGTCAAAGAACTGCGTAAAAACATGTAATGCTACACTTGCATAACCAGGTGACTAAAAATCAGCAGGTTGTTCAATTTTGCTCCCCCTTCGTACCCGCCAATTAACTGGTGGAGTATATTTAATTCACGTGCTTTCGTTAGCGCGTAAGTTTACAGTTTTTTCATCCTTTTGACTGCAGGCTAGGTATCATGGGTATCATTACCAGTAAAGTGTGACTGAACAGTGTTGCATGATCAGAGACTAACAAACGAAATTTCTAAACATTTCAAGATAAGCAGAATTACCATTGGAGCTTAACAGGTATACAGTTAAATATCTTATGAGTTTTAAATTCATAAAACAAAACTTAATCCGAATTAAATGTCATTCACTGGCAAAAAGCAGTGCAGAACTGACAGACGAAGTCTTGACTATGATATATGGAAGTAGACCAGCCCGCTCAGACAAATCTGCAAAGAATCGTAGTAAAAAAAGTAAATTTTCACACACCACTATGCTTCCCGTTGAAGAACTGGGCACTGTAAGTACATGTCGGGAAAGACAATAGCATTCTGGGCAATAAATAGATTATTTTACTGGCTCCCAGTTTCCGTAAGCAAATTATTCCTAGATCGCAAAGGAAAGATATATCAATTACTAATTTTATTTTAAACATATTCAACTATTGATCATCTTATCGCCAATTACAAAGTAAATTTATTACAGAGTACGTGTGAAACAAATTTTTCAAAAAAAATCTACTTGTAAATTTTCTCCTTTCTTCTCTCACAACGAGTGTTTTATGAGGAGTATCCGCGCGCGTCTCCCAGTACATGTTGCAGGTCATTTTATGCTAGTCACACTCAGCCAATTAGCAGCGTTTGCGAAGTTTTTTAAATGACATAATCTGCTGGTAATTGACAGACGTGGCGTGAACACATATAACCTTGGCAATGTTTATTTCTTTCTCGTGTGCAATTCTGATTTGTTAATACCAGCGATTACGTCATGACTCGGTTAACTTGAAAACTTCGAAGTGTTCTCCTTTGTTTTCTAATCTTACCTACTGGCGATCATGTTAAATTCATAAAAGCGAAGCAGATTTCTTGCGAGTCTTGCCTAGCAATAAGATCGTTTGTACAGTCGGTTTCAACTTGGACCAACTAACATAACTTACTGAATTTTTCCCTTGAGTAGTTTGTTGAAATATGACTAATTGATCAAATCTGCCCCGAGCAATAATTCGGAAAGGTAAGTGACTTTGATGCTATAGGACAAATGATATGTTATTCTCGAAATTTTCAACATCAGGCTGAATTTTAGAAGAGTATTGAAATAATAAAAAAAAGATACGGACATGCTCGAGCTTTAACTCTTTGAGGGAAATAATAGACTTGTTGAAGATTTTCTGAGGCAAAAAAAATAAAAGAAATGGTGCCAGTTTTGCTTTGGTGTAGTGAAATTCCAAATTCAGCGATCTTGAAATAAACTTGCAAACTTCGTGCAAGAAACTAGAATTTGATAGAAAGAATCATTGTCACGATGTCGGCAACTGATCATAATTATCCACTGGAAAATGATTATGGTCATAATTATAATTACAATTGGTTGTCATTAACGTAATGACTTTTCTGATTATGATAATTCTTATGATGATGGTGACAGCGATGATGATGATGATGATGATGATTACTATAACTATCAAACAAACGTTTCATTACATCTCAAGAGAGAGATGAGATTAAAAATCATGTTTGCCGGCAAACGCCAAGCGCCAGATTCAAGTTGAAAATTTTTCAAGTAAGGAAAGGAGTAGATCTGAATATAATTAAACTGTCCAAAAATATTTATCATGAATGAACCTGACGCGAAACTTAATTTATTTCTGTGTCGATATAATAAATATATAGTAAAGGACAAGTAAAGGGAAAATCTGGGTCACGTGTAACTTTAAATCTCTATTGACTACCAACAAAGCTGAAATTTAAGTCAAGCACAGCACAAAGGAAATAGCTTCTCTCAATCTCACGATCACCTGCTTTGGAGTTTTTTCAACCATTTCAATATCAATACCTCTTTTAATTTGATTCTAAGATCTGATTATGTTCTCCAATTTCATCAGTTAGCTCTGGTATCTTTTGTCTTTGTGTTTATTTTGAGATCACAAAGTGTTTAGCCTTCAGTTGCTCTCTTAGATCGCGCCAGAATTAATAATTGTGGACATATGAAATGAAATTTTTTACTTTTGAGCTTGCAAAAAAGTACTTTTTTTAACTCCAGATGCACGTAAATTTTGCTCTCTTTTTAATTAATTTTGTGAAACATATAAATTCTCTATTTTTAATAGACTTGATATTCATTTCATATTATCAATACTTTTGAATTTAATCATCTGTGAAAGTTACAGTTTTAGTGAAATGCACATCTGATCATGTTTGGAATGTTCATTTGCGCAATATTAAGCGATGAATATTATTATTATGACTACTTGAATAATCATTGATGTAATAGAAGTCCAGTAGGAGGAAATCTGCTATGTTGGCTTGAATAATATGAATTCAGCATAGACGTTGCATAAACGTTTTGTTTCATTTAGAAAAAAAAACTTCCTTTTTCCCCAGAATAAGGAATTAAGAATTGGCCCAGGTGCGGAGATCGAGCAGGCGACCTTCCACACCAGCGCTCAGTTTAACCTACAATGGAGGTCAAAAGCACTTAGGACTGTGTGAAAAAAACCCTTCCAAGTAATTGTTACATAGGACTCTTCTCCTAATGACAATTTTCTGATCTGCTTTGGGTTCATCCCATTGTGCTAAATTTTCAACATTGTTTGGGATTGGACTGGAGGGGAGGCTAGTTTTACTAATATTACTGGAAAGGTCCCGACAATTTTGAGCCCCATTGTAAGTTAGACCTGCTGCGATTAAGAATTACAGGTTATTATTGTTGCTTAATTCATGAATATTCCGAAAATTTCGACCTTAGCTAGAACTAATTTAATGTAAATTAAAAAAGACAAATTTAAATATAAACGATTTTCTGATTCTCTTACAGTGCCATCTTTACAAGATACCGGGAATTGAAAACAACTCTGGAAAGATGAGTTACAGTTCGTTTTCTGACTTTCTGAACTTCTCAAGAGAGGCCAAAGACATGTTAAGTACCAGTTCACTATTGAAAGGAGAGACTGGTGACTACTCCTTCCACGCCGATGATCTCCACATGGGAACTGGTCAACAGGCGAAAAGTGAAAGCCGTGAGTGTTACAGTAACGCATGCACGTCGAGGTGATTCGTTGCTTCCTTTCTATGGCCGGCGCGCCAAGAAAGCTTCAACAACACTTTGAGTCACTGACTGATTTTCTGACTACCTTGATTTTTAAAGTAAAAAGTATAAGCCATGGATGAATCCAGTTCTGAATGACTGTAAGACTAAAATGAATGGTTAATTGATGAGTATACGACTTATCTTCATCACATTCCCGCCCGTGTATTACCCCATGTTGAAATCTCGTTTATTATATACATACTGAGAAATACTCGCCAAAAAGCTATGTCGTAAATTTTCGTACGCAAATTAGTTCTAGCCAATCAGAGGAGCGAACGATGGTTTTCAGGCGTGAAAAAAATGATACGTCCAATCAGAAGCCACAGTGTGAGTTTCGCGCCAAAATTCCCACCTTTTATTGCAGCTTACAACGCCGCTTCGCAGGCATTCAACGAGAATAGTTTTACTCAAAGAGTTTTTCTCGCTAAAAAAGTGAAAAACATTTTGGAAATGGAGTGGAATAGTTTCGTTTAATTCACTGTCGATAAAGAAAACGGTAGAGAGCCGGCGCAACAACAGCGGAAAGGGAAATACAGAACGAGACGTAAGCTTTTGTTGTGCTTTTTGTCGGAGCTACTGTGCCTTTCATTTAAGCTTTAAGCTCATATTGAAACCGGTCATTTTACTTAAATTCACTCATTTTTAATTGTGCATTGACAACAAACAGTTAAGATTACTTATAGTTCTCGGATTACCTCGTTTCCTTACCGTCATTTATGTTTTTAACAAACGCTTTTACTAAAAAGCTGATACTTCGTTTTCGTTGTCATTTTGCGGTAAGTGTGTAGCGGCAAATTTTAGCATTTTTCAAAGATTTAAAATAAAAAGGCCGCCAAAATGATGAATGTCTCAGTCTGTATATAATAAACACAATACCACATGGAAAGTGCTTTGTACGGTATTTACGCACTTGTTGTTTTTGTATCAGAAATCTCACTCGTTCGCTGCGTACGCCAGCACTTTCCAGGAAGTATTCTCTATTTTAAGCCTTTTTGAAACTGATGCATATAATATCTCAATAAGCATTCACCTCTTAGACCATTGTAGGAGAATTTTATCATTTTTTCTAATGACTTCATTTAAGCGTTATTACTACGTACCTTTGGTTTCACCAAGGCAAGGGTAGGGGTGATAGCTCGTTATAACTAACACTGGTGACAAAACGAAGGAGGTTGTTTAGGCTCATTTTCCATGATGGTAGAAAAGGCATTAGAGAGATTTAAAATCATGTCTACGTCAAACGACAAACGTGAGTTTGTACCACTTGATCAAGTTTCCCTTTACTTGTCACTACACAGAAATCAGTGGATTTAGACCAGTTCCACCCAAAGCAAATGTTACCAACTTTTTTTATCTTCTCAATCAGATTTTTATCTTGAGAGACTGACGCTTGCCATTTACCGTAACGTGATTCCAAATCTCTCTATTAACCCTTTAAGCCCCAATATCCGGTACATTTCCTTACAGAATTAGTTGAGAGAAATTGATAAAAGATCAGAGATTTTTCTCTTTGTGATCATTTGAATAATTCTCGTAGATGTTACACTTGACAATCTATGGATATTGTTAGGAGAAAATTGGTGTTGGTCACTATTTGGGACTTAAAGGATTAATATGATAAATTTTTGTTCTGGTCTTCAGGCGTCACGGCGGATTCATGGGCTTCATGTACCAAAACAATGCAAAGCTTACTGGAGCAGTACATGAACGATCCGAATTCCTTGTCCTCTTTCAAGCAAATCATGTTGGCTCAAAGCACTTTACAAACGAGCATCAGCGATGGAACAGAAAATTCAAAGGAGCAGGTGACTTGCGAAACTCCACCTCCTCTACTTCATCGACCTTTTAAACGATTTCTAGTGCAAAGTGACGCAGATGACTCTTCACCAGAAACGAAGCGACTACGACAAGACAATGGCGAGAATTACTCGCCATCACTTTTTAAAAACTGTAGCAATTTTCAGGAAGAAATGTTTGGAAAGTATCGGTCAATTGGAAGCTCATCAAAGCAGTTGCGTCCTCCACCACCTCTCATGAAACAGATAGGAGTAGAAAGCAATGGGCTGGAACATTACAGACGTAGCCCACAGGATCATTTTATTTTCACAAAAGAGATGTGCAAGCCGAATGCTGAAAAAAATAATACCATTCACAATGGACATGGTTCTAAAGAAATCAGTGTTGAACTTTCGTCGACTTTTTCACCAGCTTTAAAAGTAGACCCAGCACCAAGAGAAATCGAAGGCGACTGTATGTCTTCTCATGGGGGCTACGCGTTTGATCACACTTCAATGCCAAAAATAGTCGCAGTACATTCCATTTCAAAAAAGGGCGAAGATACAGACGAATGGGAAAGAAACAAAGCGTTCATCGCTAAAGTGAAAGGTTCGCATGCTAAGTCTGGCAGGAACAATTCTCAAATGGTCAGATCTGCTTCTGAGCAAATCAAAAGATTAGCCGCCCAAGCTGCCTCTAATGACAAAGACATACAACCACCTACCGTTGCAAATGAAAGAAAGACGGCTTCGGAACATGTTTCGTTTGAACGTTATGTCCTGTACCATCTTCTTTCCAAGTACCAGGGAAACGTCGACAAAGTCCAGCATATCCTTAAACAAAACCTGCTTCAAGAATGGTTGTCCTACTGTCAAGGAAATGCAGATCCAAGGCTACAAACATTTAGTGGGATTAATGTTTATGAGCTTAGAAAACTCTACGAAATTTGGTCTCATTTACAAAGAACTAAACAGCCCACTGGCAGCCTTGTTCATACTACCTCAAAAGTTCGAAATTCAAGTGGCTTACAAAGGCAAGACAATTTAGTGTCTGCACAGAACCAGCCGGTTGGTTTTTCTGATTCTCAAAGTCCCGGAGACTTGCAGCAATTTGAAGCAGCTTTTGCAATGCAAAGACAGAAAAATGAAAATCCTCAACATTCTTCAATCCATTCAGCACGAGACCCCTCGAAATTTGGACAACACAATACAAATAAGGTGATTGCAGGCGCACAGATGGAAATTTGTTCAAGCGAAAACAGTTCAGCCAAAATTCAAGAAAAGTATAGTGTTCTATCACAAGATTCATTAAGAGGAACACTCCGCCGCAACTCTTCTTCTTCGCCAGTTGTGCCTAACCTTTATCAAAACGAAAATACAACACGAACTGTTTACTCTTCAACTTATAAGGCCACGCCGCAACCGTCGCCTTTAAGACACTTTTCATTTCTGAACAAGGAAAAGCAGGCAACATGTTCATCGACTCTCGAAAGTTATCGAGGAAATAGCATCATTAAACCCGCCCTGATGAAAGATGTTCCGGGTAGGTTAAGTAATCAAGTTGGGGCGGGCGCATTTTGGCAAAATGAAAAACATGTTAACATGAATCTTTTAGAGGCTTCTCAAAAGAGACTGTCAAATTCTCTGTTGCAAGATCAGGAGAGAGTTAAAAGAACAAACACTGCATCTCTAACTCTGCTACGAATTTCACAAGAAGCCTCAACACCAAACCAAAACAAATTGTTGTCTTCAGGAAAACAACCTCCAACACTATTGGTCAAGGCGTCTCGAAGTAATGTTCTTGGCAAAGTAAACCAGGGATCTGTTCAATCACATCATCCTTCAAAAGAAGTCTGTCAGCTAAGAACAAATATTACCGATGCTGTACGAAGTCAAGAAACAAAGGCTAATTATCTATGGCGTTTTAAAGGCGGAAAGCTTATTAGTGATAGTATTGACAATGGAGAAACAACTGCTGAAGTTGACATTCGGCAAAAAATCGCAGAGTATTATAGTTGCAACATTCAAATAAGCCAAACTGATGTTGAAATACTCGATCAAGAGCACAAGAAAGTGTGTGGAGCTGCCGCGAATGGTCAGCGGTGTTACTGCATTTTAGGTCCCAAAGGTAACTTGCAGAACACAAAAGAGGAAACGAATCCAATTCAAGGTGATCAAAATTCGATAAAGAAAGAAGAACAAGACTCAGCATTACGAGCCCTGTTACTTCAAAGTCAAGGTTCAAACATGAATTCCAAAACATTGAGCAATGCTTCTATCAATCCGTCTACTCAGTTACACTCACATCATACACAAGGTTCTAAAAAGGTTCATGAAGGTCTCATAGAACGTTGTGTCCAACCTTGTACTGTTCTTCAACATTCACCTAAAGGAAGAGCCAGTGTTGACCTAAAAGTAGCAGAGGACACCAAAAAAAACCATGTTGACCTCACTAATTCGTTCAATACACCTCAGACGTATGCCATTCAGAAGGCAATGGGAAATACACAATTCAGCAATGAGAACGCAGCTCATCGCTCTATTGATAGACACAATGTCAACTGGAATGGAGAGACACACAAAACTGTGACCAGTTTTCAGGATAAACCATCCTGCAACAGCTTTCATAGTTCACAGGGATTTCAGTTATCTTCTCCTGGCTTTAGTCCCTGGAATGAGGCAACTGGCCAAGCATACCACAGACAGGAGCTTCAGTCACTCAATGCTGGGCTCATCAATTCTAGTGCTGTACAGGAATCACAACAATGCAGCACCAGTCTTCAGATTACACAACGTAACTTGGCATCAAATGTTTTCAATCACCGCCTTTCACCTTATGCGCAGCCAATCCAAAACTCCAGGGCGAGTCCTGTAGTTTCACCACCGAATTCACAAGAGAATCAACTAGCAGCTGAAACTTGCCTTACGAAACAGTACAATGTACAGCAGACCCCTTTACCAAGCAATACTCAACCTACTTCGCCTGATGCTCAGAGAAAACAGCAAATTTTAAATGCACAAAAGTTTGTGTCACGGGATATAAACACTAAGCTGGAATCAGAGGTCAAATGCTCATTCACTGCGCATAATGAGCAGCATTCTAATGCAAGTCACCACTGTTTACACAGCAACAGAGAAAAGAAACAGTCCAATCCCAGCTTTTATGTTTCAAGCAGTCCGGTTAGAACCCAACAATCTTTCAACCGTTGTAATACTCCATTGACTGTACACACTTCTCGACAGTGCAATGCAAACGTCAAAATCTCCCAATCTTCACAACCCCCTGTACCATCAGTGATAAGAATAGCACCCAAAGTTAACAAAACGACGATACCAAACGAACAACCAGCATCGACTTTAAATTCCTCTCTTCCAAGAACAAGCGCGAATAAAGCTGGACTCCTAACTGTTGCTAAATTCGAAAAGTCAAAGGAGAGTGAAAAAACAAAAGAGAAACAGTCCAGTTTTCACACGCCTCTTTCACCGAGGAAGCCGCAATATAACTCTTTACATCAGCTGGCTAAAAAGATCGCAGAGACTCGTGAGAGATTTCAGATGGAAAGTATCCCCTGGAAGAAGAAAATTCTTAAATCTCTTGAAGGAGTGTTGATGAAGAAGTTAAAGAAAATAGAGAAAGAAACAGGAGAAGAGGCTGATCTTGGCATGGCGGCGATCGGAGGAGATTCTGTGTCTGAGAATACAACGTAAGCTAAGGGGACAACAATCAATAGATAAAGTCAGGCTAAAAGGAACTATGACGAAGCTGAACAACAATCTACATCCTGAAATAATGAATGTATGAATTTCATACTCTAGGCTGAAGAAATAAATCTCAAGAAGATCATCGCAATTAAATGTAATGTAATGTAATGTTGTGGATTAGAGGACGCGCCTACTTTACATTATATATGACATGTTAACAGTAAGCGCGCACGTCAGTATACAACACACAACTCAGATCAACTTATGCATTTTCGAAAAGAAAGCCTAAAAAAATAAATCTGGCTTTCTTTTAGGAACTGCATAAGTTGAACTAAGTTTCTCTTCAAACTGCGTGTGATGATCTGCACATTTAAATCTTCCGCATTCTGTCAAGCAGTCAATAGAGGTGTCATCAAACATAAACTTTGACGATTTGACTTTAAATTAAAAGTAATACTAGAAACGACTTACATGCGAACGTTTCACTTAATTAACTTAGGAATTTATAACAAACATTTGTTTGCACTTTTAAATTGTTGAGGCATTTTTTTGATTTTCTGTAACTTTTCAAAATATTTTCGCGCCAGTGTTTCTCGTGATTACAGTTCATAGTGCCCAAAGAGGTGGGAAAATAAGAAAGAGTGAACTTTACAGCATTTTTAGGTTAAATTTGTGTTTTAAAATTCGTTTTTTATATCCGCATTTTTTGTATGCTGTAAAAATATTTAAGAATGACCAATGTCTTCGTGAAGGCTTGCGTACTTGTCAATGTGTCAAGTTGTTTTTATTCCCGCGTCACTCTCTTGTCGTCCCTACTCAAAACTGCACTGAAATATAGTTTACGGCTCAAATTTGGATAAAAAATATAATCTGCCTTTTGCCATGTTTTACTTAAAGATTTTTCTTGCAAATTCTTCATTGATCGCCGTTGATCATAAATATGGGAATCTGCACTGATGATGATGACAAGATATCCGTCACCACTTCTGGCGTTTAATCGAGAATTTTTGCGACATGTTGTAAGAATGCTTGTGTATGATGTGCCGTTATAGGAATCAAGTACCGTGGGCTTTATTGTGTCCTTGAGTAACCATTTTGGCACAGGGCGAATCAGTGAACGCCAAATAACGCGAACTTGGCCCTGTTAGGAGTTTTAAACCATTCTTTGCATCCCGACACCCCGGGGGGTACTCCTGAGAATTCTTGGTGGGGTGTGCCGCCCGGTTCTCCAAATCCTGACCCTACTAAAAATGTACTTTTCCACACCCGTTTTCAGACCATACTCGTTTTCAGACCTGGACTTTAGGCAGAAATTATGTTGTCATTACTTAGATTAAAGCGCAAACAAAAAAATTCTTCAAATCCATTTCGAATTCGCATATTTCCTTTTCTTTCTTACTCATTTGGAATTGAAACGAAAAATACGTTCATACACTCCCGCACGTAGTTCGCTCGAAAACCATACCCGATTCCAGACCAAAATGGGCAAAGTGTATACCTGTTTTCAGACGAAAACGGCACAAAAACCCTACCCGATAGGGTGGCACATACTTATATCAGGGCGTACCCATCCCCTCCCCCGGGCCCGACACTTACTGACGTAATAAAAAGTGTATTATGGCCAATTGTGATAGCCTGCGTTGCAGACATTATTTAACCTCGGTCAGTAACGTCTACGAAGCAGCGCCGATATCCTTGTTCTAGGCCCTCAACGGAATCAATTAAAGAATTACCGGAAATATGTTTCGAATTTCCTTTCAACATGATTGGCAAATCAAGTATTGTTTTTTTTAACAGGCCAGTCATGGCGCAGCACTTAAATCCTGGTGCATCGTGGGTGGGGCCCAGATTAAGGATCCGGAATTTAGAACAATGTTTTGAGACCACTGTGCGTGCGCAGTAACTTCGCACAATGACAAAATTTAGCGTCCGCCTAAGGATTAAGCTTCACTTAAATGTGCAATTTGTAGCGTTTAAATCGTTTTGAGCCGTTACTTACGACTATACAATGGTGTTTGCCTGTTTTTTTTTTTTTTTTTTGTAGAATAACCAGATCGTTGGATTTGTTTTTGAAATTTGTTATGATCTTATTAAATTTTCAGAGTATTCTCAGTAGAGGAACTGATTAGGCTGTAATTCGAAAGGCATTAGCTCACTATTTCTACCTTTAAGAAGGTAATTTTTAACTGGGTTTAAAATTTCTTTTGTATACAAATCTCAAGACTCAGAGGAAAATTTGACAAAAATCGAATATTTCGTTGGGATCGCTCAAACATCATCAGCGATGCATGTGAAATGCCAGGTTACGTAACAGAAAGGTCGTTACGTCATTCGCAAAGGAGAGGATTGTAAATGGTTGCGGGAAGGTCCAGTTCCTCGTTTCTTTCTAGAGGGGGTTTTTAAATCTTCTTGCTGTAATTATATGCCCTGAAAATTGTTATGATACGCAGCATTTATATGAGCGTAAAAAGCGCACGTCAGAGTAGCTTCCTAGGAAAGCTTGAATACCAGTTACAGGGACGGATCTAGAAAATTCAGAAAGGGGTGGCCGGGACACTTCTCCACTTGCCAGCTATATAGATGCTTTTTATTTTTCTGAGAATTCTAAAAAACAATACAGAATTTCAAAGAAAAAGTGGTGGCCGCGGCTCCCTCGGCCCACCCTAAATCGACCCTTACGTTGACAGAAGGAGCATTCTTATCTATCACTTACGCTAACTGTATTAATTAGTGGTTTCTCGAAGTGAAAAAATGCCTTATAATTCATAATAAATGGCAAAAAGCTTTCTAGAAATGTCTCACAGTAGTGAATATTCATACGTAATAAATACTGGTCAGCGGCCTAACAAAACCTATAGAAGTCTTTGTGTCCTTTACCCATAGACAATGTAAAGGTCTGGCTCGTCAGCTTTTTAAAACTATTTTTCAACTTGTAAGAATGTCTCGAATTTTGTTTTTTTGATGCCATGATGTTATCATTAAGACTTTATCACTTAACTGAAGGACTTTTACATCCATCATGATTATGTTTACGCTTGCCTGGTTTCCAGGTTCCCGTTAATCATGAAAGTAACGTCAATGTATGCGATCAAGAGAACAAATGCTACAAAAAGCAACAAAGCATCTAAAATTAGCTCAAAAGTTTAATAACTCTATGGTTTGGCCTAGTTGTTTTTGTTTCGGGAACCAAAGGTGATTTCTGTCGAAGATTCGTTTCCAAGGTAAGCAAAGAAACAATAATATTCGTCATTTGTTATATACCCGCTCCAGGACTTCCAATTAATTTGATTAAAAACTAACCGAAATTCATTCCAGTACTAGCATTATTCCTTTGAAAGAGCAAACCGCTTTTACTTTAAATTCGTTTAAGTGCAAGTTGGACGAAAAATTGCAAATTGCTTAATTTTTGGAGCCTTGATTTTCATAATTTTTAACCGCCTCCATGTTGATTGAAAATATTATAACATATTGTAAACCAACAATATCCTTTTCTTTTTTTTCTCATTACACTTCCTGCCCACCGCATACTTAACAAGTTCTGTAATTTAATTAAAACAGTCTTTCAGTAAAAATACAATCAGAAGAAGATTGCGAATCAGATTGAAAACTACAAGGATTGTAAAACTAACATCGAGCTAAATCTTTGTCCTCTCATTAATGATTTAACATGACTTCTTTTGTTTTGAATATCAAGGATAAAACAAAAGATACTCAAAACGCTTGTTTTGCTTTCTCTTGAAGAAAAGAACGCAGGACTTGGGTCTTTTCGTCACATTTATTTCTTATTTGTTGACCCAACTAGCATGATTTTTTTTTAGTTTGAATTACTTATGTTTGGTTTAAATATATGACATAGCATGGGTACCAAGTGTGTCAGCAGGTGGGCAAAAGATTGGTTTGAAAATAACCACCTGCGCACGACTAATTGTTTAGGACAGAAACGCCATGGTTCACCAAAAAGCTTTTAACTAAGAGTCGCCTTTGATGACAGAATAGCGCTTATTTACCAAAAAAGCCTGCCTGGCAGTGTTCTTAGTAAATCAGCTAATTGAAGATTGTATAGTTATAACGGGATTCTTAAAGGGGCTAGGTCACGCTATTTACTATCCGGCTTTTTAAAAAGCTAAAAAAAATTTGTATCAATTGAATTCCAAAATAATGGTCCACTTTTGTTATTAAAGACTATATCTAGGCATTGAAACTGTTTCCTATCGTCTGTTGCAACCGATGGCAAGGATGGACATGGATTGAAACTTGAAAATTGAAAAGCCGCTTGGCCAACTTTTTCAAGTTTTAATGCTATGCCTGCAAAGTCGACCAAAAAATTATTATGGTTTCTGCCTTCTGATGAAATTTGTTTGATATCTTCTTCATAACTCTACAGAGGCATCTTTTGTATTGGTAAAGGCGCTAAGTAATGACTTAAGCAGAGAATTAACCTAAAACAGCAATATCCTGGTGATTTAAGCCCTTTTAAAAAATAGGCACATTAAATCAATCGCCTCGTGTCCGGGAGATTTTAATTTGCTTGTAGAATCCGGAATCCTGGGCTTTGGAATCCGGAATACAGCTTAAGGAATCCGGAATCCCACTAACGATAGAATCGCCATATTCCACTGACAAAGAGTAGAATCTAATACCTGGAATCCGGAATCCAAGACGTTGAATCCATGGTCCAAGATTGTCTTTCCCATTCCATTACAGGAGGCGAAAATCGAGCTGCCCTCTTAAGGCATATTAAAAGTCAATTACCAAAATCCTCTGAAATTTCAATACTTACTCAACCCTCTAATGTTAAGGATAAAAAGCTTGTTAAAATATACATTATATATATTTCAGGTGATGACCATGAAACAGATTATAACACTTCTTACAAGGAATGGCCGTCAAGTGGTTGAAGACTTGACGAATGGAACAATCAGTACTTTGTAGTGATTCTTCTGACTCGGATGATATAAGCTTGGATAACTACGACGTGAACAGGTAAAGACTACTAACAGAGATGAGGGTGTCAATGGGGTGGTGGTGGCTTTGACGGTTGACAGTTGAAGGTTAAATTTTAGAGTTTTTGCGGTTGACGGTTATTATGTGAAAAATTAGTCTAAAACTTGACGTAAAAATTGACTTCTGTATGAATTAATATTAACTGATGTGTTTTGGAGTTTACCGTAGCCTTTCACTTACAAAATTTCGAAATATTTTCAGAGATAAGAAAGGTTAATTTTATTGTCTAGAAAGTGTGCTTTTGAGAACATGGGAACTGGTTTTTCCAGTTTAGAAATTCTTTAGGAGCCAGAATTCGGTGAAGATCAGCTGAAATAGTGAGGTTTGAAATACTTTGAAACTTTTAGACGGTTAATGTTAACCTGCATTTTTGACGGAATTGACCGAAAAAATAACCTTTTTCGATGGTTGACAGTTGACGATAAACCCCGTTGAGACCCTCAAACGGTTAGCTCGCCTAGCTATCATCTCTAGCCTCCCACGCAAACGTTCTTAGGGGTTGGTCACGCGTTCCTGCGTGGGAGGCTACTATCGTCTCTTTCTTGGGAAACCCCCCTATGTTTTTGTGTCTTGTACCTAAAGTGTGCTATTAAATTACAAAGAGGCAATAAAATGGACGTTGCAAATTTCAATGTCATTTATCAATCGAAGTCAAACGTTTACACAAATAAAGTGAACGCAAAGTGTGGTTTATAGCTCTGGAAACGCTCAACAATGCCAAGCGCGCGCGGGGGAGAGATTAGAGCCGTTTTATACGAAGGAGAATTAGACGCGTCTAACACAAGACGCGTCCTAAATACGACGGAAACTGTGCCATTCATTCATTTATTTACAAACTTCGCCAAGAGGCTTGACTAACTCACAGAGCAAGCTCCACAACGAGGTCCATTCAGCAGGTACTAGAACAACTGCAGGAGACTCTTGACTAAGCATATTTCAAAGAAACAAGAACGAACTACCGGTAAATACGCCATAGCCAAATACATATAGTACTTCAAATATCACCGCTTCACAGCGAACTAGGACAATCTATTTTTTTTCTTTTAGCTGTAACTGTTCATCCTCCGCAATATTATCTGCCATTGTTGCACATCAGGTGCTTTCTCTATTCTTTAAACAAAAGGTCACAGCCCAGACAAAATTTGTTTTCAAACACACGTGAAAATCCTGCGAAGACTTCAAAATCCCACAATATTCGCATCGTCGCGCGGCGCCGTTTCTGGCGATTTCTATTGGTTAATTAACAAGCTACCGCTGTCAATCATGGCTATACATGCGCAATATCGTGACACAGTCCCTTTAATTACTTAAGACGAAAACAGCCCGTATAAATGGTCAACCTCCTGGTCACGTCTTATTTCTGTTCCAGGGCCCAGTTGTCCAAAGGCCGATTTTCGCTAACTCAGGGTTAAATTTTAACCCAGATCTCTTTTTCTTTTGTCCAAACGAATTTCCCGGATTATTTTCTCCATGTATTTTTAGGCCATCCAATCATCAAACTGTAGACAAAAAGAATAAAACTGATTTTGCTTTTTAAGCTTTGAAATATGAATTTAAATTTCGCACTAACCCTGGGTTATCTTAACCCCTCTCTCGCCTCGAAAAACGAAAACACACCAAAAAACCCTCCTCCTACGCAGACTAATACTACAGAGTGCACCTTGTCAATACAATCCCGGGATTGGATACCTTCGCCTAATTAAGATGTTGTCACGAAGCTAAAAATGGCTGTGCATGGGCACCCGTATGTTTTCATAAAAATCTGCCAACGTGAAATGGTGAATTTACATGAAGGGTTTGAAAAAATATGTCCAGCTAGGCCGAAAAGGGTTTAGCCGTTAAGAATGTTTCACTCTCTCAGGAGGAGGATAAGCGTAGATGTCTTATACTCCTCAGGTTGACAATAACAGGTATCACATTCAGTTCCATAAAATAAGACCTGTCATTTATAGAAGCTGTGATTTATCGTTTTTGCACCAGGAGACCAGGGTGAATTTAAACGCGAGATTTTCTTGTTCACTTTAAGGTTAGCGAGTTTAAACACGGAGACCGATGATACAAGCGATGGAAGCGACACAGAGTACAGAGCTACCAGGCTGGAGACCAATAACGACAAGTAAGAGCCACTTGACTTCCTAATCTTGAAGCTACTAAATATTTAATCATGTATAAAGAAGTCTAGGGAGTAAAAACTGCAACCGCTCAAGGCGACACTTCAGGCAATTGGTTTGGATAGACAGGCTGTTTGTAGCGAAAATAAAATCGACTAACTGATTAATTCTGCATGTCGTTCGTTAAATTGTTAAGGCAGTCCCTGTATATCAAACCATATCAAAACAAATCATGGATTGAACGTGCTCGTAGACATCGGCAGCCGAGGCATTTGTCTCTTTCAAAATGCGAAGTTTCTTGATCTTCTGTATGCAATACAAAAGGGCTATATAAATTATTATTAAAAACTGAATCATTGGATATTGCAATTCTGGAGCTCTAATTGGCTTGGCCATCATGGTATTTGAGCCATTGTATACCATGCTCTCCAAACATGGTAACCGTACGCGTCTGCACAAAATTAAAAACAAGCTGAAAATCGTTTGTTTTTACAAATAAAGTCGGGAAGAATTCTCGATGTTTTGTGGGCGTTTTTAATAAAACAGTTATTCCACTCGCACTTGTTGGATATGAGATGATGATAGCCAACTCATCGCTAAGCGCCTCTTTGGCTATCCACCATCTCATATCGAGCATATAAGCCTTGCAGAGAGGGAGTGCTTGTAATATGGTAAATGTAAATATCCAACGGGCACTCGTGGAATCAGGAATAATTGTTACTTATCACTTGTCGCTGATATTACTTCTGGTGATTGATTTATTTTCTAGTATTTCCCTGCAAATATCGATCCCTCTGGGTACTGGACTTCTTCTCTGCCCCAGTAATGTACTTGTTGGGTAGATCCAGAACAAAGATCGTTGTAGGTGATTGGAAGAATTTTAAAATTTGATTATCATAGGGCACTCTTATAATTTTACTCTAAAACCGTCAGTGTTTTTTTTTTATATTTCTTGTCACGTTAATGGCGAGCTTATACTTTGTTTTCATTGATCGTTTTTTAAGAACGAACTTAAGGCGTGAACTAAGGATGGGCGAGCTATTGTCTTCCGTCCATCTGTCTAAGAGGGACGGACCATTAGGACTGTTAAAAAAAAAAAGAGAAGGGAAAATTAAATTGAAAAAATTCCGTCTTCCGAAATATTCCATCTTCTGAAAAAAAATTCACAAGGAATTTGATAATGGTCCGTCCCTAAGCAAAGACGTTTTTGAGCGACATTCCTTGAATCTACCAAATTTGCATTGCTTAGTGTCTTTACTCATTTGGGGCGAAACTACAGCTTAGGAATGAAAACGTTTACTTACGGTTGACGTACGTCGCTGAAAAACGCCTTTGCTTAATTGAAAAACGGAAGTGACTAACTCTAGTTATCCGTCCTTTTTCCGCACGGTATAGAGGCATCCGCTAAGAGGTAGTTTAGTGTGTCAGGTAAAGCGATTAACATTGTAGTAGGGCCATTTTTATCCCACACAACACCTTAATTTGGGCTGAAGAAGGGCTAGCGCATGGAAAGACAGCTTTCGAATCTTTTTACGATCATTATGGTAAATTGATTTTATTAATCTGACTGACACGTAATGATACTTCAGGCTGTATTGACCTGCTTAAAATTGATCTTACAGGGTCTCTCCATGCGAACTACGACAAACAAAGAATAGAACACCCTCTAGAAACGAGGAAGGAGTCAAAAATTATACCCCTCCTACAACTAGTGAAACAAATGAAAAGCACAGCAGCGAGGTACCTTCAAATGCAACCGCACCTAATTCTCCTTTGGGGGCCCAAGACCATTCCCCAGCGGACGACAACGAATTATTTTCTGCCGACTACGTCGAAAAGCTGGTGGCTTCGTTTTGGAGCAAAGTTGATAAGAAGATTGAGACAGTTGTTTCACAATACCACACGAGTCCGCAGGCCGGTCAGCAATATACTTCGCAAGAAAATGCGCAGGCTGATACGAACGAAGCAGAGGAAGAATCGAAAGGTAACAATCAAGCCTGAATGGTATATTGTATTTTTTAGTAGACTTTTACTTTTCATTAAAGTAAACACGATTATAATCAATTAATTTCTTCATTTTTTTACAGCAACACTAACTTCTTTAAGAATCATTAAACTGCGAGTGACTTGGTAACGGTATTGGCGACTGTTTGCATTTAGAAGCTCTTTTCTTAGAGGGACTGAGATTCAGCCTGACTTATGATCTCAGTTCAAGTTGGAGAACACAAGACAGAAGTCACTCAAAAAGGCAATTATCCTAAATGTTCATATTTGCTCTCTTTCAGAAAAGAAGTGTCCCCTTTCCAAATCCCCTGGTGGGATTTGCGTCTTTGTACTTTTTATATTTCAGGTGAGGATTGTAACTAAGCAAATGACACTGTAGTGTGGTGAATTTATATAAATACAATTAAGCATCAATAATATTACTAATAACATAAGTATATACTACAATTACATAGACGACTTTTACCTTTTCTAAGCGTGGTGAAGTAACTCACAAAATTTTCGAATTCTTCGCTTCACACTTATCATTCCTTTTCTAAGCGTTCTAAGAATCTTCTGATGGAAATATTACATTTTATTGACGCTTAATATATGATAGTAAATGATCAGTTATATATCATATGGCTTGGAATGTTTACTTATATAAACGTTTTCTTTTTTTCAATAGACATTAAATAAAATTTGGACCCTTTGCAAAGAGAACTTGAAGAGCAAAGGAAAGGTAAGTACGGTTACCTGTTAACAATTCACCAGGTAAATGTCACAATAAGAGCTGACAGTTCACAGCCTTTCTATTTTCTCGCTCCAAACGAAGAAGAGTGCAAAAATCAACGAGAGAGGCGAAGGCGAGGCAAAGATGGAGGTCGGGGATTGCAGGCGAGGAAAAGGAAGGAGTGAAAATGCTATTTTCCAAAGATGCGCGACAGTCTCTGTATTCTCTTGCTTTCTGCCCCTCCTTCACTCACTCGCGCACCGCGTAGCTTGCGTAACTGAAGGTTTTTCAGTGTGTTTTTTCTTTTGTGGTTCGGAAAGTAAGAGTTACAGCTGCGTAAAAGCTGAACCGAGGTGGAAACAGAAAACGACATGGGGGAGAGAGCGAGGGGAGAAGGCAGTGAGAAAAACCGCCTGCAATTTTTCTCACTGCCTTCTCTCCTCGTCCCCTCCCCCATCGTTTTCTTTTTCGTCCTCGGTTCAGGTTTCGCGGGGCTGAATCTCTTCTTAATGCATCACCAAAGAAAAAACACACCAAAAAGCCCGCCAACTGCGCAGACTGCGCACCGCGTTGACAAACGCGCTTAGTTCGCGTACCGATCAAACAGAGCGTTTTCAGATCCCGCCGCAGTGGTGGCCACCATACCGAACAGGGGATCAAGTGGCAGATACATGATAAAAAAAAAACAGATGTAGTATTTTGTTCTGTTAGTTACTTTGAGCAGGAGCTCGTAACCAGGGTTACGGGTTATGGGTTAGGCTTTGAAGCAGCAGAATATCAGAGAAAGAAATTAACTGCAAAACCGTGGACTAACGTCCTGCTAGTTGTCAACGTTGGATCTCTAGCTGAAAGAGATCTAGTCAGCTAAAGTATTAAGATAAAAAAAATAGAAGTCCAAAGACTAGTACAAAGCTGATAATAATAACGTGCATTGGTTATTAAGAATAATATTCGGCTGGCCATACTAGCCTTCTTCAGGTTTACAGATGTCCCTGAATTTATGATAGGAATTACAACATTATATAGATGGAGAATGTCGCACTAAAAAATGTTTAAAAGGGAGAGGCGGAAATGACGTATAACATAAAAACGAAAAGATAAACTAATAAAGATATAGATTACAATAATTCGCACGGCTTTTTAAGCCATTAGGCTCAAGAATCATGGCCTTATCTATGAAATGTGACTCCCTCGCCTTACGGACTGAGTCACGTGAAGAATATCAGAGAAACCGTTTTTGCAACCAAATCGTGAAAGAGCCTCCTCCAATATAACCTACCTTATTATTGGATGCAAATTTTTCTTCCTTTTCATTGGCCGAGAATTCACAACGTGACCTGCAAATAACTGCCCACAAATAATGGTCTGCTCATGCGCAACTGTGTTTGGCCGCTTACATGAGCAAAATGGGAAGGAAGCCATTTGATCTCTGCCATTACTCATGCACGAAAGGCAATGCGCTCTTACCCCTTCCCGAAGATATTCATTAAAAAATAAACTCGGTAACCGAATGATAAAACAATTTTTGAACTCGGTTATCGCAAAATATCGTGATTTGCCGGTGTCTCGCAGATCAATTATTTGCCTCAGTCGCTGGCCAGTAACCTGACAAATCACAATATTTTGCTCAACCTCACTCAATAATTGTCAATAAATTATTTAGAGCTAACTCTAAACCAACATGACAGGAATGGTTTAAGGATGGAATGTGGAGGAACAATCTGAGAGCAATCATCACCCATCGACATGCTAATTTCACTGTTGTCATGGTAACGCTGATGGACTGTTTCCTGGTGACTGCCAATATCTTTGCAGACTTTAATATTATTGACGGTAAGATATTTGGTTCACGTAAAATAGCTCTTAGATCTTAAAAGAAAAAAATGCTTCAAACGAAATCGAAATGATTTTACTCTTTTCTCAAATCTTCCTCGTCAATCTTTGTAATTCCTAGCCTGACCCGTGGAGCACGACTCGTTCTGACTGAGCGTCGTGGTTCTCCGGCTTAACTATTAAATTTGCATGTTTGTTTTACAACACACCTACCTCATCCTCGACTGGACACAAGAACATATAACTTACGAATTTCAAAACACTTTCTTGCAGATAATGGAATTGAGTTTATATTTAGAAGCTTTCTTTATATCAACTTGGCGGTAATGTTCCTGTTTCTTTTTGAGGTAAGCTAAATCTGAATAAATCAAACACTGAATTAAAAGAAAACTATGACCGAGAAAGAACAAACCATGATCCGATATCTACCGGATTAACTGGATACTACCAAAAATATCTCGATCATATCAGATTCAAACAAAAACAACCTTCCACTTAACAAGTAGCAGCTATTATTGATTATCATTGATTACAATCATTTTCCAGCATCAAGGGCTGAATTCAATCTACTTCTTTTCTAGGCCTCTCTCTTCGCTAAGGTTGAACTTCAGCAACACGTCTCAGATAATCCATTTTATTTATATTTTTGTCCGTTTTCAAAGATAAAATTCATGGGCTGGCCTGCGTTCTTTTGAAAGAAAAGCGGTGGAAAAATGACCAATTTCAGGACTGAAGTACACGAATGCACCCAGCCATATCACCAGGGTAGTAGCAGCCATGGACAGCTGTTTCGCTTAATTAAAGGGGTGCTTTTGCACTCTCCTTGGTAGTAAATGACAGGGTCGATGATCGCAAGTGAGACTTCTTTCTTGGGGCCATGCCATGCTGATGAATCCAGTGAAGACGAAACAGCTGTCCATGGCTGCCATTGCCCGGGTGATATGGCTGTGCGCATGCGTAAGGTACTGGCCATACCGCGGAAAATCGGGAAGTTGGTAGTGTGTGCCTTAGTGCTGAAATTGATAACAAAATAATACGAATAAAAGCACATTTTTATTGTGTGATGAAATATGTGATCCGATGCTTAGTTCAGGTCGCCCATTTTGGTGCCTAAATGTTATTAACGCTATCATTAATATAGTTCATAAATAAAAGCTTATACAGAATGGTTTTAAATTATTCATCAGTGTTTCATAAGAATGATTATTCTTCGAGGAGACTTATTTCAAGACAAGATGGAGGTAATGAATGTAATATTGAGAATAACGTTATCAAGAGGGACTGTTATGTCGTCCTACTTCAAAAGCTGTCGTGGTTGTGATACTAGGAACCTTAAGATCCGACGACGGCGACGGCAACGGGAACGCCACAAGTTTAATTAGCAAAACAACAATTTTGCACGTGCATCACGCTTTTTTTGTGCATTTCTTTGCCGTCCTACACCACTCCGACGTGAAAATGCCTAATTTCACGATGTACAGAGGAAGTACACAAGCGACGACGAAATTTCCTCTCTCTTTCTGAACTTGAATATGGTTCTAAGGAATTCAACTTTAGGAGGGTTCGCCTACATTTGACAAAGTTAGTGACTTGGAGTAATCGCGATCAAGATTGAAAGAACGCGAATTCACTTTTTCAGCGACGTTTTCTCAGCCGTCGCCGTCCTTAGTTACTTTTGTCGTAGCTACAACGACATTATAGGAAAAATTAAGTACTCAGTAAAGGGCAATACGGTCGTACAACTAACTCATTAACATACATTGCATGGAGTTAAGGAAGTCAATCTAATCAAGTTCGGTCTAACAATTGTATCTCAAGTAATCTTTATACAATGCGCTTTCACCGACAAAAATTTAAATACAAACAGTGACATTGTTTATTCTACATGAGGTATTAAGAGCGCTTCCATTTGTCAGAACTGACCGACCAGACCATTCCCGTCGCAATGAGAATCTCACTTTTGCTCAAAACTATCCAGCCAGATCAATCAAAGCTTAAATAGTATGTACGAAGGTTTTCATCAAGAACTCTTGGAAAAAGCCTATTTCAATTGTCAAAATGACTGGTCCGGCCGTGAATAAGACCTTTTCACGGTTTTTGACGAGTAGACAAACGCATGAGAAATTACAGTGTTTGTATGAGAATCTAAAGACGAATAATTTCTGTAAAACGGCTGTTTTCAAGATCATAGGCATGATGCAATGTGTACGCATGGAATCATCTCTGGAATCATAACCTCATTTTATGTGTACACAAAACATCACTTCTGGAATCATAACATGATTTTATGTGTACACAAAACATCATTTCTGGAATCATAACTTGATTTTATGTGAATACATAACATCATCTCTGGAATCATAACCAGATTCTATGTGCCACATAAGATCATCGATGGAATCATAACCTGATTATATGTGTACACACAACATCATCTCTGGAATCATAACCTTATTTTATATATAAACATAACATCATCTCTGGAATCATAACTTGATTTTAGGTGTACACATAACATCATCTCTGGAATCATAACTTCATTTTATGTATATACATAACATCATCTTTGATTAAGATATACAATGGAATCATATTAAGATGTTAAGGGTACTTGTCAAATAATATTATGATTGTTATTATGCATACAGGACTATTACATCATCACATGAATCATCACATATGATTCCGTAGCTTGAATTCCAGTGTCGAACTGAATGGCCGTTTTCACAATAGAGACTGATTATCCGTTTGAGAACGGATAATCCATCTTCAAAATCCGTCAAAATTGACGGTAAAACAAATGGGTGAAGTCAGGCAGATTTTCCATCCAAATTAAGACCGTTTCATTTTCAAAGACGTATTATTATCCGTTGGATAATTCGCGTCAGACAGATAATCAGCTTCTAGTGTAAATACGGCCAATGAGTTCATTTTGAGTAAGGATCGTGCTGCCAGGTGGAAATAGTAGCACGAAAAACGTTACGTTTTTGTAAAGCTAGTGGATAGAAATTGTGCCCTATATATTCTAAGGATGCCAACAGCGCTTTATAGGCTTTAAAATAACATTGTTTTCCTTTCACTTAGGGATTCGATGTCCTTCTTATGATTTTCTACTTTCTGGTGGAAGTATTTTCAAGCAATGGTTTCAGGTGTGAAAACAGTTACTGAGATTAACCGATTATGAGTTAAATGTTATAATAGATTATGAAGGCTTAACCAAATTTAAAGGAATCTTCAAGGCCTGTTAAGAAGCTCCTTAACGCAGTGGAGAGGAAAGGTCTTCTGTGACTCTTTGAAGAAGGATGGTCCCTGTTGTCGCGGATAACAAAAGCTTCACTCGCGCATCGTGCGTTTAATCTGTTGTTTTGCAGGTTTTTTCCTCAGTTGGAGAGAGCTGAAATTCGCTTGGGTTTTGCACATTTAACATAACGGTGATGAATATTGCAAATAGCAAAAAGTTCGGGGCATTCAAGGAACCGGGACAGAAAGGCGAGAAAGTTTTCTTCCCCACCCTTCACCCCCATATCCCCCCGCCTAGTTTTAGCTGAAAGCCCTCCTCTTTGATTACGCACGCTTCTTTTTCTTTCCCAATCATACTTTGGTTTAAGAATCCAAGAAAATGGAAGGGAAAATCCGGCCCTGGGAAAGAGAAAGAGTGAAAGAGTTCCCCACGCTCTTGTCTGGAAAAACCACGCATGCATATAGAGATTAACTAAGTACATAAAATGAAAACTTTTTCTGTGGTTCTTGTCTTTCAGTGACGTTAGTAAACCATATCCGAAGTACATACACATGATTGTTATCCTGCGTTGTTGGCGTATAATAGCTATATTAGAACGTGAGTTGAATAATTATCGATATCACGAGGACATTTTGGGAATTTTTCAATTATTCGATAAACACAATATATAGTTATTTACTTTCAACTCTCGTGTTTGCTTTTGTAGAGCTACGAGAAGAGAAAGAAGCAGAACTCGTCCACGCCATGGAAAGCCAGACCACAAGATAACGATGACTATTGATATAAGATTTTTTAGGACAATTTTTAATCATGAAAAACTCTCACGTCCCTTTGCAAGAAAGTCATGTAAATGGAAACAAATCATGTGGTCGAGGCATTATATTAATGATGATGGATGTATAATAGTTAGAGTTCGAAGGAGTTGGGAGTTGTGACATAAGGTGAAAGAAACAATATTCAGCATTTTGCTGCTATCTAAAATGTTATCGTAATTGGTTCGTTGACGATTGAGGTTTAAGTCCGTTGCTAATGGATGGGGATTTGGTTGCTGAAATTGATATCGTCAGAGAATTTCATCAGCTACATAAATACATGCGATGAAGTGCCTCCCAAGTTGGCCATATCTTCCTAAATATACTTTGGAATCATATGCTCAATCTGCGATGAATCGAAATGAATCATCGAGCGCTAAAATTCCTTGGAGCGTTGATTAGGTTATTGGGTTTCTATGAGACAGTCAACTGAGGCTCCTTCGCCGCGCCCCACCCAATTTTTGTTGAAATAAATTACCCTGTAGGGCTGAGTCAAAATACCTGATATCAGGTGAGCTGAAGAGATTTAAGAGGCACAGCGGCAGCAGACTTAAACATTATGGTTTATTTCAGCAGGGAGAAACAGGCAGCAAAAGTTAGCAGTAGATAGCATTTTATAATGGATTAGATTTTTCATAAACAGCACTTTTGTACCTTGAAGTCCTGAAATCAGGACACCACAACAGGAACTAAAAGGAACTATCGACTGACTCCGGAGGCTATGATCGTTAATTATCGATACTGCACGCTGCAATGTTAACAAGAATAGAGCAAAAAATATTCTTGATCATGTTGAAGCTGTTTCAAAATGAAATTAAGATGCAAGATGCGTCATGTCGATAGTAACTCATTTATCTATTTGTAACGGAAGTTTACATTATCTAAGCCTCATACAGAAAAAAAATATCATTACATTTGCTAAAGGCTTTCTTGAAAGCCAATGTTGATTGTTTAGCTGGAGAGCTAAACAGGGCCTTTAAAAAAAATGGTCAGTTTAGTGAATGACCGATCGAAGCGTATTCAAAGCTATTCGCAATTCGAAAAAATTTGTATAACGTTGTTACAATTAATGTGTATCTCAGAAAAACAATTTAATTATTAAAAGAACATATTTGTCTCTTATGCAGTCGAATTTTCTGTCAGTCTGCTTTAGTATTAATTTAATCCGTAGAGAGGAGAGAACGGGGAAGAAATAGAAAGATAAAGCATAGCATCCCCCTCTAGCATGAGTTTGAGACAAAAAGCGAGAGCTCTACCGCGGTCACAAACATCTAAAAGCGCTTTTTTGTTGTGTTTAGTGGGATTTCATTCACCATTGATCGATAAACATGAATAAGCAGAATAAGGACGAGTAAAAGAATATCAAATTAATTTAACCACCTTTGCATTGTCTCCAGTTAATGAACTGCTTTTCGTTGAAACACTTTGGCCTCAAGAAGAAGACCCTTGAAGTTGTTTGTTTAAATTTCACCTTTCAAGGGTAATCAATCAATTTTCACCTTCAGTTTATAGCCGTGATTGTAGACAAGCTGACACAGTAGGTATGAGATTAGATTAGTTATTTGCTTGGCCTGCTTCAGACCATAAGAGATGAACTGTGATTAATTATTTTCCTGTTAGTAAACAGGAACTTGCTAGATATACCTGTCTGTATGCATTGTTTTAATGAAGAAGTCCCACTAGGTCACGTTAAAAAAAAGCTTTTACCTGCAGTAGAATGAGAACCCAGAGTCGAAGCACGCGATGTTTGTTAGGGTTAAGCTTCAGGGGCACCCAACGTCAATTTTCGGAAAATATCTGTTCGGAAGACGATTTGAGATCTGGAATTTTCGGAACATTTGTTGCAAAATTTTTTGCTTGCCTGCCTCACCTAGGATTTTCGAACATCTAAAAAATGGTATAATTGCCCATTTTTAACGGATTTTTACCCTAAAAAAATCACCTAGAATTTTCGGAAGCCTTTTTCTGGCTGAAATTTTCGAAACGGTAAGTTTTGATCCCTATAATTTTCAGATCACTAGAGTTTCAGCTAGGAGATCCGAACAGATGAAAATTTTTTAGGGGATAAAAATATGCCTATGTCTGTTTAAATACTAAAATAGCTTAACAAGCCATGTTTAAGTGGTTTTGAACTATATTCTCCTTGGGTGCCCCTGAAGCTTAGTTCAGTATCTTGTACTCAATGTTTCGTGGATAACACTACTCGGTATTTTGGTATTTTTATCAAACATGTTGATCGTCAGGATCTTTCTCTTCGTATTCCTTTTCTTTGTTCGGCTTTAAAAATCTTATTGTTGAATGCACCTGTTTATAACGCGATTATTTTGTTTATATTTTGGATCCAGACGTTTTCGTTGCTACTGTTGTTGTTTGACCTTGTTTATACACTGACTGGTTTAAAATTTCTCCACGCGACTTTCGAAGTCAAATAATGCAATTTAATGAGGCCTGTATATTTTTTTTCCAAAATAGGAAAGCCTTGCGCAAAGAAAACGTAAACTTTTTTGATCTGAGAAAGTTGTTGAAAACATTTCATCCACGTGCTATCCACATGACTAGAAAGTTATCACACCGATTTGTATTAAATCAGTTAAATGACGTCTTCAATAATAATAAACATTCAAACAATTGTTAAGATGGATTGAAAACAGGAACACAAATTTATAACAAAAAATTCTAATCAAAGAAGCGCGAGCGTGCTTCAAATTATTGAGCACGCTGATGGTCAATAAACTAAAATTCCTCGAGTTGTTGGGAACAGCAAAATAAGTCTTGAGTGCATCCATAACTCAGCAATAGACAATGAAGCGTTTACCATGTGTTTTATAAGGAAATTTAAGAGGAAAGGTTTGAATTTGTTAAACAAAAATAAGCATTGTTTCAGGTCGGGCTATGGCGTGAGATCATTCTTTTAACAGATGCACCTAAATATGGCAATCATTTTGTTTAAAAACAATTGTTTTCAACTGTTTATTAAGCCTCTTCTTAAATTGAAGATAAGTTGCGATCCAGAAGAAATTAAGAAGGAAGAAGACTTCAAATGCAGTTCCATTCCAGCTATCTAAAGTGCTATGGAAAATTTACGTTTTGTACATGTTTTTGTTACGCTGTTGGTTATCACTAAAGTAAGTTTTTCGTCTTATACTGAATTTATCTCACAATTTTATACGTACTCCTTTAAAGGAATAGAACATTTATTTGTGAAATGATGAGATATAAAATTGACTTTCCTAGTTAACTTAATTTAGTAATTTTCAATTGGTATTTAGAGAATAAATAAGGACCATTTCGTGTTAGAAGATCTAAGAAATTTAATTTAAAGAAATAGAACATTTGTGAAGTGATGAGGTATAAAATTGACTTATCTAGTTAACTTAATTTAGTAATTTTCAAGTGGTATTTAGAGAATAAATAAGGACCACTTCTTGTTAGAAGACCTAAGAATGTTTGGGCGAACTGCAGCAAAATATAGTCGAGCCTTCCACCATGGATGACTCAGCGACTTCCTACTTCCTAAAAATTCTGAATTAAGTCGGGTCGGCATATCAACAACAACAATTTTTTTTGGTATTCATGTCAAGTGACAGAAGGTAAGAATTTGGTTGTCTCAATTTTTTCTTAGCTGCTTGTCTGTCGAAATCATGCACATCTCCACTTGTCTCAGATAGTTTATTTTGTTCTAAAGTCGGCCATGAATTTTCTAGTCTTTTTCTCTGTGACAACAAATTGCTTCAGCTGATTTTAATAGCTTTTCATCTAGTTGACAGACTATAATGCTTGCTACACAGTAATTAATTTTTAGGGAGTTATATTATAACTCCAGAAATAAGGTAAAAATTTTACGTTCAGGATAACCCCTTTTTGGGGGTTTCTTTAACTCCTCAATATGAACTCCAAATCTGGGGTGATTTTTACTCCTGCAAAAGAGTTCTTTAAACTCCTTTTCGGAGTTAAAATAACTCCCAAAAAAATGACTCCAGTGTAAAGAGCCTGTTAAATTTACCCCACTAGAGCAGTTATTATAACTCCTTGAGAATTATTTTGCCACCAACGCTTTTCTGTAACTATTTTACTTGGCGTATCCAACAGTTTGGTCTTTGGGGAATTGAAAATACGACTATCAAAAGAATTTTGATTTCAGTTATTAATCAGTTTGACAGCGTGTAAATTATACGTACCACTTGCCTTTACTTGCAATAACTACTGATCAGTGAAATACCATAATTTTCCAGAGATTTCTTCTCATCCTAAAAAGAATGTCCTCACATGCGACATGACCAACCGAGCGTATAAACATAGCATAAAACACATTCTCATTCATGACAAGTATTCTAAAATTTTCAGACGTCTTGGAAGAAATCTGTTCAACGGAAAAGTGGTCAAAACATCGTGCTTTCACCAATTCAGTCAAAAAAATGCGAGGAAATCATCCAAAAATTACTTAACTGGTTGTAGTTTATTATCTTGTTTTAAGCATGATTTTTAATGAACATTTGCAGGGATCAGGCGCTGAGTGGCCAAAATTAAAACTTCAACTCTTTGTTGATGACAGAGAGCCTCTTTTTCAAGGGTAATGTTATTAAATTTTGATCAATAACGATTTCTTAAAACATAAGCAAGCGAATATTAACGTTAAAAGCCGACGTTTCGGTATCATCATGACACCATTCTCAAGGCAAAATGAATAAGTAATGCGGAGATTTATTATCATTATTAGATTTATTATTTATTATTATTTGTTATTATGCTAATTTGTAGAGACTATAGAAATCAAGTCTTCGCATTACTTATTCATTTTGCCTTGAGAATGGTGTCATGATGATACCGAAACGTCGGCTTTTAACGTTCATATTCGCTTGCTAATGTTATTTGAGTCAGTTTTTTATTTTTTGCTGTTGAGCTGTGGTACACATGAAAAACAGCTCTGTGATAACTGAAAGCTTTCATGGTTATCAGGCAGCTTCTTTGATTTTTAGTGACAAGTCGTTTGGTGTTAAAGTGGGACGAAGAGAAATTTGGACGTCCAAGTCGTTTGATGTGTCGCGAGACGATAAATTTCTGAAGAGCACAATGCATGTTACTGATTGACGACCCCCGTCTTAAAAAGCTGGGCGTGGAAATGGTCATCATATATTTTACCTGTTTGGTAATTCCTAGTTTCATCGTGCGTATCTTATGCACGTTTATCCAAAGGTTTTGAGTGAAAGGGATAGCCACCATTTTAACCAAATTATTTTCTCCAGTCAATAATGACAGTAAGTCAAAATTGCTATATAATCAATTTCGTTCAAAATTGGACTAATTGTCTAGCAGAGCTTTGCACTTACAACAGAAGTGTACATAAAAACGTGACATACTAAAGTGTAGCAACTTTTAATGTCTTCAATTTTTCTTTGTAGAAACATAACTAGACTCCATATAACTTTGCATCATGACACGAATTCTTCCGTAGCCACAAAGGTGTCATTGCATATCGAAGTTTCATTTGAGGGAAATGTTAGCGACTGCACTATTTCACCAGGCTCCGTGAATCCAGATCAAATCCTGCAAAATGAAATCAAGGCAAGTTGTAATGTTGTTATCATTTGACCCACACGTCATCATCGTGATTGTCACCATCATCATTACCTTCAACTCCTACGCCATCATCATCATCATCGTCGTCGTCGTCGGCGTCGTCGTCGGCGTCGTCGTCGTCGTCGTCGTCGTCGTCGTCGTCGTCGTAGTCGTCGTCGTCGTAGTCGTCGTCGTCGTAGTCGTCGTCGTTTTCCCTTGTCCTCCTTCTCCTCTTTATCATCGCTGGTACATGCAATTATGAACCGAAGCCGTCGTGTAGTCCCAGAGTTCAATTGAATCCTTTCAGTTTTCCCCTTTCTTATGCATGAAATCAATACTATCGTAAACAACAACAACAACAACAACAACTTTATCACCATGGTCTCAGGATCATCACAATTATTTATAAACATCATAAAAATCTCTTTAAAAATCTGAATCAAATTTTCGGTGGGCGTCAATCGACCTTGTGGTTTGAGAAGATCTCGGTCGCATGCTGAGGTTGATGAAAAATTTAACCTCTAAGGATATTTACCATCTATCTGTTGTACTTAATTAATAGTTCAATACCTTTCAACTACAAGATGAATTCTCCGCTGGATGCAATGTTTCAGTTGATCCCAAGGGACTCGCACAGCCTGGTCATGTGCATGTATCCCACGTGATTGTAACACTAACATACAGTGGGCATCATGATAACTGTACAGATCCCAGCTCAGGAGAAATTCTGGAGAGGGTCACAGAAACTGCTTATAGGTCATTCTTCTTCTATGTGTTAGGTATGTACAAAAACCAGAAATATTTACATTACTCCCATTTGTTCTCCAGCCTCTTTTTTATTGCTACGAAATTCCAGTCCTAACAGTATGAAGGATGTTTTTGGGTTCAATAGCCTTAGGTCCGGTCCCTTACGTCCCCTGTTGCTCATGATCAGCGGTAGAGCATCCGCACCGTCAACCAGAAGATCATTTCGACCATAGTCCCACCCCTGTCGGGAGACCTCGAATTTTTTTCCGCGTTGCTGTTTGACTGTCTACAAAATATTTTTCTCAGAAACTTTTATCTTTCAAGAAATCGTTCACTTTGGCAAGGAGAGTAAAACCACAGCGTTTCAGATAACAAATGGAATATCGACGAATAAAAGAAAAATCGTTTTTCCATTATATACATTGTGTGAGGAGCAATACCGTTCTTTTTCATTCAGACTGTTTTTTCAATCGATTTTCACTTAGACCTTAATGTACCTTGTTTAAGCCCCCCCCCCCCCCCCCCAACTTCAAATTTTGCATTACCGTTGTTTCTAATTTCTCTTGGGTATTACAGTCGTCCCAAGAGAAATCGATGATAATCGATATGCAAAATTTTGGGGAGTAAACAAGGTGCATTATGTGAAAATGGTGAATGGCAATTTATCCCGGGGGTCAGACATTTTTACATAACGTATTGTGTAAGTTGCTGCTATGGCCTGCTGCGAAGCATTCTCGTGCGCAGCGGAACACCATGGGTAAGAACACTTTATCTAAGTTATCTAAGTTGCATCTAAGAAGTTTTGGTTCTGACAACATCGTCCGTACATCCGTATGTCCACTCTTTCATATAAGAGGATGTGAAATGTCACACTTACTCGCTGGGAGTGCAAGGCATATCCTGGCTGTGTTTAACTTGGTCTTGGACATCAATTTTATGGCCATTTGACAGCTGTCAAAAAAGGTATCGCTGACCGGTGTCACATAACTGTATGGCGGGGTCAGGTATGCAACTCATCGAGTTGACGTATTTGTTAAAGTTATCTGCTGCCAAGATATTGCTTTTCAATTGATCGCTGGCTCAGGTCCATTCTTTCAGGGTGGAATTCAGTTTGCGTTCTGTTTACGGAAAAAGTTGAATTACTTGATAAAGTCATTTGTCAAAAAAGCCCTCGAGAGCGTCGCTTTTGGCCTTGGCTAAAGCTGCATATTATAGTTAGCGTTTACAATGCACTTTTGTTTAACAGACACGTCTTGTATACAACCGCTTGGGATGAGAAGTGGGCGCATCAAAGAAAGCCAAATTCAATCATCGTCATTTTTTAAAGATTCCAATGATTCACATGGCCGCAGTCCTCACCAGGCCAGGCTTGGAGGAGAAGGATACTGGACACCAGTGGGCAGGAATACATCAACTGATGGAAATCAGTTTCTGCAAATAAATTTTGAATCACCAGTACGCCTAAAGTTGGTAAGTTGAATAATATTTTTTATTTCTCGAGGGAAACAGTTAATTTTGCTTCCCGAGGTTCTTCCCGAGGGACCAGTCATTTGGGGATTGGTTATATGTCCCCGAGAAGAAAAACTTCTTGGTGTACAAATTTGTGGAATGAATTACAAAGTCAATCTTATCGAGTGTTCAACATTCGCGGGTAATAGTGTACTGTTGCCCGGTGACGTCATAGATGCCCGGATAAAGTGGAATACGAAATCATAGAGTCAATTTAAAGAAACACAGTATCTGTAATTCCATGTATTGCACGTCTTGGCCAATCTCTCTCAGTGTTTGTGTTAAGGGTAACCTGGTTTATGAGCCGCTACAAAGTTCCCATCGTCATTTCGTTTTATTAGGAAGGGGTCGATAATCATGGCAAAAGGGCCGGCGACAACCTGGAAGGTCTCATCTCCAGGTCTCTAGCTTGGGCCTAGTCTCTCAGCTGACAGGGAGCTCTCTATAAGTTCTTTGAGGGACACACCTTTCATACCGGCATGGTAACTTACCTAATGTTAAAAAAGTTATGTACTGTTTCAAAAGCATATTTCATTGCCAAAGTGCTTTATGCTTTGCTTCTTTTTTTGGCTGAAACAGATCGCCGTTCAGGGAAAACCAAATAGCACGGCAAGTGTCAAATTGTTTGATGTGTTTACAAGTCCTAATGGAGATGATTGGAGAAAGGAAAAAGCGTTGCTGCCAAAGGTTAGTTATGACGGCTCACTGAGTTTGTGTCTTATGCTTAGAAACCCAAGTTCAAGTCATTGTTTATAAATTGTTAAAGTTAAGTTCGCCCCATTTTTTAAAATAATAAAGTCAGTACAATCTGTTATCTTGGTGACCATTTTGTGAACTCGTGTGATCCTTCATGACTGACTTACCTTCCAATTTTAAAATTAATGATGAGGTTGGAAAATCTCTCTATACAGGTTTAACTAATCAGGTTCAGATTTTAAACCCGTCCGAGTCAGAGTTCCGTCGATATTCCCAGACCTACTGAATATTTGTTTTAAATCATTTTTTAAAAAATGGAACGACAGACGAAAGACTGAACACCCGCTCCAGTAAACCTTTTAAAATTTGTGTGTACAGAACAATAAACCAGGTAATCTGCCTTCTTTTTTTTACTTAATTCGTTTCATTCACGGATTGTCTTAATTCCAAAGGCTGAAATCACCGTGAATAGCGGAGATACCGCGGTTCCCACAGCTTATCAAAACCCCACTGCAATTCGCTTTCTTCGAATCAACCCGAGGTCATGGTATAAAGAGAGTGCTCTTCGAGTGGAAATTTATGGTTGTGTTCTACCAAAAATATCAACCGAAGGTATGGGTGCTATCGTTTTAAATATGCAAAAAACTACAAAGATTGAACTTAGTTTAGACAAATGTATTGAACAAAAAGCAGTGTTAACTAAACAGTGACGATTATGAGGTAAACCGTGATTCTGTCGGACAAGGCGCGCTTAAGTCATCTCTTAGTTCCATTCTGACAAAATCGTTAAAGAGTACATAAAACAACCTTTGATTAAAAAAAAGTAATAATAGGGAAATAGATCGCGAAGCGCTGACTTATTTTACTCAAAATAAGCTGCCAAGTTCTCAACTAATCGAGTGTAAACTCGTACTCAACTAGCCTAGCCTCTGTGAGAATTTAGCCTGTGCTGATTTCTTTATAATGGAGTGTAATGATGTACCTAACACACCATTTTTCTGCGTTCTTGACTTCAGTTTCTGCCTCAATGACTATTAATGAAGTTTTCATAGTTATTTTAACTTTGGTTATATATTTTCGTATTTTAAATCCAGTCTTTTGCCAGCACTTGTCCACATGTATTAGTCTCTAACTGATTACCCTAAACTTAACAATGATTTATTTGGCTATGGTGAGTTTGTGACTTTACAGGGCGCGGACTCAAAGCTATGTTTTAACTATCTGTTTAGAGTTCTCTGCACTCGGTGTCGAGAAAGCACTCATTTCAGATGCTCAGATGACATCCTCTTCCTCCTTGGACCCACCTAAGACGAACGCTTCAAGCGGAAGGTTAAATTTCAACAGTGCTTGGTGTTCGGCGACCTCTGATGAAATCCCGCTTTTTCTTCAAATTGCCCTGGGAGAAATTCATTTTATCACGGCGGTGAGTACTAATTTTCGCTAAAACTTTCAGAAACAGCTTTGATTTGGTCACAGAGCCGATCGCTACCCACGAAGTGTGATTGTTTATATTTTATTGCCAAAAGTCTTAATTGCTGCAAATGTATTGCTGGTCATAGAAAATTTTGAATGAATTTTACGAAAAAAGACGCGGCAGAATATCTGGGAACGACAAGAAAGTGAATTTTTGTGGGATGTCCTTCATTAAGTTTACAAGTGTGTACTATTTTCTCTGAACAGGCTTCATCTCAGTCACGTGATACAAATAGTGGCAGTTTCGACAGTGTGATGTCATACAAGCTTAGATATTCTACAGAAGGAGTAACTTGGACATTTTACCAACAAAATGGAATTGATAAGGTAGTTTTGAGATATATTTTTAGTAACAAGTAGTAACAGCAGCCTGCAGGTTCAGTTTTTCTTGACGGAGTGGAGCGAAATATATTAAAGGCATTATCAATCCCTTCCAGATTTTCCTAGGAAACCTGGTCGAGCATTTTACCACAAAGAATCACTTGGCACTTCCAGTGAAAGCAATATACGTTCAGTTTTATCCAGTTTCTATGATCAATTCTGCGTGCATGCGCGTCGAACTGTATGGAGAAAAATCTCTTGAGGAAAATACAGGTAGGATTTAATTACATTTAGCTGGAGTAACCTGGAAAGCGTCAGGGCAAGTGACGAATTGCTTGAAACGTCCGCTTCAAATCGGATTCCTTTTCAATGGCAATTCTATCAAACTGTTGGGAATGCCTTCGATTCAGTAGCATAATAGTTTAGTTTCCCCAACAAGGTCACAAGTAACTGAGTTTAACACAAGGGGTTGCAGGGAAGGGATTGGCTTGATCAGCCACCTACGAATTAACTCCCATTTTCCAGCCCCAAGCCGACAGGAGGAACAAGATGATTAGATAGTTCTCGTGGCATCGATGGACAATTAATAGCATTTTTGAACTATGATTTTTTTGTTATTTTATTGGCAGATATACCACCTGTTTATCAACGAAGTTTTCTTTTGGATTCTGAAAATAGAAGACTTTTTGTCTGTAACAAAGATGTTCCAAGGTAAATGAAACACTTTGTCCTATTCCTGTGTAATTATACAAGGAGGAAAATATTACAGCAGATCTATTTATGAGGGAGAATGCAATTACATAGACAGAAGAATGGCAACCGGATGGCTTAAATATTGCGGAAATACACCCCCCAACACTGGCCGGCCCCAGATCGATACATGTTTTAAGAGATAGAAACTTTGTTATAAATAATCATTGCACGATAAATTACCTGTGTTGCTTTGCTTACTTTGTGTATTACAGGGGTAAACCAGCTTGCTACATGAACAAGTACGGGGTTAAAGAAGGTTGGTTAGGTAAGATGTTACCTCAAAATTACACATCAACAGAACAGTGACTAATCAGATGTCCAAACATGAAAAAATAAGGATCCACCGAGGCCCGTTCTTCACAATATCATAGGACCGTTAGTCGAAAGCCGAATCCAATAATTGCTTTATTATTCACTCAGACTATTTGCACATCACATCATTGTTCCTATCTTCAAAACATTTACCTGTTTGGCTATTTCATCTTGTCATAACGTGTGAAATCTTTCCCCCTTTTTTTTCTAACACTAAACACTACCCCTCTAAAACAGCTGGGCCAACGCGTCGGTTGTCCTTTTTTCTGCTGATATTAGACAGTACAATCTTCGTCAGCTGTCTTGAAATCGGCAAACATTGAAGTTCAGGGTTAGCTGCTTGTGATCATGAATTCAGATTCGCCGATTTGGATTTGCCAATTTGCCATGGTCGAAGCATCCGAAGCAGCCAATTACTGCGGGCCTTGACAATCCCCCCGCCCCCTGTGAGAAATAGACCACACCACCGGGGTCTACGTCCTCTACTCTTTTCGAAAATAAGTGTGGTTCTCTAACGCTTCCTTCTAATTGATACTGAAGGCTGAAGGTTACAAGACACCGCCCATGACGCGATCATCGAACAGAGAAAATTTCGTACATACAGCCAGACCAGCCACCATGACATTGCCAGTATTTTTAAAGACTCTAGTTGGTACTATGGTCCGGCCGGGATTTCAACCCGCTTCTTTCCACCCGGCAAACCAGAGCTCTGTCGACTGAGCTAATGGGCGACGCCTGGCCGGTGGATTTAACCCAATCAGAAATGGAGAAATATTTTCAATGAATGACAATACGATTTGTTATTTTTACAGCTCTAGATAGACGCATTGTCAGCATTCTAGGATACAGTAAAATGCAGGACATGATTTATGGAGTGGCACCAAACAGAAGATCATACGTACGCTGCAACGTCACCAAGTGTATGACAGTTGTTAAAACATGTTGGCTGGCAGAAAGAGAATCTCAAACAACTGTACTTGCTACAGAGATTGCCTTTATACCAGTGACGGGGCATGATTTGACCGATGCACCCATTTCTGTCTATAACTTGAATGACGCAGGAGGCAACACCTGGTCAGGTAGAATTATATTAGAGACGTTAAGAGTGCGTTCTTTTGGGATGATCCGGAAATCCGGATCAGCTGGATCAGGGATCCGTGATCACTCGGATCATCAGTTCCATCAAATGAATCGGCGATAAATCCTTCTTCAGAGTGGATTCATCAGTTAATTTGATGCAACATGATCCGAGTGATCTTGGATCACTGACCCTGATCTGGATCATCCCAAAGGCACCCACCCTAAGACGAGAACTTTAACAACCACGAGGACCAAATTTTCTTAGTAGGGCGCGCGTGAGCCCGCGTCATTTTGGCAGGAAAACGTGATAGCCGTCTTCATTCAACGACGAGTTTTAGTGAGAATGTCTTAGCAGCACGAAGCAAGTTATCAAATGTTAAAAGTTTTAAGTCATTTTGCGATCGGGAGAGGGCTTATAACCTCCTTCAATACAGAATAACAATGCTAACTTTTCTGGTGAAACAAAAGTACAATGAAGTTTTCTGGGGTGTCTATTTTCAGTTAAATCTCGTGCTCGCAGTCGTTTTCGTCCTTTTCGAGTCTTGAGGTCTCTGATCTATTGTGGAGTGGAATACAGTGGTCTACTAAACTAAACGTCTTTTCCCTGTAGGAAAATTGCCTCTTATCCTGCATTTCTATGACCGGGGAAGTAATTGTGTCTGAGAGCTCAGATATTGGCGATTTTATACCGCCTTTCCCTTAGTGGCTGACGCAATTAAACCTTAACTGTCCATTCACTTTTTCTCCGCTTGCCCTTCCACAAAATCAACTGACCATAACTTTATAGCTCCATTGAAGCGTGAAAGGGGTGGCAACGCCTCACCTGTGGTAAAATGCATAATATTGCCGGTATAACTGAAACTCATTCACCCACGAAAAATCGCTGAGAACAGCTCAAGAACTCGTTTGAAACTCTCACTAATTCGTGCGGTTCCACTAAGATCGAATACGACACGTCCCAGTGAATGCTGCCGTTGGTCGGGGTGGCCGCATATCTGCATGACTGATTATCAGGCCCCGTTGACACAAATCTGGATATTTTAAAACAACATCATGTTTTTGACACGAATAGGACGTGGATGATTGAGTGGATTCACTGCTTTCGTTCTGTTTAAAAAATATCCGGAATCGTGTGGGTGGGGCTTCTCTCTGAATGACTTTAGTTCTAGATTTGATCTCATCAGTTGAGTCCTTCCCTAACACAAACAAAATTTTGCTTTATATTCTCTGTGTGTGGATATGATTACATATACTGAAATTAAGTTCCTCTCACTTATTTCCCATTTTTTTTCTCTTTTAAAACCTTTGCTAGCATCAGCGGTGGGTCTACACTTCAAAGAGGCACCAAGCCAGTCATGGGAATTAAAAGCAAGATGGAGAGCAAAAGGTACGATTGCAGCTTAAACCAAAGCAAAAGCACTTTGTCTTGTGACTTTTTTCCTCTGAAATTTCCCTACAAACATAATGTTTACTGAAAGATCATGCATATAGCAAATTCCTGGTATAGTAAACACAACAAGTGAGGACGCCCTTACTCCTTCCTAGCTGTGCCTGATGTCTATAATTTCGTATTTACAGACCTGAACGAATGCTACAGCAGTCCCTGTGAGAACGGTGGATCTTGCGTCGGAGATTACAAGAATTATACTTGTACCTGTACAAAGGACTGGATAGGGCGAAACTGCGAGATTGCTCATAGTAAGTTATTTTTCCCGGACTGTCTTAACGGACTTTTTCGCTATATAATTTATCACTTTATCAACAAAACAGCAGTAGAGAAATAAATTATGGCCATCTTCCGTTGTCGGACCCGGGAATAGGTTGCTGGGGTAGGATATTCACAACCGGTTGGCCATAATTTACGTTCATTATCGATAGATTTACTACTGAGTCCGAGGAATGCTGTGACCAATTTCATTATGTCTGCCCATCTCATGTATAGTGGAAAAGCGGTGGTGTTTTATTAGGTCGCACATTTGTGTGTGTGTGTGTGAGTGTGTGTGGTACATATACTTAGCTTTCAAACACCTAGCGTTGTTGAGTTTTGTCGCTATCCTAGAAGCAATGGGCACTTAAAATATTAAAATATACTGCCTTAAGTGGAGGGCGTGCTAACTCAACGGAGAGAGGTCGGGAGGCGCTTATTTGGAGATGGTTGCCAGTTGAGCATTGCCTAGTCCCAAGGCCTCATTATTCCTCGCGGTGACGTTTCGGGTCACATGATCCATTCGTCTCGAATACGTCACCGAAATACATTGACCGAGAAGGCCTGGGAAGACGCGATAAGGACCAGGCAAGGTAGTCTGCGTAGCAGGCGTCGAAAGGGGTAGGGGGTAGGGGATAGGGAGGAAGGGAAAAAGGGGAGGGGGATTGGGGAGAGGGAGAGGGGACGCCTGCTATATAAAGAACCCCCTTTTGTTCATATCTGCGGCGTCCGCAAATTCCTGATTGGCTGAGCCGTAATGAGTAACATATTGAAATGCGCGTTTCACAAATCAACAAACAGTCGAGACGGCAGCGGTAGACGTGGATGTCGTAAAGAGTGCTTTGAGATATGTGAATTTATCTAGTGGTAGAGAAACTGTTTTAAAACCAAAGCAAGAATCAGCAGTAAGGGCTCTTTTAGCCGACAGAGATGTTCTGGCGGTTTTGCGGACCGGACAGGGAAAGAGTTTAATTTACCAAATGTTTGTTTGCGCGAAAAACTACGAGCTAAATGGTAATGCGGCGATTCTCGTCATTTCGCCACTGAAAAGTATTATCGAAGATCAGTTGCAGGAGGTGGAATTGTTGGGCTACCCAGCGAAAGATTTAGCCAATTTATCGAACGACGACATTCGCCGATGTAACTTAGCAATAAAGAGGGTGGTTTTACCTCATGCCAAAATTCTGCTTATTCCAATAAAGTTGTTTTTATTTGCTGGGTAGATTATGCTCTGGAAGGTTCTGCATTTATACTGAGCAAATGTTATTTTAGCCGCATGTTTCACGTTGAGAGGTCATGACATACATATCGATTGACTGTAGTTATTGTTTTCTGGTCGGCAGGATTTGCCCTCTGATGCAAGCGCAATTTCTTTGACCTCTTTTGAAGCGTAAAGCTTTTTTTACTACGGCTGAATAAGGGTTCCAATTTTCTCCAAATTGCCTTCTAGATCTGAATAACTAAGCGAATTTCTTTAGTCCGTGAGTGTAATGTTTTTCTGAAATGGTGAGTGTAGCGACACTTGATTGACAGTAAGCGTAATCGGATTACTAGAAAATTGGTAGGCGTTATGCAAAAACATAGGCTCTTAGAGCAGGCGCTCCCTTCCCTTTTCCCTTTCTCCCTCCCCCCTCCACTTTTTGCGCCTGCCACGCAGGCTAAGGCAAGGTGAATACCTTAGTACTTGGTTCCTGATCCCTTTTTAAATCTTTTTTTAACTTCTTAGATGTTGTGCCTCCAACGCTGACGGTTTACATTAGCGCTGCAAGCTGCTCTGGAACCAAAGACGACGCGAACAGAATAATAAAATCACCAGGATACCCGTCCTCTTATTCCGATAATGAATACTGCACATGGGAATTAGTTTCCTCCCATCGAATTAAGCTCACTTTTACATATTTCGTCACCGAAGCTAACTATGATTACTTGTATGTGTACGATGGCGACTCGACGTCTTCTCAGTTTGAAAAATGGAGTGGAGTTAACACTGGAGAAGTGGTGAACAGTACAGGACAAAATTTGTTTTTGAAGTTTACTACCGATGGCAGTGTGATTAAGACGGGATTTACAATCAACTTTAAAGGTAAAAAAATATACAAGTTGTTAGACTTCACTAGCATGAGTATCTGACATTTCTGTGGAGGAGAGGGAGTGGGTAAAAGAATAGCGAGACTAAAAGGGGAGACCGTCACTTCAAAAACGTGGTTGCGTTAGCTTACGAGAGGTTCTACACTGTAGCTAAAGGGCTTTGACTGGGTCGAATTCTAGTGTTTCCGATTGATGGTCGCTTATTTGAGGTACTTTGCCGGGCGATAGCCTGTAATAGACCACCCCACAGGCCTTTGTTACAGTAAAGAGAGAAAGGATACCATATCAAAAGAAGAGTTTATAACTATCAGGTTTAATTTAATACTTACTCTTAACATTGTTACTTTTGTCTTGCAGCAATTGAATAGCATCACGTCCGTAGAAGAAGGAAGAGAAAGAATTCAAGATCTCAACTATGAGTGAAAACTAAATTTAAATCCGTGCACACTTTTTTCTTGCTAATATTGTTCTACTGGAGATCATTGACTGACAAACGGAAAAGACAGCAACATAGAATCGTACGCTTTCGAACATCTTCTTCTAAGAAGTCACAGTAACTTCATGCTTTCACTCCTAAATTTCGTACAAAATGTAAGCATTTTTCGTCCTGGTTGCTCGATGAAGCCTATTTTTATGTTTCTGTGAAGTTTTAACCCTTGTTACATCAATTTAAGAAAGGCCGGAATGTTACAAGAGTGGACCCACCAGAAAATAAAGTCTTACAACGGTCATTTGGCGCACTAAATCACTGTGCCAGCGCAAAAATCTTGTCAGATTTTTTTTTGCACAGGATGAAAAACGTTTTTTATGTTAACAAAATATATTATTATACTCTTAGCCTTTACTTGATGAGCGACACAACAGCCCATAAAGGCGGGGCGCAAATAACTTGGGAAAATACAGCATCGCCATGCAGTATACAGTCGCAGGTCACTAATATATCATGTTGAATTAGGCAACGTAAAGCAATTGCCAGCCCATTTCAACACGTACACTTGTTTATAACTTGTTTGTACTTGTGCGAAAAGCATTGACATAGTAACCTGACAAGCACAGGAAACAATTTTTTTTCATTTTTCTTGAAACTCACTTATGCAGTAGTGGGAACCAGTATAAGAAAAGCGCAAGTAAGCTGAGAACCGAACAACACTGTACAGGCTTACATGTAACGTTCTTAAACTTTTTCACCGGCATTTTCGTCCATAGAGCCCGTAGCTAGTACTTCCTTTATGCCAGGCGGTCAAAAAGCCGATGGACACCGTGAACGAGAATGCACCGTAACGTTTAGTAATGTTTCTTGTGCTAATCGCACAACAGTCAACCAGCCTCGTCAGCAGCTGAACACAAGATTCGCTTCATCTTGCCTGCTCTCTTGGCGCAATCCATAAAATTATACTAAATACATTATCACGACTCAAGTGCGTGGGAGAACCGATGCAAAAACTGTTGTCATTACAATTATTATGTCCGCGCAAAAATGTCTTCCTCAAATAGAAACATACACGCTACGCACTGCAACCTTATACTCTCGTCCACATCAAACTAGATCACCACTTGTTCAATGTTAAGACTGAAGACTGCTTCTCCTCTGCTGTGCAGTGAGTTTCATCAGTCTTTTGCCTAAGTTGGCATTGTGTTGCTGCAAGTAACGGATCATGTCTGCTTGTTTTTCCAGAACTTCGTCCAAGTAATCATTGTCCCTAAGTGATAAATTTTCAATCAATCACACGCATGTTGTGGTTTAATTTAATCCTTGGTTGAAATGTTATTTTCGTAAAACAACAGTCATCATTTAAATCACAATATGTACACCCTTGCACTCTTCTTCTGCATGTAAATGTTGTAAAGGTACGGGAAAAACGGGCAACAAAAAACGTGCAACTTGTTTTGCAACATTACTGCAAAACGAGTTGAATAGCGATGTTGCGCGTTTTACCATCCACATAAAACCTGTCTTGCAACAAATCAGGTTGTTAACAGGTTTAAACTTGGGTGGTAAAACGCGCAACATCGCTCGTTAACTCGTTTTGCAACAAGTTTTTGCAAAACAAGTTGCACGTTTTTTGTCACCCGTTTTTCCATACTTCAATGCTCAGGTGCTTGGTTGGGCATTGAAACAAACAAATCTCTTGTCCAAGTCTCGCATCGAAAACAATGAAAAGAATAACATGAGTAGTTTTTTGTATGTCATTTTCAACTTTAATTACTGACCTGTAACCTGTTACAGAAACAGAGCCTGATACGCCATGGTTGATATAGGAGTTTACATAGTCTATGTCTTCTGCATCTGGCAAAGGCTTTTTTCTGTTAAACCTTAAAACTTTGACTGTTGGGAAAAAAACGCGCTTTATTTGAGTATCAATGCACATGTATTTAGCACGAAAGTTCTAACTGAGGCGATACTTTAACGTCTCCTTATACTGGAGACGGGACCGCCATTTTTCGTGGTCATCCGAGCCACGTGAAGGTCTACCCGTTTGCAGGGCAGAGGAAGTACCTTCATTTCTCAGTTACAGCTGTATTTCAAGTCCCTGAGTAATAGCACGACCCTGGAAATCGTACCCAAGATCATCCTTCTCTGCTGTTAAGCGCTCTTTCGACTGAGCTAATCTTGCCACAGTCAAAAAATAACAAAGGCATGTGTCAACAATTAAAAACATGATAAAAGACAAGTGAAAGTCAAGCAAAGAAATTATTGGAGAATAAATTATTGCACAAGACATGCCGATAATAATAATTATGGTGATGACTGTTCCATTTTACCATCACATACCTAAGTACCATAATATCCCTGGTACACAAAGCACAAACTCAATTGAGAAGATAATCTGCAGAATATTGTACAAAGCCAAGTTCCCTCTGTTAGACTTGTTGTTATCATGACCAATAACTGCAAATATAACCAATAGGACTGCATTTCCTGTATGAAAAACCAATAAAAACAAGTGACTCAAGAGGAGATAAGAAGCAGGTGTCTTACACAATGTACATGTTACAGTAAGGGTAAGAATTTCTGGTCAACCTATTAAGCCCCAATACCACAGACAGTACAAACTTCCAGACTGATTTCCACACATGTGCATTTGAATCCTTAAAGAATCAGTTGAATGAATTTGATAAAAGTTTAAAGCAATTTTCCTTGGTGATCATTAGTTTCATTAACTCTTATAGCTTTTTCTCTTGATAAAGTATTAGTGTTGTTAGGAGAAAATTGATGTTGGTCGGTCTTGGGACTTACAGGGTTAAGAGGAAGAGGAGGAGGGGAGAGAGCAAGGACAAGGCTCAGGGTCTAGGGTCTAATGGTACCAAGTTTCTTTAGTATGAACCACCAAGGAGCATAGAGAGGAGAAGTGTGATGTCAAGTTACCATGGTAGCCAAATTACTGGATGACAACAATAGGGCCATGATTAAGCAACGATGACAGCAAAAGTAACGAGAACAGCTAAAAAACCCGATAGGTTAAGATTAGCAAAACAAAAACTTTGCATGTGCATCACCCCTTTTTTGTACATTTCTTAGCCGCCCTTGAACGACTGCGACGTGAACCTTCCTAATTTCAGGGGCCCGCTTAATGGAGTAGGTGAACACAACACAAAAAGTTCATAGTTGTCCAATACTCTGACAAAATTATGCATGGCTTCGTTAAATTTCTCACTGTTTTGCTTCGTTCTTTATTGTTATGTTTTTGTACAGTATTGTAATGTGCAGACCATACAATACAATACCATGCATAAATTTGTTGGAGTATTGGACAACCCTCAAAAAGTTTATTTTTTTTGTAAACTCAGATACGGTCCTTTCAGATTAAATCCAGAAAATTTAGCCAACATTTGACAAATTAAATGAAATTGAATAAGATCAATGAAGTTTGAAACAGTGCGAATTTACTTCTTTAGTGAATTTTCGGTTTGTTGTCATCCAAAATTTTTGCTACCATGGCAACATGACATAACCACTTCTCCTCTCTATTCCCTCAACCCCTGGATGAGATGCTATTTCATTACAAGGTTACCACCAGCAATGACTATGCCCCTACTACTTGTTTAGAGCCCATTTAGGGCCTGTTAACATGGAGGTGGGGGACCCCGGGTAGGCAAGGTAACCCGCTTAGGTGGGGTAACCTGCCTGTAAATATAATTTCTCATTTTAATTTGATCATGTTTACATAACAGGTCACCCCACCTGTTACCTCGCCTACAGCTGTATCTGGGGTCCCCCACCTTCATGAAAACAGGCCCTTAGACAATTGGGTTAAGAGAGACAAAGTGGAGAATAGTTTCATGTCACAGAAAATAATGCCTCGCCAATATTAGGCTTGAACCTGGACCTAAAAGGTCTGATGTTAAAGGTGTTGACTGCTTGGCTGCCAAACCTCCACTAACTGAACAGGGCTCCAAAAATCCCATTCAGATAAAGAGATGTACTGTACATTTTCTGGAGCAGTGAAATGATGTTCACCATTTGGATAAGATACCTTTTCTTCTCTTATAAGCAATGAATTTAATTGAACAGATCAGTACAGACAACAATGTATGAAGTGAAAGTGGCTTTTGAACTGTGCAAAAAACAAAATTAATGTTCCGTTTGTGGTTATCTTTTGATGTACATTTCTTAATCACAATGATGTGCAACTTAGTTACACTTATGCAAGTAGATCTTCCAGTCTACAAATTTGCTACGTTACTGGTCCAAACCCGGCAGAGAACTCCAACCATTCTGTTACCACAATAGTTAAGGATTTCAAATTAATAATAAGCAAGTAAACATGAAGAAAGGAAAGTTTCTGAGTCAAAGTCATACCTGTGGAAAGTACATAATGTGGAAATCTTCTTAACTCTTTAGTTTCTCTAAAGAATTCCAGATAACCTCTGGCTTGTGACTGGTGATGCAAGTACTGTAACGTTCTGTCTGAGATAAATATAACAACCCAGAGGCCCACATGCAGCAGAACCAGGAAGCTGAATGGAGGATCTGTCTCCCCACTACCAATAGAAAGTGATTTGCCATCCATAAGTGTCTTATTGGGAAGTATAAACTGCAGGGTTTCATAACCAATCTGAAAAGACAAAGATGACACAAAAATAGTACGTAAATGTACTAAAAGCTTTTTTAAAAAATTAATCTTTCCCAATTCATTGCCGGAGGTATAATTTAAATAACTCTTTATACCTATCAAAAGAATATTTTCACAACATGAAAATAATAATATACTTACAAAGAGAATCAGCTGCAATAGAGCAATCCATGATGTACGAATGGGGTGAAATCTGGTCTCAGGATTAAGTCCTAAAGATGCTGTCTCACTAGCCAAGGCTTCCTCTTGAGCTGGGGAATGCAAACCAGGTGCACTCTCCTCTTGGTTGAAAAAATAACCCTACAGTGTACAAATATAACCTGGTGCTTAGTATTTTACTAACCACACTGCATGTAAACATTAAATTCAATTTTCAGATTAAAATAACAACAATGCTTTTAGTTTAATGGCCTTGGCTACTATAAGTATTATGCAACTCAAAGTTACAGTATCAGGCGTGGATCTAGGATAAATACTGATTGATTTCCCAAGCGAAGGTGCAAGCTTGTAGGGGGTCAAGGGGCATGCTCCCCTGGGAAATTGTTTGAATTTTAACTCCCTAAAGTTCCCTTTCCTGGGTTTCTGAGTCATTCAGACAAGACATTGGCCAGTTCCATTCTTCAAGGATGAAGCCTTGCCATTGGTGGATTATTATTGTCCAAACCAAAAAATTTGGAGAGTTCACTCCACTTGCACTCTCCAAATTTATTCACTCCCTATACTACTACACCATTTACCAGATTTCATCTTGGAAAGCCTTTTTATCGTATTTAATTTTAAAAATCTGACTGATTTTCGTAAAACGATGGAAACCCATGTGGATCCGCGTCTGAGTAAGGGGATGAGCAACCAGAAGGCTGGCTGACGGTCACAAGTTCAATTTGTAGGGAGAACTTGCATTTTTTGTTTCCTGTTACCTATGCAGCCTATGTTGCTGACTGAAAAGACATCATACTCAACGAAAAACACAATAAATATTAATTATCATGATGACCAAAAAAGTGATGCTCCTTTTCTTTTATCAGACTTCAACTCATTGACCAATGGTAGGAAATACTTGTTCTATTAAAACTTTTACTTGTAGCTACTGAATTAAATTTTAGGGTTTAAAAGAGAATATCCGAACAAAATAATGAAATAAGAACGAGAACATATTAATTACGGTGTTAGGCTTATTTATACTCTCGAGGTGTCGCTAGTCTTGCTAGGTGACAAAGAGCTACGTGTAGCTTTAAATTTAGCTTAAGTAAAGAGAATTCAATCCTAAATATTGTTTTCAGTTCCTGCCTATACTGTCGAGAACGAGGTATACGAAATTAGAGTCTTTAACTTTCGGTTTACGGCAAGTAGAAAGCTTAGGTGCGAACTAGTCCAGCTGAGTGCTGAACATCACATTAGCCTGCTTGGAGACACTTACCCCTTGTGCGTGTTCGCCGCTTAAACTAACCATTTTCCAGCAGGATAGCTCTTCACATCTTGCAGCGTGGTCTAATACCAGTCGAGGAGAAAGTGACCGTAAACAACGAACCACATGACTTCCTCAACTGATGTCCGATGATGTCGATGTCGACTTTCGAACCAGCATTACGAGCCCGTAGTATTTTTAGTCAGCAGATTAGCAAAACAGTCCCAGGTCTCCGCTCAATCGTGATTTTCCATAATGGCTGCTGCGGTGACAAAGCAGAAACTTTCCGCTGCTAAATTTGCTGTTCTTGGAGGAGGAGTTTCAGGACTTACCGCTGCCTATCGACTTTTAAACAGAGTTAAAGATCCTAGTAACATAATCGTCCTTGAATCAAGCAATCGTGTGGGTGGATGGGTGCAAAGTTGTGTTACGGAACAAGGTGCTGTCTTTGAGTTAGGTCCCCGTAGTATCCGTCCTGTTGGCAAGGCTGGAATGGCAACGCTGAAAATGGTATGTATGACTCAAGTAATGAACATTTGGACAGGATTTTAATAAACTCTCATTTTCCCCTCCCATAGTAGTCACTATGGGAGTCAGTCAGCTTGAACAACTCGTCTAACGCCCCCCACCCCCCTCCCCCTTACACCTCTCTTCCCCCCCCCATACAAACCCAGTTAAAGGATGCATTTCTTATACGTAGGATTTTCAATCAAAGTTTACATTTAAAGCATTAGGTTTTGACTTGCAGTTTCATAAGTCTGCTTGTTTATCTGTCCTTGTTTTAATATATTTAATGAAGGTACCCAAGAGAAAGTGTTATAGTGATCGATAGTTCCATGGCAACCTGAGTCTTGGTGTTTTTTTGAAACAAAGAATTCGTTTGTCTTGGTGGTTGGGAGATTTGAATTAAAAAAAATGAAAAATAATAATAAAAAAAAACGAGTCAGGGTGGTTGGCAGATTTGCATAACAAAAACATTGTTAACAACATAATGATCACTATTGTCAACTACAGAGTACAATTAGGAAGTTCATCACTTCACTTAAACAGAACCGGAATTTTCCAGCTTGAGTTGCTTTTTCCTACGCAAACTTGCTGGTTTCTGGCTGTAAAGGATCTTATCAACTCCATTCTGTTTTACTATTCTGCAGTGATTTTCTTTCATATAAATCTTCTCCCCGCAGTCCCTACATATGATTTTCATGTATTCAATATTTCATTGTCATCCTTTTATGGGTTTATAATATTATTAACCAATTCAATGACCTGTTCCCAGTTGGCTTGTTAGCTCAATTGGTAGAGTCCTGCGCTGGTATTGCAGAGGTCAAGGGTTCAAATCCTGTACAAGCCTTAATTTTTTCAGTCTTCCTTTTCATAACTGCAAAAGTTGCACCTATAAATGCAATGATCTCTTTTCATATAATTCTCTTATGATTGAGCATCTTGAAATACTGTGAGTGTCTTTTCTTTCATCTGCAGGTTCAAGATATTGGATTGGAAAAAAGAATTCTTGCAGTTCCCAGAAGTCATCCAGCAGCAAAAAGTAGATTTATTTACTCAAGAGGTAAACTTCATGAGCTTCCTACCGGCATCATGTCCTTAATAAAGAGACAGCCGCTCTTCTCAAAGTCATTGTTACCTTTGATACTCAGAGAACCTTTTGTGGGAAGAAAACAAGATGATGTTGATGAGTCTGTATATGACTTTTTCAAAAGAAGAATGAGTGTAGAGGTACATGAAGAGATGAGTAAAGGTTTCGGATCATTTAACCTTTCTGGGAAACTGCCCACCTACCCCTCCCCTAAGCCAACATTAATACTTACTTCTCACTTAAGGCAAAATGTTGGCTTAGGAGAGGGGTAGGTGGGCAGTTTCCCAGAAAAGTAAAATGATCCGAGGTTTCCTTATGTTGTGATGAAAATTATTGGTTTTATTCTATGCATTAATTTCTCCCATGCAGCCTAAAAGCATTCTGTAGACTCGTTCCTCACAGAAGCTACTGCTGGATGTTACAAAAAAATAGCAAAATAATAATAGTTGTGTTTGAGATGATGGGAGGGGAGAAAGGGCAAGAGTCTCTCTTCTTCTCTTTCCACATCATTACATTTGCACTTTCATTTTTCCCTCTCTCTATTCTCTGAGGCCTCTGCAGAGAAGAGAGTTCTGTCTATGGAATCATTTCCTTCAAAGTTAGGCTTAGCTGGGTAAAATAATAATAACCTTGAACCCATACTGCACATACGATTTTCTATTGTCTTACATGTAAGACATAGATTGAACCCCTGTCTTTGCTCAGGGTGTTCATTAGGCATTGGAGGTTGGAGAATTCTCTGGCAAACATTCGGTAGCCTATGACTCTTTATATTTAGACAAGGAGCCACTTTCAAAATATTCTCTTCTAACATTACACCTTTCTCCTGCTACTAGAATTCTTTGTGAAAACCCTGTTTGCTACAGTTTAGTTACAAAAGAACTAATGGATATGTCCTACAAGCTGAAAGTATCACCAGAATCGTAAGACAAAAGTCTTGTATTCTCACCAAGTAGCTCCTGTCCCTTTTCCGAAAATCATTTTCATTGAAGCATCTAATTTTTTTCAAAGTCATTATTTCTGTCCAAGATTAAAATCTTTGTCTACCATTATTGGCAGTATTATCCCAAAAAGTCTAATAAGGAAGAAATTGATACCTTATTTTATATCGTGAGAAAGTTAAAGATGCCTGCAGACAGACAAAAAATATTCAAGTGTCTAATTAACTATATTGAATTACACTGTATACTGTCGACTCAATTTCTTTCCTTTTTTCGTTGTTGTTTTCAAGGTAGCAGAGTATCTGAGTGATCCACTTTGCAGAGGAATTTTTGCTGGTGACACTCGCTTGTTGAGCCTGAAGTCTTGTTTTCCTTCAGTTTATCAATATGAAAACCAACACGGTTCCATATTAAAAGGAGCTTTTCTCACAAAAGAAGGTGGGCATTAAGCATAGTCGTTACTTTGACCCCATTAGAAAATCTGTTCAAAGTATGAGGCTGAATGTTTTTGTGGATGAGATCACTGGATGTGACTCCTGTAGAGTTATGATGAAGATATCAAACAATTTTATCAGGGACCACTAACTACAATATTTTTTGGGTGATTTTTGCAGGCACAGAATTAATTAAAACTACTTTTCAAGTTTCAATCCATGTCATCCTTGCCATCCGTTGGCAACAGAAGACAGCAAACAGTTTCAATGCGTAAAATAATTTTGTGGTCTTAAATAACAAAACTGAACAAATGTTTGGAATTTGATTGATGCAAAAAGCTTTAGCTTGGTAAAAAGATAGGAAATAGTGTGACATAGGTCCTTTTAGAATAGGACTGTTTATGACAGTGACTGACATTTCAACAACTACAGCTGTACTTTGAATCTGATAATGACGTCCACACTTTGTGCCTTAACATCTGTCACAGTCACCATTATGGCAATAGTCATAGCTGGAGCTCATTCACCCAGATGACCAAATTCCACCAACTTTTAACTTATTTCTCTTGCACTCATAGCCCCAGACACCTCTGTCCTAAGCCCCCTAGCAACATTAGCCGAGAAAGAACGTTGGAGCACATGGTCTATAGAAGGTGGCATGCAGACAGTGACTGATAAATTACATGACATACTTAAGCAACAGGGAGTTAGCGTCAAAATGAACGCACCTTGTACATCTTTGAGCATGACGTCTGATGGAAAGCTAACGGTGCATTCAGTGAATGATCAGATTACAGTAGATCACGTAATAAGTTGTATACCAGCGCAGTGCCTGGCAAACATTGTACCATTGGACTGGAAACCTCTAGCTGATGAGCTGAGTAATATTCATACCACAACAGTGGGAGTTGTGAATTTAGAATATGAAGGAAGTGTAGTACCTGTGGAGGGTTTTGGGTATTTGGTTCCTTCTTCTGACGAAACCCAAGTTCTTGGAGTTATCTTCGACTCTTGTGCTTTCCCTGAAAACGACAGACATCATGGTGGCAAAACTACAAGAATAACTGTGAGTGTCAAATCTTTCTTTTTATTTTACCTTAAATTACTATCTTGTGCTTTTTGCTGCTCTTTCAGCTGCCTCTATGAAATTAAACTGTTGTTTTATTTCAGTAGTCTTTAATCAGCTTGAGGTCAAACAGCATTATTGCACAACAGTCACGTAAAAGGCTATGTCGATCAGGGTTTGAAACAAATTTGAATTCCAGCTTGTCCTTCGGGCAAACAGCTGTCGCATTTTACTTTTCCCGGCCAGCTACTTCTTGCTTGTCTTACTGTTACTGATTTTTTTAGAGGACGACTTGCACACTTGTGTCGGACTACTACTTATTTTCGAACCCTGTAAATCCCTCTTTTTTAGTTTCTATTTTGTTTGTAAAATTTGTCTGTTGTTTTTTGTTAGGTGATGATGGGAGGACACTGGTTCAATTCCTTATTTGGAGATCCCGACTCAGTCGATCCGAACCACCTACAGAATGTTGCCATAGAAACAGCGGAGAAAACACTTGGCATACGCACCAAGCCAACAAGCTGTCTGACCAGCATTCTGCGTGACTGCATCACGCAATACACACTCGGACATTCAGATCGTATTAAAAACATTTTTGATTTTATTGAATCGCGCAAGCTACCCCTTACGCTGATTGGCGCGTCGTATAACGGCGTTAGCGTGAATGATTGTATTTATAATGCACAACAAGCGGTGGACCGAATTTTAGAGTCGCGGGATGAAATCCCGCGATGAGTCCAGGAAGAAGTTGTATGTAGTAAAATTTGTCTGTAAATGGATGTAATAAAGGTTGTTTTTATCGGCCAGTTCCTTTGATTTGCTTTGATCTCAGTGATCTGGGATCCCTGATCCTGATCTCGATCCTGATCGTTCCAGTGGAAAGCACCCTTTTCGATACTGAATCATATTCTTTATTGAAGTGAAGTGGGGTGTACGGCGATTTCGCCCCCGCAACGAAACTAAGGTACTAATAACATTAGCTGCTGACTACTAAGACCCCGTTTTTTTGGAAAAAAAGTTGTGCCGGGAAAGATTTAGGGTCATTCTCTCTGCTGAGCCCCCACAGGGTTCGCACGCACCTTGAAAGTCCTTGAATGTTAAAAATTCAAGGCCTTGAAAGTCCTTGAAAATTGCAGTCGGTGCTAGAGTAGCCTGTGCCAGGCTCTCAGATAGTATATGGTGGGAACGTATTAAAACGAGCAAAGCGAAAGTAAGACGCGCACGACTTATTACTGAATGACTTTCCACCACCATCTCGGAGCCTGAACAGGCTAGTGCTGGAGAGTCCTTGAATTTCAATGCTAACTTTATAGTTTATGTAGAACTCCACAGAAAAGGAGCAAAAACAGAAAGACCTTCAGGATAAAATTACTCATGTTGTGGAAGAACAAAAAAAGACATAGACTCAAGGCAGTCGGTGCGCAAAGTTTGAAACCGGTTAAACTTTTAGCCACGAGCAAACGGACGCGACGACTGCCAACATTGTTGGCCCAACAATGTTGGGAGATTTTGCGTCCGTTTGCACGTAGTTTAAGTCCAGCGGTTACATCAACCGTATTTTTTATATGACAAAGAGGTGACCGGCCCTCCCGTCCCCGGGTGGCGCGTGTCAGTTTGACATAACCGACATAGTCCATGATCAACCTACAACCTGTTTTCACCAGTATGAAAGTAGTAAATATACTCAAGACGAAGGAGCCAAAACAGAAGATCGTAAAGGAGCAATGCATTGTATATCATTTCAAATGGGGTCTATGTAATATGGACTTGTTCACTAATCGACACCTACATCAGCGCATCAGCGAATACGTGCAGGCTCAAATTCGTCGATCGGGATGCACATGAAGGAACATGGGGTCGAGAAACCAAGCCTGCCAGACAATTTTTTGGTGCTCAAAAAATGCAGAATCTGCAGAAATAAATTCAAAGGCCTTGTCAGGCTACGAGAAGCTATTTATACCAGACATCAAGCCATCACTGAACGTGCAATCGGAATCGATTCTTCCATTTAAGACATTCTACACAATAATGATGTATACGAATGCAATCATTATTCAGACTTCAACTCTTTTAAAAACTTAACATTTCTCACTGCTAATAATGATGTTAGAAACATGAAAACGTCGAGTAACGTTCTTAAGTTTAATTTTTACATTTTTCACTTGAAAAATTAACATATGGCAGGGGCACCCAACGAGAATATTGTTGAAAACCACTTAAACATAGCATTGTTAAACATATTTTAGTATTTAGACGGTAGATATAGGCATATTTTTATCCCCTAAAAATTCGGATTTCCTAGCTGAAGTCTAGTGATCCGACAAATTCTAGGGATCAAAACTTACTTTTTCGAAAATTTCAGCCAGAAAAAAGGCTCCCGAAAATTCTAGGTGACCTTTTAAGGGTAAAAATCCGTTAAAAATGGGCAATTACAGTAGTTTTTAGATGCTCGAAAATCCGAGGAGAGGCAGGCAAGCAAGAAATTTTACAACAAATAATGTTCCGAAAATCTAGATCTCAAATCGTCTTCCGAACAGATATTTTCCGAAAATTGTCGCTGGGTGCCCCTGATATGGATCGCTCAATCAGTAACAACAACAAATTGTTGCAAACGTGACGGTACTCTGTTTTCATTAATCTTGCGCTGGAAAAGTGTCCTAAAAAGTAATTACTGGGAGCAATTAACAAGGAACAAAAAGGAAAAGCATTTCTGTCCGATTTGTAAGGATTCATTCGTCAAACGTCATAGACCAGATTTGTTAATATAATCAAAGTTCGTCAGAATCGCCTTCTTTGTAACTAATAGAAACAGAAAGATACCGCTTTGTCTGTAGGAATGATCAAATTTCGTAGCTGTAGGCAGAGGATTGTCTAGTAAAATCAGACACAGAAAACAAGAGATGGGGAACGGAGTTTCTGGAAAGGCCTCAGCAAATCTGAAAACGATTTATCTTGAAGTACATGGGCAGAAACAGAAGGTATCTTTGCGGCTTTTATCGAGCGCAACATTTGACGTACGGTAATCGCGATTCTTTTGCCGTTTAATGTACATAAAGAAGACAGAGTGAATGGTTTGGTGTAGCTTGAAATTTCAAAGTCGCCCCATTCTTCAATACCTTTATTACTTGAACTGTCCACTTGCTTTTTCTGTACATTAATAGCTACTACCACATGCTATTCGCTTTCGCATACAAAATTACACTGGTAAACAATAATTCATTTTCTTGAATGTTGAAATACGTCGATCCAATCCGAATAGATCAATAAACTCTTTCAACGAAAAGGATACTTGTCGTTTATGTTAAACTTGAATTTTATTGGGCCTTAATCATTTTCATACCCCGCAACTAAAAGCCCGCCTTAAATTATGTATTATCCGGCATATTCTGTTTTCTTACTAAATAATTCTAGCTATCGAAACTATTATCAAACTTATATGCTTGAATATATTGGGCAAACCTTATTAGATAGCGTTATTTGCGGAGCAGTAAACATGCCAGTGGCAGTGCAATATGTATTATCATCAATTATACTTCAAAAATCTACCACTGAGTTTTGCAAACACAATTATGAGCTGACACTACCTCTGTTTTAATAGATCGTACAAAGTTATTTCAACAATTTTAAAATGAGTGATACATCATGTTGTTTATAAAATTCGGGTATTTTGGAGCAGCTGAATTCTCGAGCTATAGTAAATTGGTCTTGTTGTGTACAGAACTACTCAGTTATCAAGCTTTTTTATGGATTGATCGCCTGGCAAATACCCGGCCGAAGTAATATCAGTACTAAAGCAATATATTTTTAACCGTTTTTATTTGCAACTCTTTCTTTTATCCTATTGATCAATTTACAGTTAACTGATAAAGCCCTCATTTATTTGGCAGCGCACGGCCGATATACAATAGCATAGTTGCAATTCGAGAGGATATCAAGCTATTCCCGGCGTTAAGATATAAGAACTCAGTGTGATTGTCTTCTGTTAAAATAGGTTGTATTTTCCAAGCACTGTACTTCTCGAGACATTAAAGATCTTCTCGCATCGGCTGCTGGAGTGAGCCGGTAAGCTATTAATAGTAATGGTCTTTCCTCACAGCTTTTTTCTTCCTCTGTAGTGTTTGGTTTCTCAGTGCTACCAGTGAGATCTCTAATCGTCCCAAATGGTAAAAGACTACTATCTTTGGGACTGGCCAAAATCTTGACTGTCAACTGAGAAATTAAGCTTTTTTCCTTAACTGGTTGATGAGATCTCAGATCCGAATGGTTTTTATGTGATGCGTTAAATTACATGTATACCTATAATTTAACTTGTTAGTTTTAATTAACTGTACTTAGTTTTAGGATGGGGTACATCGTGGTTAATTGTCTTAAACCTTTGCGACAGCGATTCTGTTATATCTTGGCAAAAAAAAAAAAAAAAAAAAAAAATAATAATCGATTTTTTTTTTGCGAAATGATATGAGGGCAGGCTTTTGCACTAGTCGCTGGCCCTGACCGACACGACCGTTAAGTCCAGTAACATATAGATCTCAGAACGGTCCAATCAGATCAGTCATAAATAAATGATTCCTTTATTTACCCTCGACAGTATTTATATAGCACTTACGCTAGCTGGATCGAGCAAATGACTAGCGAAAGACAAATAATTCATTCTGAAATGTTATGTACGACAGTGATGGGTTTTAAGCAAGAACATCTCTTGAAGAAAATAGCCTTAGTATATTTCCTTTCAAAAATGATTGGTTCAGCCGACCAGTTTTGACTCAGTGATCCAGGCACGACGCCCGAGATGATAAAAAAGCATGTGTTTCAGTTCAAAGAGAACGAGACGACCAATTATTTCACTTTTCATCAAAATTGATATTTTGAATGAGTTGTGATGAAAAAACTTCTAGAACTACAGTAAAGGAACGTGACTTTACAACCTGAGGCATATTTTGAACTAGTGCCATGCAGTAAAGGCTAATCCTTCGCTCTCGCTACTTTCTCCGTTTGCTTGTTTGCTTGTCTGTTTGTTTGTTTTTTGTTTTTGCTAGCCTTGCAGTGTTTTCTTCCAGCTTTGCAGATGCGGAACAAGTGCTTTGAATGCAATTGTGCTGTTGTGCAGCTGTCTTGCGTGCTCGAGTTAACAATGCCTTGACTAACGGGCAGCAGACGGTTGAACTGTGGTCCAGTTCCGACGGAAACCCCAGCGGATGTTTAGATAGAAGTATGTTGTTGCTTTTAATTTTAAATAATTGAACCTGAAAACTTTATATTTCAGATGGTCCAACATGATGCTTAAGACTCAAGACGGAAGCACAGTATGCATCGAGCCAAATTTGCCCTCGAACACAGCGCGGTATGTATGCCTTTAGTTTTAGACTTGACGATTATAAATCACAACAAACACTGATTTAGAGAGTCAGAATTAATTATGTTTTCCTGTGCGTAGGCTAAATTTGTCTTAATTCAATCGGAGTTTCAAAATTGCAGTTTATGGAGGGAGAAACTACAAAACAATAGGATTCTCTTCGAGTACTTTATAGCGATAACGCCGTGCAAAAACCTCGATAACAACCATTAGGTCCCATCGCCATAACTCCCATGACTTAATGCAATATTTCTTATCGCTTTGTTACTAGTAGATACGCCAAAAGTCAACTGAAAGCCTCTTTAGTAGAGAGACAAGCAAGGACATAGAGTTTTGATTAAGCTATAGGAGGGCTCAGTTCGCATGACAGTGATTCAAGAGTGTAGTAACTCCGACATAAATACATTTAGCTCTAGCCTTGGAGTAGGCTCCTTTGTGGCGACTAAAAAAGGCGAATAAGGGGGAAAACAGCGCAGAAAACCCCTTGCCGGGCGGGAAACTTCTCAGAATCTCGCTCGGAGCCACTACTTTTAGGTTTTACGCTTGCTGAGAAATTTGCCGTTTTCGCCCACTAACGAAGAAGCCTGGTCCCTGGCTAAATTAACTCGCTCTCTTAATTCATCTTTTCCGTCTCTTTTTTAAGTTCTAGTTACGACCGCCTCGGTCTTTGATTTCCCGAGGTGGTCGCTTACGAGAGCGTCGACTGTATTTACTGTTGCTACTTTTTTTTATTTCAGTTCACCTTATCGAATTGTTGTTACTGCAATGCACCAGAAGCACGGTGAGGGTGTAACACAGTTTGTATTTAGGAAACGCCTTAATTTAAGTCTGTCTGTGTATTTAGCTATTAGACTAATCGAGGAAGACACTTTTGCGTCTCCTACTGGAGACGGGATCGCCATTTGTACTTCGATATCCGCGCCGTTTGTCCTTAATATTTATTTCAATACCCAGGGTATTGGTCAGGCTAGGGATCGAATCCGTAACACGTCGCTTATAATAAAGCAACGCTTTGCCGACTGAGCTAACCGCTCAGTCTTAGTGTAGAAAGCGAATTGCATATGCATCTTACCCTCCGCAACACGAATGCTTTAGGAAAATTGTACTCTGGGTGTCAGAGTTTTTATGAGCGGTTTCCGGTTTTGGTCGTGGCTTCGGTCGCCCGAAGATCTGTCGGCGGCCGACAAAAAATCACCCCGCCGCACACGAGAAAAAACCTCTGGTACCCATGGTAAGAAAACTGTTGCTGGAAATAAAATTAGCCTTAGCTATAGCTTCTTATAAATTTAAAATGAGCTCTAGTTACAGTTTTTTGGGTGGTTTACAGCTTTATTTATTTTTTTTTTTTCAAAGACTATAGATGATTGAAAGTTTGATTTCTTAACAATTATAAGCTTTTCAGAATATTTTCAGCACATGCACGTCACACTCTTGTCGTACTCATTTTTAAATCGTCTTTCAGATGTCTCAGCTCTGATTATCATTTCTCGTCTCTTTCTATATTTGTCTATGTTTAATTAGACATCTACTTAATATTGCGTCAAAGAAGCTTAATTTAAAAAAAGCTATTGTCGGCAAACGAGACAACCGCTCTTTGAAAAATACTTCTCTAATTCCGCATTATAAGATCTATTACAGGTTCTTACAGCCTGGACAATAATACGCACAGCCAATGCGTAACATGCAATAGATAGCTGCACGGATGTCAGTAAGAAAGGGATAAACCGCACTATTTCAAATTCTAAAAGAGATAGTACGCAATTTGATATTAGAGAGAGATTAACTGATACCCTTTATATTATGGCTGAAAAGAGAAGTATATTATACACTGTAACAGGATATCAAGTAGAATTATAATTATCATATTAATTTGTATAGTTTTCGTTCGGCACGTACTTAAGAGGTAATTTTTTCCTTTTACCTTGAAGACGCTTCAGTTCAGTGCTCACCCCAAACCTTGAAGAGAACATTTTGCACATACATCAGTTACAAGCTTGCACTTGTCTGGCACTTGAGGCACTTGCATGGCGTTCATGTCACAGTTGCTCATGTCGTTTGCTTATGAAGTTGATTTTTTTTCTTATTATCTTTACTTAACTTCGTCATACAATATATAAAAGTGATGTATTTATACAATACATGAGTATATGTATGAGGGCGGCAGCTATATATCCCGACAGATTCCATCCTGAGTTCAGTTCTATCAACGAATGCTTTGAAAATTCGTTGCCTTGTAACTTCAATTAACGTTATTTTACCATGTAAATCCTTCTTTTCTCCAGCAAGAAATCAAAGACTTTAACCGTTAGTTTTAATTGCGGTCAATTCTAGGTGACGAGGAAGTCTTCGTTAATGTCCTTAGCCAAGTGGCGGACAAGTTTATCAGGTAACTATTGTGATAACGAAACTTATCTCTTTCACTTCCGTCATTACTCTCCGCTTAACAATTGTTGCGAATGATTCAGTTTTTATGGGACTGTTGTGGTATCATTTTGTCTTTACTGGAAATGAACGCCGCGGCGATTATGAAAAAGCGCAAGTGCTACTGAGAAAATTGATGTTGGGACCGTGTGTTTCACAGCCGCAAGATGCCCGAGATCGCATCGACCTTAACTAGATCAGTGACCTGTAGTTAGCAGGGAAAACATAACTGGGTTTTGCTCGAGTTTTTAGTTCTCGAGTATTGTAGTCTAATTATCTTCATTACTATATATATTACAAATGTTAATTTCATCCAATAGACCTTTCTTTTTACCGATACGGCGGCCATATTGAAGTTACTTGATCTAAGGAGTATTATGGGATTCCCAGGGGGCACTCGCTAAGCGCGCAGAGAACTTCACTGTTTATTTCTAGGGAAAAGGCAATCGCTATAGCATCCAAATACGGCACAATGATCTTTTTTTACAATACAATCTTTTTGTAGGAAAACTTAAAGAAAAAAATTGGCCCGAAGAGCGCGCGTAAATACTAAGCGAGTATGTCGGATAGTGCTCATACCCCCTGGGCATCCCATAATACTCCTTAAATCTAATTAATTCAATATGGCCGCCGCATCGGCAAAAGGGTCTATTAGCAGGAAAATATGCAAAAAGTATTGAAAATCTCATGCGTAGGCATTTAAATGGCTACACATGAGATTTTGGAAAACTGGTTCAAGAAGCAAAGGTTGGTAAAAAATGCAGTTTTTGCGCTACTACATATGAAATCCTTTTTTCCAAGTTTCATGTCTTATGGTTTGTTGTATGACTTACAATTTCACATCACAAAAAACGCATTCAGGTTTTAGTAAAATTTCACATCACTAGCGAGAAGGATTAGGTTGAAGCTTTTCTTGTAGCCCTTGCTCGGCTTTAACATATTTGCCTTCTTTTTCAGTGTAACGCATTCAGTGACTGTTTGCTGGTTGTAAACTGTATTTATTCTATCTTCAACCTTTCTTTTTTTGCCCTGATGTCACTCCGCTCAGCCTCAATCACCATCATTTCGCCTTTTTTGAGTAGCGGGTTTCACTTGTCGGTACGACAAGACAAAGCGGAACTCCCCACACAGCGAGTCACTGATGATGCTAAATAAGTTGCCTTATATCATGATAATGATGCATTACCAACCACATAGCATCTATTGTTCAAGTGAATTCTACGTGATTTAGTTTGTAATGTTTTCTTTGCTTTCACAGCACGTTCACAGTGTCTCAATTAAAATCTGAACTCGCCAAGCAGCTGTCCCACTTGGAAAGGAAAGTAGAAGGTATATGTATTATGATTATTGGAATGATCAGAAAAAAAAATGTAAGAAATGAATTACTGTGTGACTCTGACTACAGATCGGAGAACAACTTACGCAGTCAATAGAGAATTCGATGATACACAGACAGTGCTTTTATACTAATAATCTTGGACAAAAATGTTAAAACGTTGCCTTGTCGTAATCTCAAAATAAAGTTCTCGAAAGCACTAGTGATTACATACCAAAAGAAGATAGAGGGGCTTATCCTCTCTTGCGATTACAAATATTTCCCCCCTCCCATCCCCCAAAAAACAATGATAAAATTCGCTGGGATCGTTATTGTTCCGGACTGAACAACATTGATCAGGTTGGGGTCGGGGAACTGGGGTGATGCAATTTCTTGGGATGGGCTTCCTGTGGGCTAAAGAACGGGCAAAATTCTTGACACTTTTTTACGATTGTGCCATGCAACGCCAATTGTTATTATAATCGCGACAAAAATATGAGTTAAAGCATCGGGAAATTTTGCCTCTGTTAGTACAATAAACAGTTTCCGCAAGCCAACACCATGTGGGGAACACTATTTTACTTTCTATAACAAATCACTTTTAAGTTAATTTCAGGCCGTTAGTTATAGTGTAATTGATACCCCAATAAATTAAACAACACTCAAAAATTACATAAGCTATATGTTAAGAATAATACAAGAATAGTTCGAGCCTAAAATCGGCAGAAAAAATAAGAATGCTCAGCCTGGGGCGGAACAAACAACGTTCTTGCAAAAAGAACAGAGCATCCACGGTACACGGATTGTCGTCTTCAGGTAGATACCAGTTATACCTTCGATTTGGTTTACTGTTCAGGATGATTAACTGCATAACGATTTTTTCTTTGCTTCCGCTTCCAGTTGAGGCACTCAAAGCCATAGAAATGCAGCACTTGAGCGCCGAGATCACTGAGATACGGGAACAAATCCGCCAAGACAGGTAATAATCGTGTGATTATCTTGGGAACAGGGTCTGGAAGGGAAGAAGGATGGAGGGGCGGGGGGGGGGGGGCTCTAATGCCCGCATTCCCGCCCCTATTGTACGACAATGCCGCATCTTGAACTTCATTAATCTCTACCACGCCGAACATCGTTTCATTCTGAACTTTCCCCACGGTCTGGCGAATCCCACTTCCTGACTGAGCGCTCAAATCCTGTATCCCCTCAAGACATTTTGCGAATTCCCGAATCACACACTGTATTTTGGTCAAATCCCGGATCACGAGAATGCCCTTTTAGACCGAATAGGAAGTTAGACCTTTCTATAAAACGATCACGGAATTTTTTAAATCGTTTTTTGACGAACTTGAAAAGTGGATTTCAAATTTAAGTTTCAGAATAATCCCTTCCTGGCTTGTCTTAGAACCTCTACATTATCAGTTCCTCCAAACCTGGAGTTGAAATAACTCTTACTGAAAGTGCTCAGAAAAAGTAACTGCCTTCTTGGATTTAAAATAGCTCCGAAAAATTAGCTCCAACGTAAGGGATTAAATTAGTTTAGTTGCGTCTTAAGATGGCTATCTGCTCTTTAAGAGACCTTTTTGTTATTTTTCCTTGCAAAAAATCACCTGAATTAAATCAAAATTTTCCACTTTTGTTGCAGGTGCATTGTCTAACCAACCAATTACTTAGCTTTTGTGTTTGAAAAAAAAAACAAACAACAACAACTATATATACGCTGTAATGTCTTTCGATTGATATGGAAAACTGACTTTAATATATAAATTATGCTTTTTAATTTTGAGTTTCAAAAACCTTCAGTCTTAACAAGAGCCATAATGGGATCCATTATGGCTCCTGGTCTTAAATAATACCCAATGAAAACTTTTTATGTCACTGCAAAAATCACTCGTGTTTGCTTGAGAGTAAAAAATCATTTTCCTGGCACTTGCCCTCATTTCTAAGCATTCAAAGCCTTGTGGCAACTTGGAAATTCAATTTCATCCGAGATGATATTGAAAACTGCATTGCTCATGATCCATAGCTGACCTTTTTTTCTTTAGAATCACGTGGCAAGCTATACAAGATAACGTTACTAACAAGGGTAACAAAGGACGAAAACTCAGCATTTCAAGGCCTATGCCAAATTTCGTCAAGGTAGGTAGATGATGTGTTATTAGATCACTGAACTAGATTGACAACTTTTTCACAAATACTGAGTGCCTACCTTAAAGCTATGCGGGCAATGAGAAAAAACAGTTTAAAGTCTCTGTCGCTTTGATGTTATCCCAACCAAGATAATTTGGCGATGCTAATTTTTTATTTTATTATTATTATTATTTTTTTTTGCAGTACACACTTTCTCAGACCACTGTTGAACAGCTCAAGGAACCCATTTTCAATATCTGGCACTGGGAGCCGAATGAGGTATCCTACCGCATGCATATATATTCAATGCAAGTTGAGATACCTATGTGTAAAACACAAGACTCAACTCGCTCAAGTAAATTATTAAATATAGCAATGTACATATCTAGAATACGACTGACTACTTACTAAAAAAGCTGCTGTAAAATGGGCAAATTGTTTTACAACATTACTACGGAATATGCTAAAAGCGATGTTGTGCGTTTTATACTACCCACGTTCAAACCTGCGTTGCAAGTTGCGGAGTTCTGCTTTGAATAAATTGACGCGGGAGTCACGCCATATACGAGACTTAGCGACCAGTCATTATTTACCGCCTGGGGGGGGGGGGGGGGGAGAGAGGATTTGGGGCTAAACGAGCTGTAATTTAGCCGATCCCCCATTTGAATGTTACTTCACTGAAGTGATCCCCCCTAATAACATTTGATGACTTTCGCGATCCCCCCCCCTAAGCAAATTTGAGTGGTGCAACCTCTGAATCCAAAGTTTTCAGTGATCCCCCCTTTTGGGTTCTCAGTTACGACTGATCCCCCTGTTTTGCTCTCCTAAAAATCAAGTGATCCCCCCCCCAAAAAAAAATCCTCCCCCTGCCCCATCCAGGCGATAAATAATGACCGGTCCCTTAGTCACTTGCTGCCAAGTTTTGCCTTAGCCGGTGAAACGCGCAACATCGCTTTCAACTGGTTTTGCAGCAATGTCGCAAAACAAGTTGCACGTTTTTGTTGACAATTTTACAGTACATTAATGCGTTATTGTCGGGCAGAGTGTTACAATTTACTTTTTAGTGGAATCTTGTTTCATCCTGTCTTTTTCTTGTAATTACGTCCTGCCGAATTAATTCATTAATTAAATTTAGGTTAAACCGTGCTAAGGTAGAGGATTGCTTTCGTGTTTCATTTAGCGACACCTTCGTTAAATTTTGCAGATTTTGTCATTGTTGGAGCACATGTACAGTGACCTGGGGCTGATTGAAGACTTTGAAATTAACCAAGTTGTCTTAAGAAGGTTTCTGGTAAGCGCAACCATACCTCGAAACATTAGTCTTATAAAGCAACCATTGCACGTTCATGACTCGGTGGAAACGCTGTTCAGTTTTCTTGAGTTTAAACTAGTGAGCTTTGACTTTTTTCATATTTCTTCTTCGTCTTGTTGATGCCCATTTGATACTAACAGTTGTTGGGACACAATTTCGTGGTGACGCTCTGTTGTGCGCGCAGTGTGTCGTAATAGTTTATCATTAAAACTTAGATAGTTGAATGACTAAGACTTAAATAACGGATTATCCATAAAAGTGTATTTATCCTCTCACTCTAAGGGCTTTTTCAGGGACAATGAACCAAATAATCAAGCATAACAGGGTCAAGAATCCTAGCAGGGCACAGGCATCCAGTTGGCTATTTACAAGCCTAAAAAATGCAGTTTACCTGTAATCTGTAGTCCGTTTAGCGACGAAGCCCTTAGGAGTTCTTAAGAAATCGTTGAACCCTATTCAGACCTGGGGGAGCGCGGGGTCAGGTAATTCAAAAGTTTGGCGGATCCAAAATGGCGGATGGTTACAGTTCCTTGATTAATTAATAAATCACGTCGTCATGACATCACTGCTATTATCACAGATCATTAATTTGTTACCCGACCTCTAGATTTTATCAGAAACCTTCCTTTTTTTTACTTTTTTCTCGTTCTATGGTTACATTGAGAGGAATTAGGGTTTTGTCAATTTAATTATGACGTCATAATGACGTCAGATTATGTTTTGTGTCAATCAAGTTATGTCTAGATGTTTAAAATGATGGTTATATTATTCTGTGTAATTTTGGTGGTCGTATCATGAGCGCTTTAAAGTTATTAAGGGGGTCCTCCGAAGTCTCCCCTTCAGGCCACAGGTAGCAAAAAAAAAACCCTGATTTCCTGGCTTGCAGTGGCCGACTACTTAGGTGTGAACAGAAAGAAAATGTTATTCACCTTTTGCCCTATCCATATATTACAATATCAATCAAATTGGGTGAATTTCGTTTTGCTTACTGCATTTTTTTAAATTCTTGTTTTATTTCCAGGTGTCTATTCAACAAAATTACAGAAACAATCCATTTCATAACTTCCGCCATTGCTTCTGTGTCACGCAAATGGTAAGAGTAAAGTCAAATTGCAACGCACTGGTGTTAACTTCCTTTCGTGTTTTCCTGTCCAATAATCACTACATGTATGAACATCAGGAATATGAGTATGAATACGCAATACAATTCTATCTGACCGTCTGCTACTACTCGGCAAAGTCTCCTCGCATGCAAGATAAGCTGGGGGAAAAACTTCTATCACTAATTATTATGAGCATGTTTTTCCCAAAAACTGAGCTATTATTCGTCTGGTTGGTAGTATCGTAGAAGTATTTTGTTGTGGGATAAAAACTGATCAGCAACTGTACGAGGTTATTATATTGCCCAAAGAAAAGTCGAAGACTCGATCAAACGAGGCTGGAATGCACGTGTAATCAAACAAACTGTGCAGAAGAAGCCATAACTGTGTGTTTCCCTCATCGTTTTAGATGTACTGCATTATCCATCTTTGCAACTTAAGAGATGTGCTTTCTAAGATTGATCTCCTCGTTTTGATGACAGCCTGTATTTGCCACGATCTTGATCATCCAGGATTTAACAACACGTGAGTTTTATGCAATGTCATACTCAGTTAGCGATAACTGCAAAAAGTTTAAAGCCATTTCACTCGAAGAACTGTTTTTTCAGACCTGTGACGACTGGCTCTCAATCTTAAAAACACTTAAAATTCAAAAGTCGTTAGATTAAATACTTAAGGGTAGCGAAACCTCATTGGAAGTTACAGTAATTTTTAAATGGCGTGCATCATTTTTCTTGACTTTTGAGTTTTTTCAATGAACTCTTTAAACAGTCGAACCTCCCGTAAGCGACCACCCAAAGATCGAAGCGGATTTAGTGGTCGCTTAGAAGAATCAGACCTTGCGGGTCCCTTCCGAGAAGAAGTCCCATCACATCTACCTTAATTTTGGCAAAGAATTTGTTGCATGCAATTTCCAAGTTACGTATACGTGCAGTATATTCTGAGTAGCGTAATACTTGTACATACAGCGAAAACAAGAGACCATACCATGCATCAAGTACTCATTTAAAGGGGCTGTGTCACGGCAGTCCAGTTCATTTTGTTTAATTTTGCCAATTACTCGCCCTCAATTGCTATGGAACTTGAAGTAAGCAAAGAAATTACATGTAAATGACAAAATCAGAGATCCGAGACAGACAAATATGTCTCCTGAGCATTATTTTTGAAGTTGCAAGTAGTAGGGATCAACTTTGAAAAACTGTTAGGCTGAACAGTTTTCAAAAACCCTAATTTCAATCCGTTTCAATCTTCCTCAGTTTTGCCCATCTGTGGCATCTGTTGTTTCTGTTATGTTATTTTAACCTTCCTTTAAAGTTTTAAGCGGTTATTTTATGCTTCTCTTAATTTAACGGGCATTTTTTTAATTTCCTAATTTGGCCGTGAATTTCGTGACACAGCTCCTTTAAGAGGTTAAAAACAATGGAAAACTGTAAAACCATCAGAGGCAAAAAAGTGGTCGCAGTCGCCACTTACTCCAGAGGAGATTTCACATGAAGGTTTGACTGTAAAGCCAGAAGAGGGACTTTAAGATGCTACGACGGCGACGACAACGAGAACGTCAAAAAACCAATTACGTTGAATATTAGGCAAAACAACAACTCTGCACCTGCATCACTTTTTTTGTACATTTCTTTGCCTTCATTGCAGGACTACGACGGGAAAATGCCTAATTTCGCGTTTTAAGGTGATGTTACACGAGATCCGGACTATTCGCAACGACGATTTTTAGCGCAACACACAAAACGTTGGAACAACATGTAACCATTCGAAACAATGTCTCAGCAATATTGCCACGCTGCATTGTGCTAAAAATCGATTTGATGGCTTGTGTTTGTACATTTTAGTTATAACGTTATCCATAACCTTGTGTCCATAGTTACCAGATCAATGCACAGACAGAACTTGCAATTCGCTACAATGATATTTCGCCTCTGGAAAATCACCACGCTGCTGTGGCCTTTGAGATTCTATCTCAGGTAGACCTAGAATAGCTCTCGTTCTCACTTCTAACTAGTGAATTGAATACCGTTTTACATGTTTAGTGATGTACAAATATATCTCATGGTTTGCGCCCACTTTTTATAGGTCAGCAGAAGATCGCGTGCAAATATAATGGGCAGATGTTAAAGCACCCGTTCTCCGTAGAATGAATGAACCAGGGCATATAACTCACTAGCTCTGACTAATGCAATTATGTTCATTTTGCATTTTTGTTTTGAAATTACCCATAATTTTGAATGACGAGGCTAGGTGAATGATGACAATTACTAGCATTTTCAAAAAACGTATGCGTAAAACAATTGCAAAGTGAAACGTAAACTTTGGTCATCAGATTGAATCAGTATGTGACATATTATATATGTAGTATCTCGTTCTATTTTTTTGCACCCCAGACTAAGAAGGCGGGGGAGGGGGAGAAGGCGGGCTGCGGGTAGGAGGTTTTCGCGGCAGCTAGCTTGGCGCAAAATGGAGCAAACACGGCACCAAATGTCCATAATTGTAATGTATGATCATTCTTTAACCTTTCAGCCTGAAAGCAATATATTCGCCAACTTGGGCAAAGAAGATCAAAAGAAGGTTCGCCAGGTGTGTGCTCGGGGCTCAACTTTGAAATATATTTCCCGACGTTAGCTCGTTAGCTCTTTTTCCAAACGTGACGGTTGTGAAGAGTTTGCATAGTAGATAACATGTATTTGCAATTGATTTGTATGAGACGTCCACGGTCCTACCAGCTATCTTTTGGGTCTAACAGGCAAAATTTAAGCTCAGTTCATGGACCTCGTTACCCGTCCTCTATCCTAGTTTGATCATTTATGTATGGTGCTAAAAAATGATTTTGAATCCTTTGGATTCGGCAGTGTAGTTTGGTTATAGGCAAGCAAACTGAACTTAAAAAAGGAGGCGGCTGATAAAAGCCGACGCTGGATTAACAGATGATTCATATGGCGATTTTCTACTGACACTGAACCTAATAGACTAAAAACATAAATAATTATACTTTAATAAAACTCTCATTTGGCTAAGACTTCTATATAATGGATAGTTTGAACCGACTTGTAGGGCGGTTGAATCAGTTGCCGATCGAAAGTTGGTTCAAAGTTGTACCCTATCATGCATGCGGATTTGGCTCAATATAAAAATAGTGCGGAGTCCGGTGAGCACTTAAGATGACACGTAAACTCGTACCCGGATCTCACTCTGTCTCACGCTTTAAAGTCAGATCTCCCTTTCCCATGGCCGAGGGAGATTTGGGTACGAGATTAGATGACACGAGGTGGAGGCTTTGGTGAACAATTGAAATCGCATCATGTAAGGTAATCTAGGACAGTCTTGGATTCTGGATTCCACGCTATGGATTCCGGATTTCAGCTACTGCATTCAGAATTCCTTGTCAGTGGAACAAATTGGATTCCAGATACCAATCCTTTTCGGGATTCCGGATTCGTTAAGCTGTATTCTGGATTCCAAAGCCCGGGATTCCGGATTCCATAAAAAAATATTTCTCACATTCCGGAATCCGTATTACCTGAAATGGTGCAATTCGTAGAAATCACTGTAATGAGGGTACGATCTGTTTATTGACACAAAAGTTTGAATTAAAAAAACAGCAACAACAACGGCTGACTAAAAAAATGCGAGTTAACAGTCTTACACATAAGTCCAAGTGTTATTCTAAATTTGTAGGAAATTGTGACGCTGATATTAGCAACAGACATGGCCCGGCACAGTGAGATAGTTGAACGTTTTAAAAGCAAGTTGGACACGTTCGATTTTAGCAACGCTGATTACGTTGGATCGGTAAGTAGAAATGTGAAATTTAGAGAGTGATACAATAGATAGAAAGCGGAATACGTGGCTGCATACCCCTTAAAAAGAAAGGGGCGGTGTACGTTATCTCACTTTAAACTCTATGGGTTATGTTATGGACTAAGCTCAACGGTGAATATGCGCTTTGTGGGCTTTTAATATTGATACCTGAGCAAGCCGATCGTTTGGGGGGATTCCAGTTTTCTTGAGCTGAATTCGGGATTCCAATGCCCAGGATTCCGGGTTCCACAAGCAAAAATCCACCGTTCCAGAATCCTAATAACCTATCATGGTGCGAGACAATTGACACAGTCTGAATGACACTCTTCACAATTTCAAATTTAAATCTACCTTTTAGCTCAAGAAGATTCTTATCAAGTGTTGTGACATTTCAAATGAAGTGCGTCCCATAGACGTCTCAGAGCCCTGGGCCGACTGTCTTCTTGAAGAGTACTTTATGCAGGTTTGAACGAATGAAAGGAATTTTTCTGGTTCTTTGTCAAATGCTTATGCAGTATAAGGTGATTATACTGACCTGGGAGAGTCGCCTTTATCATCCTTTTTTCTTCATCAGTAGTTGATATGACTATACAAGTTTTGTCCACGTTGATAACATTTATTTAAATTATCATGTTGACGTAGTTGACGTAATATTGCGCTATAATTGTAGAGTGACCGAGAGAAATCAGAGGGACTCCCTGTTGCACCTTTTATGGACCGTGATAAAGTTAGTAAGCCTACCGCCCAGATTGGCTTCATCAAGTTTGTACTGATACCCTTGTTTGAGCTACTGAATAAGGTGCGTATCAAATAATAAGAAAGTTACTGCGGTTGCATTAGAAAAACGGCACTGATGCCAGATGAATAGATAATGCTTCAAAAATGCAATGTGAGCGATTCCACACACCACACCCCTTCCATTTCCTTCGGGAAAATCCCTGAGGACAAGCTTAACCACTCAAGAATACAAACTGCGGCAATGTTCGTTGGGGGCTCGCTGGCAAGAGCTGTACAACGGTCGCCGAGTGGACCATGGACAGACTTGACGCCAGTTCAGAGATACGGCCTTCACCGCTGTCTTAAATAACGGTGCAAGTGTGAGAAAATTAAGAAAAGTACTTGAAGTTCAAAGAAGTTTCGAACCTCCTTTTTGATACTAAACCACTATCTTGGTAATTTCTGAAGTTAATTTTGTTTTTTGGCACCTTTTAATCCTTCATAGTTGGAGTGGTACCCTAGAAAGTACCGCAGAAACCATTAAATACTCTAGCTTAATTAGCAAACTTTACTGATGAACGCAATTTACCTTGACAGTTCAATTTCCGAGGTTGAAAATCACCCCTTTGACAGTCTTGGATTCGGGATTCCACTCTTCGGATTCCGAATTCCAGTTACTGGATTTCAAATTCCTTATCGGTGGAACTAGGATTCCAGATTCCTATAGTTAGTGGAATTCTGGATTTCAGGAGTGGAGTGAATTCCAAACCCAGGATTCCGGTTTCCAAAGCACAAATTTCCCGCATTGGGGCGATTAAAAAGGTATCGAATGATGACTTTACCTTTTTTTTCAGCTGTTTCCTCAAGTGGGTCCAGTGATGATAAAGCCTCTCCGTGAAGCTTATGAAAACTACGAGAGAATGCGTATTGAAGAAGAAGCTGTTAAAGCTGACGCGGCTGAATCCTCGCCCCCAGAAAGCGACTTTGAAGGTTTGAAAGGACAGGACATCAATGCAAATGGCACACAAGGACAGTGGAGCTCTAAAAAGCTGATGGGTGTATCCAAGGAGATCAGGGATATGTTTCACGACAAGAACAAGGAAAGTAAACCGGGAGATGAAGATACGCTGAGTCGGCCTATGATAAAAACCCAGGTACTTAATCAATACTGTTATGAGATTCAGGGAGAAGTTGAATAAGTGTAAGGTAACCTGAGACAGTCTTAGATTCTGGATTACACGCTGTTGATTCCGGATTCCAGGTACTTGATTATGGATTCCTTGTCAATGGAACTCGCATTCCAGGTTCTTATCATTAGCGGAATTCCGGATTACTTGAGCTGAATTCCAAAGCCCTTGATTCCAGATTTCACAAGCAAAAATTTCTCTGATTTCGGAATCCGGCTAACTTTCCATGGGGGGACATATAACGTATTTTTTGGTTTTTGGCCCGTGGTCCACTTTTTTAATGGTTTGTCTTGCGATACCTGAAAATGAACCTTGAGCCCCTCGCCTAACTGCCCTGGCTCGTGCCTCAAAATCCCGATGACTGCTCTGGGCATAATAGGGTAGGAATCGACATAATCCTCACACTTTCAACAAATTCAGTTAACCGTAATTACATTACTGGGATGCGCTCTCACTTCTTTGCCGCCTTTTTATTTAGACGCGCTGCTGTTAAAAAAATTAACTTTTACCATTGCTTTGGATAGTGTGGATCAGTGGCATTACCGTTGTTTTTGGTTGATCACAATAAGAAAAGGCCAGTCCAAGCAAAGTTTCAAACTGTTTCTAAAATGGGAAAGAGAGAAATGAAGATTGCAAGGAACATTGTTTTATGAATCAAATGCCCATCGTTTTATCGTTATTTTTTCATTGGTTCTCTCGCTTTTTGTTTGCAGAGGAAGGCTGATGATGCTCCAACAAGTAGCGTTAAATAACCTAAAATGAAGATTAGCCGATACTGCAAAAGTTAAACTGGAAACGTGTGCTTTGCTTTTATCCAGGTTAATTTGCCATTTAATCAATTGTACATAGAACGTTTTCTTAATCTTTTGTAAATATTAGAGCTCATATCACAATGTCTACCACTGTTCTACAATGACCTTTTCTAAGCCTTAAATGTTTCTAAGACCGGAACCTAATATGTTTGCCGTCAGTAGGAAACGACAGCCTCAGTATGTGTCCTAGATCTTAATAATCTGTCCTCTTTTGTTATGTTTTTGCCGTTGCAGAAACCTTTGTTGCCAGTTAGCTTTTCTAACTATGGGTAATGTTCAGCGTCGTCTTCAATTTGTATTCAGTCGACTATTCGTGATCTGAAAGACTTTGAACGTTCCTCAACTCTTAGGACATTTTATCTCTCCACGTCTTGAAACTAAAAGGGTAAAAATTCGTCTTTTCTCACAAAAAGCAATACCATCACTCTTCATTGGCTCAGTAAAGATTATTTTACCACCCGGCTTCTCCATGTAAAAACCTTTTTCTGCACACACATTTAATTATGCGAACGACAAAGTAATGATTTATTGCCTTGTTAAATAAGGAACCTTGTACTATAAAAGTTGAAAGCAGAATAAATTCTTCATCTTGCGATAATTTATTGTCTATTTTTGTACTTAAACATGTAAGTCACGACTTTGCAGCAGGTTTAGCCTGGGGTTCAGCCGTCTCCTCGCGACGCAAACACCTGAGAGAGAAGACGTCTCTCACGGAAGTTTTCCAGTCGAGGAGACGGCTGAAATTCAGGTTAAAGGCAATCGTGAGCCTTTTTGCCCAATCTAAGCCATGAATTCCGGATTCCAGGTACTGCATTCCCGTCTTTGTCAGTGAAACTTGGATTCCGGATTCCAATTTTTAGTGGGATTCGGGATTCCGTTGAGCTGTATTCCGGATTCCAAAGCCCAGGATCCCGGATTCCAGGAGCAAAATTTTCCCAGATTCCGGATTCCTCAAGCAAAAAGTTCCCGGATTCAGGAATCCGAAATCCGGGGCATGGGGGTAAGCCTTTATTACACTAGCCTGAGTATCAGGCCTTCCTAAGGAGCTAGGGGAGAGGAGATTTTAGATGGGGGAGGGGGGCTTCCATCTTTCCCTTTTTCCCCCAGAAACGCCTGATACTCAGGCTATTATTACGCCAACAAAGAATTTCAACATTTTTTAGATTATAATGAGCATAATCCTTGGCTTAGAAAAAGATGTAAACTGGACTGTCTGCTTGACATTTCGCTTCTTTTTTGCGTCTTCAATTATTTAAATAGACATGAAATTTAGAGTTCTGGAAACTAGCAGCGTAGTTTATCTATAAGCAAGCAGTGGACCCTCGGTCTAGATTAAGAGCAGTCCCTCTTTTCCTTCAAGATAGACTGCTCATAGGATACCCTCGACCCATATTTCAGCAAGCGGTATAACGTATCTTCAGATGCAGGATTGCGATAGAAGAGTCGCGAAGAGGCCGCATCCGTTAAGATTTTCCCAGAGAATAGCTTGGAAGGCTCCTTGTCAACGTTTAATGACCCTGCATTTTCTTTGTCTCATCGCGAGAAAAAGTTCTTAATTGAATTCATGGGTCCATTTGCCTTCCGGTTCAACTGAAGTACTCTTAACTGTCTTACGGCGTCCTGAAAGACAATTTTGACATTGATATTATTAGCTGCTGATGTTTCGTGAAAGAAACACTCGTATTCCGATGCAAACTCCAAAGCCTCTTCATTGGACACTGATCTGGTGTGATTCAAATCCACCTTATTACCGACAAGAACAATGGCTGTCTGTTGGCCTTTTTGTTTCTTCAATTCTCGGATCAGTTTTATGAGCTGCTTTGCCGTTTGGAACGTCCTCGGCTCGTCGATGGCGTAGACTACAATGAAACCTTCGTTTTGGCTCAAATACACCGGTTCATGCTAAAAAAATAAAGAATTGCCCACATTAATTGGGAGTACTGTAAGTTAAGAAAAACCTCTTAACTTGGGTACATGCATTTGCTATTGGGTACACCGCACGTATTCAACACACGTTTTTCTCGGCAAGTTTAGCTGGGGTGTACCAATCTGCTAAAGCAATTATATTGCTTTGTAACCGTTTCGATATATTCTTGTACCCTTACACATGCTCATGTGACTACTTCTCTGTCTTTGAATGCTGGTCGACGGGAGGGACTCAGGAGATTTGGAATTTTATTGCGGAAACACTGCTATGCCTGTGAACAGGGTCGATCTCCAGTGAGAGTAGAGCAAAAAAGCGGGAAAGGAAGAGGATATGAAGTGCAGCTTTGTGCTCCTTGCCTTAACCTAGGGCCTGTTTACAGGGACGGTTAATCAGAGGGATCATATAGTAAGGTCGAGATTATTTTAGCACAAATGGTAATAGGATTATCGTAAAACAGAATAAAAACAATAAATTCCGCCGAACACCCGATCAATGAAAACAACATTTCACGAACAACCAATGAAAATCTCGGATTTTTTCCTTGTTACCAGCGTGTCTGCCGGAGAACATCCGCTGGTCAAGAGGTCTGGGGCTCTGCAAGGTTACGGGATCTTTATTTATTTAGTTGATATTCGTTTATTATTATTAAGGTGAAAAAGTTGAATCCTTTCCAATTCAATGAAAAGAAGATTTCCACTTCCACACTTGCAGTGTTAAAAATTTACTGACATTTTTGGTTTTGTCCCTTTTTCAACTGCTTTGCAAATGTGTACGTATAAACAACAGTCCATGATCAAGTCTTCACTCACCGTGCTTGCTGTGTCGGTGATGTGTAATACCGCTGGCTCCTCGTCAACTTCGTAACACATATCATAGGTCAATTCTGCAAAAATGACAAAAGGTTGGACTAAGTATGATCTGGAGCGAAAAAGGGTTGGAGGGTTGGTGTGGGCAGTGATGAATCGAACCCAGCTCCAAAGGTTTTAACTAATTTTATTCCAAAGTTCCTGCTCTTGGAAAAAATTTCTTAGGATTTATATGTTTAAATAGTCAAATAAATAAATAAATAAATAAGTAAATAAACCAACTGACTTAAAAAGTCAAGTCAAACGCAAAAATTCCATCGTATCACTATAACGAATCTTAAGATCTAAAATAAGGCTAAAACATTGAAGTATTGAAGTTATAATCTTTCTTAAATGTTCGTTCAAGAATAGGACGGAGAATATGGAGGCCGTGTAGACGATCAACTTTTTTTTCTATTGCTTCCACACCTGGAAACTGTTACCGCGTTAAAATTTTGTACGGTGTCTCAAAATAGCCACTGGCCACGATAAACTCTATCTCAAAAATAGCCACTGTCACGGTATTTGTCAGTAATATTTATAGCACAGTAAAGATACAAATTACTTAAACACACGCGATGTTAAATACCAGCTTGACACGAGATAAAATGGAATAGAAACAAAGAGGCAAAAGAAAATTCCAATGAAATGAAGGACAGCTGCCCGATCTCATGCGCATGCGTGCATAGACCTTATCTCTATTGTGTTTCCTATTGCCAGGCGTTATCGGTTTATTGTTATCCGTTCGACCAAACGTTTTTCCTGCGGATTCGCCGGATATAGATCAAACCCACAAAAAGCAATAAGCCCCTCCCCCTACCCGCCCCCTGCTAGCAAAGAAAAATAGATACATAGATTTGTATAATCGAGTAAAAATACAACTTACCAAGTGTGGGATCGTACTCGTGAATAAATCTTCCTGTTGTAAATCGAACCAATAGCGCTGAGAACAAAAATGAAAACGTGTAGAAGTTACAGTCAAACCTCTCTTAAAAGACACTCTCTAATGAGTTGGTCGCATCAAAAATATAACATCACTAATTTGGATATTTAAAAAGTTGTAGACTTATTATTTTCCGTAGCTATTGACTTGTCTGTGAATAACAAGTCACAGATTTGTTTCTAGAAATTGCATGCATAAACCATTAAGCTACTATAACCATACACCACGTCTTTAAAGCATGCGTAATATTTCAAATTGACTTAGATAACAGTGACCCATTGACATATTCTTGTCGATTGGTAAATATCTTTTTCAAGTGTTTGCCAAAATTCACAGGGCTACTCATCAGACACGTGCCTGTTGAAAACAAAGTCTCACAACTACAAAGATACTTAGCTTATACGGCGTTTTATTCTCCCTTCTTACATTTGTTCGACTGATACAAGGAAATCTACGGCCAGCTATAAAAAGGAATTATTGTCGTTGTTGTAAAAAGAAATGACAGCTGAAATGAATCGAAATTCTTCTTCAATTTCCTCTCAGTGGCCCTCTGAGATAAGCCTTTGTTTGCCACAGTTTTAGCGCATGGGTGTAGTTCTGCCCTGTAATTCACAAGTTAAGAGGGACCATTATAACAAAAGTAGATGAATAGATAATTGCTTGATGATAGTCCTTATAAAAACGCTGTGGCTATAAGCACGGCAGCCACTAAGGGTCTTAAAAAAACTAAATGCCCGGCAGTCAGAAAATTTCCTAGAATTTCTGCAAAATCCCTGTGTCTAATCGTTTGAGGTCTTTGAGAGTATTCTATCTTCATTTACAATTACCAAGCAAGCAGAAAAACAGGAATGGCTTCGCTTCTGAGTGGTTGTAGTTTCTTGGGCATAGAGTGAGTAGCAGCACGCGTGACTCACCGGCGCGTTTTGACGCAGGCTAAATAATCTCGGCAGTCTGCTTTATATGTTAAACCGTTTATTTAACCCTTTACACCCGCTCGGCTACTCTGAAGGTCGATGAAATACTTTTTGTTGAAATTCCCCTGATAATTCGGACTACCGGGCATTAAGACTGAGGATAAACTGTGCCCGGGATGTCAGGCACTGCTTCTCACGAAATTTTTCTTGCATCGAAAAAAAGTCGACTGTACTCTTTGCCCAAGAAACCACAACCATCCAGCTGCGAAGGCCGATCGCTTGGTAATTATAAAATGAAGATAGAATACTCTCGAAGGATTAGAAAAAGGGATTTTGCAGAAATTCTAAAAAAATTTCCGACTGCCGGGCACATAGTTTTTTTGAAACCCTTCCCGGCTGCCGGCATATAGCAATAGCCCACGATTATTGGTTCAGTTGCAAAGTCTTAAGTTAAATGCAGATTCAAGGTTTAGAATTGTGGACAGACTTATCCTTTTCTTTACGTAAACATCAACTCATTGAACACCTCGTAAAATTCAGAGAAGTCACTCGTAACAAAGGAAGATATGACGGGTTGGCAATATATACTTGATGTCGGAAAAAAAAGAAACACAAATTACTCCTTAACGTAAACAAATATCGTTATTGAGTTTCAGTTATGAAAAGATCTCAAAAAGAAGCCGCAAAAATGTTTACTAAAGCGATTAGGAAATGCTTTGTTAAAAGTTCCTGTTATGAAAATCATTCATTTTTATCCGACAGAATCTTTTTCGAAGCATTTCGTTAGGATTCATCGTAAAGTGTTATCGTGTCCTATAACTTAGCGCACCGCTCTACGACCACAATCACCCGTTAAGTATTTGCATAATGTTATATACAAGTTTGTTGTTTTAACAGTTTCCTCTCCAAAGCACGCATTTTCAACACTTTTCTTCAATATTGAAAAATGGGACAGCTGGGTCGTGTATTAAAATGCCCCTTCCTCGCGCAGAGTATCATTCACATAGTCACGCTACCGATGATGGCTACTCATTAAAGTTACCGTCACTTAGAGAGGGCTATCATCATTTCAATTTTCCCATTTATTATAAACCAGTCCAGTTGTACGATGTAACCATTTTTGTGGCCTCGTTGCAATAAAGTCGAGTTATGCTTTTTATCTAATTAATTTATTAATCCTGACCTTCCAAATACAGCCATTTCTATCACGCTTCTCAGTTTGTTGTTTTAGTATCAAACTTCTGACGTGTGTAGAAAATTAGTGCATTTAATTTCAAAGATCATCTAACCTTAATGAACTAACCTGATTTTCCAACACCTCCTTGACCTAACAGTACAATATTGTAATCCCTAAAAGAACTGCTGCGTCTTTGTAGCGAGATTGAGGCGTTCTTTGTATTTGACACTGGATTCGATGCCTGTCCAATAAAAGGTTCACTGCAGCTGTCTCTTCGTTTTGGACGATTTTTCGCCGGTTTTTTGTTTAAGATGGGTGATCCTGGAGAGACAGGACTTGGGCATTTGGGCGAAGGACTGTCATAGTCAAAAGATTGGTTCAAATCGTTCGCTGAAATCAGAGATAGAGGAGGAGGTGGGCTACATCCTCGCTCATAATCTTTTCTGCCTCCGCGTTTCGTTTTCGACAGTTTTGGCTGCCCATCTGGAGGTGGGATGATGCGATCTGTTTTTAGAAGAATGCCTCTTGTCTCGGAGAAGTGTTGTTGAAGAACAACGGCCGGTGCTGAGCCCCTTCGCCGGAGCATTTCATTAATGACGTTATCCACCAAAATCCGAAATGCTGAGCAAAACGTTTCTGTGGGTTAAGTTGAGTTTAAGCTTGGCAAACGCTTCTCAAACTCCTGTACGAACCATCCACCTCGCGAAAAATGAGCTTGCAACGTTCAAGTGAATTTGCTACGAAAAAAAATAACGTGAAACCAATTGTCGATCTATCGTAGGTTGACTGCGTGTCAATGCTGACTTTTTCTCTTGTCTCATCCAAATAACCTCGCGAAAAGATCAGCGGAAAGATAATTAATTGACTTAGAAATCAATGGAGTGGAAAACCCTTTTGCCTTGCGGCACAGTCGATTAAAGGTTAGTGACCCTTCTCTTTATAGGAAAGCCGCCTGCGATCAGTCTTAAGAAAATCCGATAAATGAAGGCAAAATGGTACAAGTTTCAATTCTAAGCTTAGAGGTTTCACTGTGTACAGCAGGAACCAAGGAAGCATTCTAAGACTGGGCGTTTTTCGAGAACAGATTCACATCCGACATTGTGACGTTTCGTGAAAGACGAGATACTACTCACTAATAACTTTTCATTTCGTGCAAAGTGTGAGTCACTTTCACGAAAGATTTGTAACTAATTACCGTCGAGAGAATATGTTAGCAGTCTAAAAACTGTAAAATATGAACTGACGACAGGTAACCGATTGGGGATATTTAGGATTACGGGAGAGGGTTCTCTGGGATCTCTCTTCGCTGGGAGATCTTGAACGTGATTTTAAACAGGGCAGCTGCGATCTAACGGCCGGAAAACCTTCTAGACATAAAACTCGAAAAAGGAGTGTAATCCCGGCGGAAATTGGGAAAGATAAGGGACAAAAATAAGCTCCACATGGAAGGTGGAAATTTCTGCCCCAAAATCTTTCCTGGAAAATTTAGATATCTCAGAGCAGTAAGCCAAATCCGGCTTTGGCCTTTTGCTTGTATGTCCCGTATTTATAATAAACCCGGTCTCTGGTCAACCAGCCGCGTCAGAGGGTAAAGCCCTAGAGACGCTGGTCAACCCGACTTTAACCTAGGCTAGATTACCGCCGTTTGGGGAAATGAGCCCGCACTAGTCCCCGGAAAGAGCGAGGACTCCAGAGAGAGGCAGAAATCGAGCCGAAGTTTTCCCTTTCCCTAAAGCCAGTGTTCCAAGCTCCAAGCGAAAAACGCGCGGGAGCTGGAGTGGAAGGGCGGTCTCTCTCCTATTTTTTCCCGCCACAGTCCTTCCCCAGATCACACGCGTCTTATTTTCGCTTGGCTTGTTTTATTTTCGCGACGCCCCTACTATCTGAGAACCTGGCATAAGCTATTTTTCCTAACATGACCCAGCCAGCCTGTTATCAAAATTCAACCATGGCCCAGCCCCGCGTGAAAACACAAGATGTACAAGGAGCAGGTTGGAGACTCATATGGGATGAAGGATCTTTTTATTTCCCTCTCAAAGCGAGAAGGAAAGTGGGAGACATCAGTTTATAAGCAAACCACCCTCGTAAAAGTGCAAGTTGTTTTATTTTATTTTTACAACCTATGAAATGATAACAAATGATAACATGCACAGCATTGCGTTGCGTGACAAGCTGACGCAGCTGTCACGTTGCTTTTTAACGACTGAGCAAAATTATGCCTAAAAACATTTTTACTCTAATTCCTCTTGGAGGATCCTCTCTAAGGTTTATTTTACCTTGAAGAATACAAATAGCATGCTTTATGGTTCTCGTGAGTAACACGAAAAGGGATTAGTACTCTTAACAAATACAAGTCTTCTAGGTAATGTGTAAACGAAACATATCGTGCGTATACGAGAAACCCTGTTTTACACCTCAAAGGCACTAATTATCAGAAATAAACTCCACTCAATGGAAGAGCGAGGTAACTTAGACCCCTCTGTTTTAAAGTTTTATTAAGTCTTCGTTTTAGAAACATGAACAAAATTGAGAACTGGAGTACTAAAAACCTCATTCAAAAATCCTGGCAATATTACTTCCTTTCATATTTTCGTTAATCTGTCCTAATTGCCTTGATTGCAGCTGCACAAACATTCAAAAGAACGTTTACCTTGAAACGAAACAAGGGCCAGAAGATATCAGAAGAATGAATAAATTGGCCGCCATTCTTGAATAAGGTGTTTTATGCTATTTCACAGACATCGGAGCACTGGGAACCAGACAGCCGGGCATCGACTGAGAGCCATGCACTAACGACTCTTGATGAGTACCGCTGACACTAACACCGTAAACACCTAATATATTTGGAAGCACATTTCATGTATTGTACTGCAAGCAAAACCAGTCTGATGCAAGTGGAATACTTACCAAGCACTGTTTTTTTTGTTTGTTTTGTGGGAAGAATCTCGTTGGATTGTTTGAGAAACAATAAACACCCCACAAAAGTTATTAGGTGTTCAACGTTTTCATGGTTTTAAGTCGCGTTAGTTTTACTCGATTTAACCTTTAAAAAGCATACAACCCTTAAACTTAAGATATCTACAAACCTTTTGTAATGACAAGTTGAATTACCTGATTGCGTACGTTTTAATCTACACACTGAAACGCGGAATTGCTTTTTACGAACATTAATTAACTGAAATTGTTAAAAAAAGACTACTCTACGACTTTCAACACGAAATTCTTACGAAAGGAAACAATTACAAAAGTAATTTATATATTTTATCACCGGCTCAAAATTCAAAATTCGGTAGTGGTCATCCAAACGTTTTTCTTTCAAGCCAGTTTTCTAGTTTGAAAATCTATCACAGGTAGACATTCCTTACCTCGACGTAAACATGCATAACGGCGATGGTTATAAAAAAGGTTCAGGAGGGACAAGATAATAGTGATCTTAAGCAAGAACGTTTTTTAACGACACCTGTCAACTGGAAGTGGACTTCTTGCATTCTTAGGGAATGCTTTTGCTCAAATTTTCGGGCAAATTGTCTCTAGGGAAGAATACTCACCTCCGGTTGACATGCGTGGGTCAAAAGGCTTTTGCTTGACCTCCCTAATGGTTTTTAACTGAGGCTATGTTCAAACTAACCGGAATGGCATGAACAGCAACAGCACAGAGCTAGAACAGGTCGTTCACACAAATCGAATGTCGTCCAGGAGCGGTTGGCCAAAAGGATTTGGTAACTAAATCCCAGACTTCACTCCTGAATAAATCCTGGGCCGAGTTGTTCAAAGCTGGGTTAAGATAACCAGGGTTAGTGAGAGATTTGAATTCAGATTTGAAAGCTTCAAAGGCATTTCAGTTTCAGTTCTTTTTGTCTACAAGTTGATGACTGGAAGCTCTAAAAATAGCAGAGAAAATTATCCGAGAAAATGCTTTTGAACCCAAGAAAAAGAAACCCGGGTTAAATTTAACCCCGGGTTAAGCGCTAATCGGCTTTTGAACAATTGGGCCCTGAACATTAACTTTCGTCTTTACTTCTCGCTCCTACTAATTAAATCGCGGTTTCTATGTGTGAACAGAAGCTTTATCTGGTATGGTTTCCGTGTTGGCGAAAAAGCCTTGTATCCAGTATAGTGTAAACATAGCCTGAACCGCAAATTGTGATACGTTAACCCTTTAACCCCTAAGATCAAAATTGGACTTCACATTTGTTGCCCTTCCTCATTTCCTACAGAAGAAGTGGAGAGACGTTGATAAAATATCAAGCAACTTCATGTTGTGTGATCACGTCCGTAATTCTCATGACCACTCTGTTTTACAAAGCATTGATATTACAAGGAGAAGTTCGATGCTGATCACTCTTAGGGCTTAAGGGGTTCAAAAAAACAAAGAGAAAAGCAAAACAGTCAATTCAAAACAAAACAAATAAATAAACAAAGACAAGAAAATAAGTTTACGACTCCCCGCCCCCATCACCCTTCGCAAAATTCTAGCGGGAGATGCGACCGAACTAAACTTTAAATCTAAACAGAATTGTAGTAATACGAAATGAGTCTAACTAGATTACAAAAATCTCATTACTACAATCGCTACAAAACTATGCAAAACCGAAAGAAATTTGCCACAAGATCTGGATTTAAGCCGTGACTAATGGTTCATCGTCGGAGAAGCCTTGGATCAAGGGAACGTCCTCATCTTCTAAGAAAAAAAAAACAGAAAAAAACAAAACAAAACAAAACAAAAACAAAACGACTCAAATAAGCTTATTATGCTTGTATGCAAAACGTTTACAGACTGGTTGTTGTAACAAAAGCTGGGCCTAACACGATACAACCCATGTTACCCAGTCCTAGGCCCCTAACCCCAAAACGTCAAAAATTGCAAGAACATGGGCCATTCAAAACTCTGGCTCTGTAATATTGAAGAGGAATTTCCTTGTCCTGTTCTCTATACAAAGGGACGGGGGGCCATTAGAGACGTAAAGGGGTGGGGTGGGTGTGCGAAGTAAAAAAAAATTGTGCAAGAGATAATCTTACGAAAAAAATTCATGGATGCCAAGTAGACCTAAAAAACATTCCTGCACCGGCCTAAAAAAATTCATGCGAGGGAAATATTAACGAAAAAAATTCATGCGGCTCGAATATTCCCCATACACCCGAAACAACTGGTCCGTCCCTAAAACCAACTGCATAAACCGTGAACAGACGATTAAACACTTAATGAATGGTCCCGAGGGAAAGTGCTAATTTGTTTCCCGAGGCGGACTTTTTTATATAGCTGGAAAATTATCAAACCTCCCTATAACGGCGGTCGTCGGTCAACATTCGCGGTAACTGTGCACTGTTACCCTCTGACGTCGTAGATTTTGCAATGTTGCCCGCTCAGAGATTTTGGCGGGAAACAGTTTCATTGTTTGATGTCACGTGACCTCGAAGTAACCAATGAGAGCGCGCGTTGTTGGGAAAAAGTTTTCCAGCTATATAGGAGAATCTTTGCTGACGTTATTGTTTACATTTTTCCTCATTAGCATATGACTCAACTCATAGAAGCCGTGGCCGTATTTATGAACTAAATGCAAAAGTTGAAAGAGCTGATTAAGTTGAGCAATTTGTGCAATTTTCAGCTCTTTGCAAGCAATATTGAAGAAGATATCAGCCATCAAAAACTGCGAAATTACTGTGTGGCAAAAAAAGTTTATGAGCCATACATTCTCCGTAAAAATTTCGAGTTTTTAGAAGAGAATTTCTCGGAAACCATTCGGTGTATTGGGCTCAAATTTTCAGAGATAACTGAACTGTTACGGCTTTTCAATATTCAGAGTTTTTATTTTATTAGCGTCATCAGATAGTGATAAGCATATGTTAACGAGGCAAAAAGTGTAAACAAAGATTCACGTATAACAAGGATAATTATGTCATTGTTTAATATTTACATAAACAAAAGCAGAAATGAAAGTCAAATTTCAACTAAGGATACAATTGAATAGCGACAGATACTCACCTGTATGGAAAGTAATTGTGCCGTCCTCATCCATTGATCGTCTAGTCATAAGAGCAAACATGGAGCGCTCGAGACGACGGGATTTACGAGCGAAGAAAACCAAAGTAATGATCAATATTAAACCGACAATAGCGACTGGAACTGCCCATACCACAGGACTCAGACCTTTCTTCTTGCCGCCGGTTTGCTTTCCTGGGGACGGAGCAGGAGCAGGAGCAGGAGCAGGGGTCGGCTGGGACGGAATGTTTGATGGGTTGACACTACCCTCTAAGGAGATAATGCGAAAAATAGAGTGCAGTTAAGTCCAATGTTGTTAAGTTTTACCGATACGCTCGATTAACGTAGTCAGTGTTCAGCCGCCCCCTCCCGTCAAAATAAATAAATAAATAAATAATAATCTGGGACACACGGCTGTAAACAAGCTATATAAAACTTAAATTACCTCTAAATGAAACAAAACCATCTCACCTCATGACAAAGAAATAACACGGGTTTCGCAACTAGAGATAGACTGCTAAAACTGAACAGTTTCCAACAGTTTGCAATCTGATTTAATCTTTCCCAATTTTGTTCATCCGTTACATTTTTTTTATTTGCTATGTAAGTTCTAGGTTCCTTCACTGTGTTACGAAAAATTGTATTGAGCGACTTTTACAGTCAAACCAGGTCAAGCGTTCCCGTCGCTAACGAACTAATGAATTCATTCACGGAAAAATGATTTCGTTTGTTGATTCAATAATCCATTCATAAAATGAACAATCCAATATTCATATTTAGCCTCGATTCCATAATCGAATGTTGATTCGATTACTGTTTTTGAAAAACTACACTTTCCACAAGTTGACCTCAGAATTTTGTTTTTTCCTCTTTTTTTTCTGAGAGTCGAGTGCTGGCGAGTTCTGAAGTTCAAACCCAAACAAACTGTTACATGTACGCCAGTTTGCTGCCAGTAATCAGTGCAACAGACCTAGGCCTGACCTCTTAGAAAACACAACGGTCAAACTAAGGTCAGTGTATGTGCGGTGATTGGTGGATTTCGATCCTCGGCCGTTGTCAGTTTCTCATAGTTTCTTTGCGTTTGCGGTCTGTCTATTCTAGCTGTTATTTTGATTAAAGGCAATGAAAAACGCAATCGTAAACGGCAGGAAAAAGGAAGCAAATACGATTGAACAAAACAGACAAGAATAAAGAACAGGTAGATTTTGTTCATAAACCAAATCAACATTTGATTATTGAATCGAGGTCCAATTTGACTGTTGGATTATTCATTTTATGAATGGATTATTGAATCAACAAACGAAATCATTTTTCCATTAATGAATTCATTAGTTTGTTAGCGACGGGAACGCTTGACCTGGTTTGACTGTAAACGTGACATTCTAGAAGGTTCGCGAGAGTTCATAGTTTGTTTATGTTAGGATCTTGAGTAAGCGTTTCTAAAGCGGTATATTTTGTAACTTTTCTATAATTAGACTATTTAGAAAGTTTTAGAATGTTTTTGTGGAAGTATATAAGTAGGCGAGTCCGAGTTAAGTTTTAACTAGTTTTCAGAAGCGAAGAGAGTCTCACGTTAGTCGTGTTCAGTCAAGTGAGACGGAAGCAGTGTTAATTCAAGATGACGGAGGCCGTGTGAGTTTATCAAGTCAATTGAAGTTGGCGGAGGCCGTGTAAGTTTAACGAGTTAAGTGCTGTTGTGGAGTTTTACTTCGTGGAAACTACGTTCATTTTTTGGAATAAATCTTCTTGTTGCTGTTCCGACAACCCTGCGTTCAGTTTAGTTTGCAAGCTACCCATCCTCTAAAAGATTACCCGCGTAACACACTGACTCAGGCCGTTATTATTTTTGTATTTTTATCCTTCGTCTTTGACAACCACGGCGAAAATTGAACCAGTTTCGAATTATCAAAATCCACACTTGGCTTGGCTTTTGTATTACAGTGGAACCAAGAGAGGATAAAGGGGACAGAGATGGCATCCCCCATACACACCCTATTCCATAGGTAATTCGTCTCGAGTTATTTTTAGAATCGGGATAAAGTTACCTCGCGCGCTGCTGCGTGGATGTTTCGTGGAGGTTTCGCATGACTAAACGCCGTGCAAAACATGTCGGGCGAAAGGCAATGAAAGCGTAAAGAGATCGAGAGCATTTCTGAATATTATATTATATTCATATTCTGAATAGCGAAATGAGTCGGCGCTCACCTGGGAAAAGGGAATCGCTGGACTCTTTGACAACCCGTGAAATCAGTTTAACTCGAAGTCGTCGTAACCTCATGATCAGTGCTTTAATAAAATGAGAAATTCGCCGGTCTATTGAAACTGCTCGTTTGTACAATAAAGCAAGTAGGACGCCAAGTGTTATTTTTGTTGAATAATAAAAGACTAATAAAAGAATAAATATCAAACCAGAAATTGCTCTCTTCAAACTGTAAATTATAAATGATCCTGAGAGAATATTCCGTGGGTTAAGGATTTCCCTGCTGTACTGTTAGCTCTATACAAGAGATGAAGGGCGAATCTTTTTTAATTTCCATTTCGCTGACACCGCTTTAGTAGAAATCTCCCTTTAGTCGTTTTCGTCGACAAAACAAATAGCAATATCGCTTTCCGCGTCTTCCGCCACTTTTTTCAGCGTCAATTCGTGAAGGACGCGTGGCTCTGAGCGTGGGTCATCCACGCGGAACACATTCGCGCTATGTGATTGGCTGTTGTCTAATCCCCCTTGGGATCTGTGGTCTTAAAAATAATTCGAGACGAATTACCTATGGAATAGGGTGTGTATGGGGGATGCCTTCTCTGTCCGCTTTATCCTCTCTTGAGTGGAACCTCTCGCTTGGGACACCTCCATTCAGGGACAAAAAATTTGGTTCTGGAAAAATTTCGCATAATCTTTGTATCTCTCCATTGAAGGGGCACTTCTGTTCAGGAGAAAGGGACATTTTTTTCTTGGTCCCGAAACCCAGGTTTAGCCTCTATTCAGGGAAGACATTAGCACTCATAACTTGACCGACCACAAATAGGGTCGACACCTCTAAAAGTACACTTATCACTATCTCACATAAATCAATTTCATGCACCTGCGGAAATTCAACACACAATATCGCAAAGATAAGTTTATCATGTTTTTTTTTGTGTGTATTATGTAGCTGCTTTGACTGCAGGAGATTCTGAGGCAGAATAAAAAAATATACATTTCCTTTGTTTGTTGATTATTAACAAACCCCAGCCCAATCTCCATTCAGGGGAGACTCACTTCGGTACCTTGAATAAAGGAGTTCCACTGCAAAACCCCTCAGCCCTAGTACCAAGTATGAATTTCAATAACTCGAACCCACCGTATGGGGCTCTGCAATCAGTTAAGTCTCATGAATAAAAATGGACGACGCCAAAGAAAAATACCCACTATAATATAATCCAACGGTGGTGCTATTCGATCCAAAGCCACATAAAGCATTGCAGCGAACTTGGAAGACATATCGTTCACCAGGCTGAAGGTCGTCTACGTGGTCCTTCCGTTTTATTGTCCAATTCGTTGCTTTCGCGTCCGTTGTCGTATGATTAACAAGCTCTCCTGTTTTTTGGTTCGTTACTATTATTTCGTAGTACTAAAATAAAATACAAAAATAAATAAAATAAATAAACAGCTGGGGTAAAAATAAAGCCAAATAGATCATACACTGACCTATTACTGTTTGCATAAATCAGTTCATTTAAGGAAAAACAGACGAGAAAGTCTGAAAAGCGGTATCAAAGATGGGTTTAAACAACTGGAACACGAATTTAAGTTTGGAACATTCCGACCGGAAAAACAGGAGTCAGGACTACCATTTTAGACTTTCTGATGCTCCGAATATCTTCCACTGGAATGACCCGAAAACTCCTGCTCCATTTACACCCAAACCGGAATTTACGCAATTTGTTGGTAAATGGAAGGCACCCAGTACGCGCGGGGAAAGAAATGGAGAAGTGGCGACCAGTCCATAATATTTCTTGGTAGTCGTGCGTGTTCACTATTCGGTGAGCCAGTAAACGTTAGGACTTCCGGGGAAAAACTCGAGCTATTTACATACCAAGCAACGTCCACTATGGCTCTAAGTCTCCAATTCTCACCCATTTCAACCAACCCTTAACAATTAACACCGACTGCAGTACAAAAAATCCTCATATACGCCTGATACAACGACTCCCAAGTGTACGCTCCGATAGAGTGTTGTTAATAATGGTTCTTAAGTCCGTGGATAACAGCTTCCGAACAGTACTTCCATGTGGTTTCTTATACCTTTCCACGTGTTTCTAACGTTTAAGTCTGTGAATGCAATCCTATGGTGTAACCATTTAAATGAGAGCTACAAGGTGGTTCTAACTTTTGAAACTGTGGATAGGGGAGTCGCGAGAAGTCATGCGAGAGCTTCCGAACAGTACTTCCATGTGGTTTCTTATACTTTTTCAGGTGTTTCTAAATTTGAAGTCTGTGGATGAAATCCTACGGTGTAACCATTTAAATGAGAGCTACGAGGTGGTTCTAACTTTTGAAACTGCATGCAATCCTAAACTGTTACCATTCAATGAAAGCTAATGGAGCAGCACTTTTCTGTTCTGTGGCACTGTTTATTATACTATACAAACTGCTTCTTACTTTTGAGTTTGTGTGGATTCTGTGGATGAAGTTCTATCGCGTGCCAATTCAAATGAAAGCTACTGATCCTTATTTTCTGTGGTGGTACTATCTGCTATCCTGTTAAGAACATTTTAACAGATTTGAGTGTGCACGAGATACTAATTAGGTCTAAGGGCAGAACGTCTCCAAAGGTTCGCAGTTAATCTCTTACCTGAATATCACTAGCATTTATATCACGTGGGGCATTCCATGTCAACAGAAAACCCTTCTCACGTTCTTTTGACCAATCTGTGCCGTTTGTGTCTTCTCCTCCATCAATGAAGTTAACCATTAGGTTAGTAACTGCACCAACTGACGGCTTTAATTCAAATTGGATCTTACTGTCCCCACTAGTACCATGTTTTGTTTGCACTTTGACGATGAACGTATACGTGTTACCACAAGGAAGTGTTACGTCAAGCGTCGGCTGCGTAGTAATAGTTCTGGTGGTACTGAAACCGCAGTGGTCACATTCAGTGATAACCAAATAATTCTGGAGAAATAAGCAAAGAAAGAGACGGTCATTTCTAACCCGACGAAACCTGTACTCTCCTATTAAATACTTTGAAAGTACAGTAGAGTCTTGCACATTTTAGGTTAATTCAGGGCTTTCCTCTCATCAAAAATTACTGGGCAAATTAGAGGGTCTCAATGGGGTTAGCCGACAGGCGTAAAACGGTTTAAAATTTAGTCGATGGCCGTAAAAATTGAAAAAGTTTAACCGTTAGCCGTAAATAGGGTAAAAAGAGTTAACCTTAAAAGAAATTGTTCCCTAGCTGGGTTTGTTAATTTAAGGAAGGTGTTAAACTCACTTTTTTTATGGTTACGTTTTTTACTTTCCGGCTACTTTGACTCCGTACGCACGTTAGGCCAAGCGCCTAGCTTTTAGGTGTTGACCTAGACCTAAACTCCATTTTCGTCGCTCTCTCGGAGAACTAATGTTTTCCATAGCGAAAATCTGGCTTCTTGCTGGGGATTAATATTTGCGATTTTAAAGAGATCGAGCCCTCGAAATACTAGTAAAACAACACGCAGAGATATGTCACTGTTTGTAAAACACATTGCCGATAAACAACAATTGTCTGTTTATCTCTAACGCCACGGTAGACATTGCCATGTCTAGTTCTTGTATTAAAGGTGTCTTTCCACGCAATCTCGTTCAAGGCCTTTCGGTGGCGTATCTGAGAAAAAAACTCACTCGGACCACGTGACCCGAAACTCATATAGCCGTGCGGAACAATGAGGCCTACGGACAAGGCAACAGGAGACTGAGTCGTTCTGTACAGTCTTTCGCTATCATTAAAAACGCTGGACACGGGAATTTTGTGATTGGCCGTTTTCACACTAGAGCTGTGTGCAGACGCCCCCTCCCCCACAGACACCCCTTCTCCGATTTTTTCTTATTGGTGGAGGCGGCTGTACACAGGCTATCAGAAACGGATAATCAATATCTAAACTGTCCGTCAAAATTGACGATTAAAGTCAGGTGGATTGTTCATTCAAAATTAAAACCATTCCGTTTTGAAACTAAGACGTATTGCTTATCTGACACAATTATCAAACGGATAACCCGTCTCACGCGAATCACCCGTCTCCCGCCCGGGACCCGTCTCTAGTGTGAAAACGGCCATTTCTGTTATAAATGAATGTCACGCCCCCGGTCTTGAGTTTGGCGTTCGCGTCTTAAATTGACTATTGGCATTTCTTTGCCTAAAATAATACTAGAAGTAGAATACTTTATAAAAAGTATGATCTGTCAAATGTTAAAATTTTTCAGAAGGATAGCATTTCATCCCGAGATGATCTTAAGACCTTTACTTTGCTTTAAAGCTACAAAAAGTACAGGTTCATTAACATTTAACTCTCTAAAACAAAAGAAATTAGTGTCTAACTTTTTTGTTAACCGTAAATGAAAAAAATTAACCAATAGCCGTAAAAGAGCCAGAATTTTAGCCGATAACCGTAAAAGCCACCACCCCACTGAGACCCTCAAATTAGCTTTCATTTTATGGACAAACTTGAAGAAGATTGAAACGGATTGCAATTGCAGTTTTTGAAAAATGCTAGCCTAAAGCCCCCTGCAAACGGACACAACATTGTTGGCCAGCAACAAATTTTGCGTCTGTTTGCACACCCTGTTGCATGTTGTTGCGTGTTGTTGGGAGTTGTTGCGGCGCAAAGTTTGAAACCGGTCAAACTTTTAGCTACGTGAAAACGGACACAACAACTCCAGCAATGTTGGGAGTTGTTGCGTCCGTTTCAAACAATGCTTTGAGAGAAAAATTTTATTGATACGAAGCTGTGATTTCTACATTCCCAAGTCATAAAACCTCGCTAACGTTAAGTTGCTTTGCGAATAAACGAGCGCTAACAGAGAGCTTTAGATTCGAGTACGAGATTTGACTTGAAATTTTTCGCGTATTCTCAAAATATAGACTTCCCGGAAAGCTAGATTTTATCATTTCCCACCAGAAACGCTAGCACTGTTATTTTTAGTGGAGGAGTTTACGCCTCTTCCCGATCGCAAATGATAAACGTTTGATAACTTCAAAAGCAGGTTGAGTTTGATCGTCCGGGTGAACGTAATCCTGAATAGGACTGTTGTTGACAGTGACTGACGTTTCGACAACCTGTGCGGTAGTCTCTTCAGAGTCAATGTGAGTAGTATCACGCCCATTGATGATATCGTACTATGGTTATTGACCTGATTGGTCAATACTTTTGAAATGACTCCTGGGTTCAAACCTTTCAGGGATTTGATAACTTGTTATATGAAAGATATTAATCATCGTGGATAATGTGTATAAAGGGTTTAGTTTTATCGTTTGTCTCACGATTGTCACTTTGATATTGATCGCGACATTTTGAACGCACACTGCAGGTTCTCATCAGGCGATTGTGTCGATTTACTGAGTCGAACTTTTTGTACCACCGTGGTTGTCAGGTACTGGTGTATCACAAACCTCGCTCATGGTTGGTGGGTTTCGATCCAAAGCATTGTTGGCATTGTGAGGGGAAGAAACTGATAACGAAGCGGTCCGCTGTGACAGAGGTCGGTTGTCATGTTGTCTGATTGTACGCATCCACGCTTCAGGAATCTCAGTTCCACTGTCCCTGTTGATGTTGTTAGGGTGAAGTGATATGTCGATAGCCACCTTAACCCTACCAGAGTACCAGTGAGGGACTTAACTTCGTCCCAGAGCGGATAATGCCCGGTCTTATTGGCGTGTTCAGAAACGGCCGAAGTTTGAGTTCGTGAAAGCCGTATATCCGTATCGTGTTCCTTCATCCATTCACGCACCCACCTTCCCGTTTCGCCAAAGAGAATTTATACTTGTTTTCGCCACTTCCACATTCTCGCTAAGACTCGTAGTAGAGTGCCGAGGGCTATCACGTTTTCCCGCCAGAGTAGGGACTTTACGCAACGACGACAGTAGGTTTTCACGACGGCATTCTCGACCGAAAGGGACTGGAACGATAGCCTCAGTTTACCCACTGTCGCGTAACGTTACGCATCGATAAATTCTAGGACGGCACTCCTGATTTTGACGCGAAATGCAAAACCATTTTTCCCGGCGTTGCGGGCGAAAGGGATTTGGACTTTAACTATTTATCTGTGCAACTGTTGATTCTAAAACCTGGATTCCTGACTACTAACTGCTTTATACGGCATGCCTTCTTTAAGAGAAGTCAGAGATATGTTGCTTTTTGCTTTTTTTTTTTGCTGTTGTATGATTTGAACAAGTCAAGCCAGAATTCTCGTCCATGTAGAGCCTCCAATTAAGGAACCACCGAATATGTGACAGCTCACAAATAAAATATTTGTTAACACTTTGATTCTTAAATCAATGGAAACTAGTGGAAACAAAACCACGTCCGTTTTCTGGATGTAAAATAGTTTAACTTACGTTAATGACCTCGTGTTCGTTTCAAAATGCGCGTTTCGATTTGTTAAGAAAAAAATGGGTCAATTTGAAGAGGAAAGTCCGCGTTAAACACATCAGGTTGGAAACTATGATGAATGAACTGAAGTTAAATGGCGATGGAGCGGTAAATGTAGCGAAGAAAAATAGTTTCTAAGCAATAAACCTCACGTCGACTCGCGTCGACAAGTCGACTTCAAAACAGGTCAACTGAAGTCGTGGACTGGAGCACGACGGCTTTTACACATGAATGCCCTCACGATTGCGCATGCTCGTGACGTAATTTCAAAGCGAACGCCGTCGTCTAAGCTTCCCGTCGTCACCGCGTAAACTCGTCCCTACTGACGTTGGTTCACGCGCGTGCACCACTTAGCATTGAGAAAATCTCGTAGTCGTCGTCGTACTCGTCTTAGAATCTAAAGGTCTTGATTGAGAACATTAACACAATGAACTAGACAGCCATAACATAGTCCCTTCAATAACACCATATATGTCAGAGCTCAAAATAAATTTAGGACCTTTGCTAGTTGCGTTGACCGGCCAAAGAAAAAATAGCTCGCTCATACCTGGACAAAACCGGTCAAAATGTTAACAATAACACGATAATAACTAGCCTGTTCCAGGCATTAAGATAGTGGGGAACGGTGCGAAGTAAAGAAAGCGATAAAAAGGAGAGGGGGACTGGGGAAGTAGTTTTTAATTTTTCGCGATCCTTTTCACTTCGCACTGCTCCCCACTATCTGAACGCCTGTAACAGGCTAGATAAAAACTTGACCGTAATGGCCTATCAATCAAAAACATAAAGTGAAAAAAATTGTCCTCTTAATGGTGTGAAAATGCACTTTTCTTGTTGCTTATTTACGTGTCAGGTCAAAATGACATACAAACCGAATGGTTTGTCTGGATAATGGTCATCTTGGCCGGAAATTGTCCGTTGACCGGCCGTCATTTTGAGCCCTGGTAAGACGACATTCGCGTTAAATTAAGGTTACCGATATCTCGATGATCTTATTCTACATTGTAGTCATTATCTGTCTTCTGAATAGCTAAGAGCCTGCAATGGATTTGAGAAGTAAGTGCAACCTACGGATATGCTACCAGAAAACCTCGCGCACAATGCATACAGAGCAATATCAAACTGTATTTCGAGCGACGGAGTGTTTGTCGTTATTTTCTTCAAACCAATGTATAATAAAATACTTATTAGATTCGATTTTTGTGATACCCGGCCGGGATAATCAAGGTCTCGGTAGGTATAATCAGAAGAGAGCATGCTAGAGGATAGTTCGAGGTCGAATGATGTGTGTACCCAATTGTCAATACTTCCAAAGCGAAATTAGCCTGCGTACAGCCTTCTCTTCTCGCTCCTCGTCGCTAGGGACGTTTAGCAGGAAAACGAAACGTCCCCAGCGGCGAGGAGCGAATAGTGACGGCCGCCTTCGTAGGCTAAACCGAAATTAACTGTTTCCCTTTGGACTAAGTGTCGCCCTACGTAAGGGATTCCACCACAGTCTTGTACTCAGGATTCTGCGCCGTGGATCCCAGATTCTGGGTATTGGATTCCTGGTCCCGGTTCCTCGAAAGATTGTTAAGTCTAACCCAGGATTAAGCCAAATTTTAAGCACGGTTTTTAGAGCAGGCAACTCGAGGTTGCAAAATACTGTTGAACCTTTACTACGAGATACAGCAATGATAGCACAAAATGTTACCCTAGGCAATACATAGAAATGTAATACCAAAACGGAACAAAATGTTAATCCTGGATTAACGCTAATCGGCCTTTTAGGAACCGGCCCATGATTCTTTTTTTTTTCTCAGTGGAACTTGGATTCCGGATTCCAATCGTTAGTGGGATCCGGATTCCAAAAGCGAAAATTTCTCGGATTCTGGAATCCAGATTCCCTCACATGGGGTGAAGAGGGTTCGATGTTTCTCACCTGAATATCGCGAGTATTTAACGGTGCTTTCCATGAGAGATGAACTTTTGTGTTGCCCACTAACGTGGCCTTCAAGTCTACAACTGGATTCACCACGGCCATTGTAACCAATTTTACCTGGGCGTATTTACCATATCCATATCTTGTGTATACTCGCAACATTACAGTCCACTGCGCTCCTCTGCTCACGGATACATTGGTGGAAGTTGTATTGATGCCACTGATTTGCTTGTAATAGAAATGACTGTACTGACAGTCATCGCACTTGTACCTTAACCAGTAGTACTGCAAGGAAAGAAATTTCAGGTTTGCGAAATAATAGAAATGTGATGGTGAATTTTAAGCCCAGTGAATACATGAGAAAGATAATTTTTCACTGGTCAGTGATACAGACGGATACATAGGATGAAAAACTCCAAGACCTCCTCATAGGACAGGGGCACCCAACGAGAATATAGTTCAAAACCACTTAAACATAGCATTGTTGAACGTATTTTAGTGTTTAAACGGTAGATATAGCATATTTTTATCCCCTGAAAATCTTTCATCAGTTCGGATTTCCTAGCTGAAAGTCTAGTGATCCGAAACTTATAGGGATCAAAACTTACCTTTCCGAAAATTTAAGCCAGAAAAAGGCTCCCGAAAATTCTAGGTGACCTTTTTAGGGTAAAAATCCGTTAAAAATGGACAATTATACCATTTTTTAGATGTTCGAAAATCCTAGGAGAGGAAGGCAAGCAGTAAAATTTTACAAATGTTCTGAAAATTCTAGATCTCAAATCGTCTTCCGAACAGATATTTTCCAAAAATTGACGTTGGGTGCCCCTGGTACGAATCAAACCTATGACCTTCTGGTTACTGATCTAGTAACCAGAAGGTCATAGGTTCGACTCCTATTGTTGACACTCGTATTATTAGGGACCTCACCGACGGGATGACAACGAGAACGTCAAAATAATAATAATAAAAATATGTAAATAAATAAATAAAAATATTCAGTGGATGATTTTGAAAATACGCCTGCCCGAAGGGCAAAACGTCTGTATTAAACAGCAAGAGAGGAAGTTTGTTGTAGATCTTTTTGTCATTCAAGTTTAATAAATAAAAAAATATATATATATTATATATATGCTTAATAAGCAAAACAACAACTTTGGACGCGCGTCACACGTCTTTGTACATTTCTTCGCCGTTTTTGCGCGGCTACGACGTGAAAATGCTTAATTTCGCGTTTTATGGAGGCCATAAGCAAGCAACGACGAAAATTTATTTCTCCATCTTTTATTTCTCTTTCTGAACTTGGATATGGTCCCTCGAAATCCAACTTCAGGAAGGTTCGCCTACATTTGACAAAGTAAGCAGGTACGAATAATCGCTATCAAGACTGAAAGAACACAGATTCCTTTTTTAAGCGACCTTCTCGTTGCCGTGGCGTCGTTGGACCCTTAAGTCCCTATTTCTTCCGAGCCGCCTGTGTCAATGGCCGGATCGTGTGCGTTGTCAGTTGACAACTCAAAACATAGAGGCCGAGTTCCTCAAATTGCTACTTACATAAAATCCAGCTGGATTGAAATCTGTGGGTGGAGACCAGTGGCAAGTGAGAACAGTGCTGTCCGCTGTAACCTGACAGGAAAAATCTCTGGGCACTCCATTTAACGGTGGAACATATTGTGTCAGCTTATAGGGGGTACCTCTGCCATGAGATGTGATGACGGTGATTTCAAATTCGTACGCAGTACCATAATATGTCACATTTACGCTGAAAGAGGTTGAGTTAACGACTTGTGTGTTCCAGTAGTGCCTGTAATAGTAGTAACAGCTGCTGGAGCCTGTTGTCATACATCTCCATCTCACCTCGTATTGCTGCCAAAAGACAAGACATGGTTTTCAGCTGTTCTACGTCTTTGAAATATTTTCAGTGCCAAATGTTTTCATTTCCCTCAGTATCTAACAAGTATCAACTATTTTTCGTTGTCTTCCTGTACAAATAAATTTCAAATGATATAGGTTCTTCGGAGCACTCCCAGACTCATTAATTTAAACTGTGCGATTGAATGAAGTGACGCTGTAGATAAACGAATGACGTAAACTTGTGTACTCTGTCAGTCTTTTGCCTAAATTCCAACTTGGAAGGCACTTGTTCTCGCATTGCCAAGTCTATCACTTAACCATCAAAATGATTCTTAGAACGTCGATTTTAAGCAGTCCGGGAACAAAAGCATGGGGTAAGTTATCATTTTACGTTGGCCAATACTAACGGCACATCCGTGTAATAAACATCCAAACTGATATGACATCGACTGCACTCTAAACTGTCACCTGACAGCCACAAAAGTTACTCAGCTTACGCAACTATACCAGGGCAGAAGAAGAACACCCCAAGCTTACCGACAAAAATAATTATACGACGGTTTAAGAAAAGGTCAGGGTAAGTTTCGATGCAAAAGCGACCTTATGATGAGCCTTGTTCGCAACGGAAGGGTTCATACAAAAATTGCAACCAGTTTAAAAAGACTTTCCAATGTTCAAATCGAATTTTCAAGGACCAAAAATCAGGAATGCAATTTCACAGATGGTACATAAATGCACATTCCCAGTCTAAGCTAAGAGAATTTTAAGGCCTCAAGTATTGGCCCCAACTCCTTCTCTACATTTTTCTGTTTTGGTCAATATCAACAACCATTAAAAGAAGCCTTTCCCGGCATTATTTGCCGAGGAGGCTAACAAAACGTGGAGCTCGTAATAAAAATAAATGTGGCATGCGCAGGAGCTTTAAGAGTTAGACACACAACCGCTGGAAAATCTGCGTTTGACGTAATATTTCAAGCACGAGACGCAGTGTTTCGTCACCAGATAAAACAACGAGAAGGGAGTTGAAAACACGACGCGCAACGGAGTACTTTTGACGAACTCTGGTGATGAAACACTGCGTATCATGCTTGATATTACTTTTCAAACGAAATGATTTTAGCAGGAGAAATTAAGAATGCAAAAATGAGCAGTTTTTCATCTGATTTCTAAACACTCAATCAACATTACTTTCCTTTGTATTTCCGCTATGAATTATCTGCGAGTTTGAGATCAGAATGACTTGGACAACTTTGCTTCTCAATTTCTGTACCCATCTCGGTCGTTGAAATGAACTTTGGGGGCCTTTACGTGAAAATATTGAACTTGAAAAATAATGTAGTGTTTTTCGCGTCCGCCATAACAAATTTATGTTCCAGTGAGCCCACGGTTTAAAGTTTCTGTCATATCATACAAACCTATTGTTCTCTAAATTGTGACGTCATTGTCTTAACACGCAAAGGACTTTTTCAAGACTGTGCCAACCCTGAATGGTGCGTAAAGACGATCAGTGAGGACATCGATTTCCATACACTAGTGCAAATTATCTTGATAACTGTTTACTCACCACTGGTCCACTGGTGTATACACGGTACCAGGACAAGGACACCTGCAATCCACTTTGGTGAGCGTAAGCATATCCCACCTTTAGATTTAGCGGTGGCACTGCCTTTAACAGATAGGACCAATAACCAGACCCAGAAGCTGCGATAACATAGACATTTATCCTGTACGTACTACCAGCCATGACATTTAATTTGTAGCTTGTCTTGTTGACATGGATGCTGTTGTAGCTATAGCAGTACGAGTAAGGACCATCATTTACTATACACCAACGGACAACGTAATACTGTTAAGAGACAAAAATTAACATTCTCAACGTTGGAATATCATGAACTGACGGCCAAATTAACAATAACCGATACGGTATATTCATTCAAAACAGATACTCAAACTAAGTGATAACTCAGACTAAGATCTTGATATCTGATTAAAAATTCTACCTTCTGCCACCTTCAAAACTTCCGCACAAAATATAAATCACAAGAGTTCATCACCATTACCCACACCACCACCACCACCACCACCACATCATCATCATTAGTGAGTTTACGCAACAAGACGGCAGAAAGAAGAGGACGGGATAACGCTTGAGTGTTACAAACGTGACAAGGCTATGACTTGCGTGTTTTGATCGGAATCCACTTAACATTGACGTTTTTTGCTCTTCTACAAAAAGATCTGTTTAAAGGTATGTGAAGTTTGGTGGACGGTTTTTTCAAACACAATTATTGTCACGCTTGTCACACAAGGTTTGCCGTCGTCTTTCCTCTCCCGTCCGGTTGCGTAAGTTCACTGTTATTGAGTTTACGCAAGAGGACGGCAAAACGCTTGTGCGTGACAAACGTGACAGGGGTATTATTTGCGTGTTTTGACGTGATCTTCACTTAACACTAATGTTTTCTGGCCTTTTACAAAAAGATCTTTGTAAAGGAAAGTTAAGTTTGGCGAAAAGTTATTTCAACCAAATTATTGTCACGCTTGTCACACAAGGATTGCCGCCTTCTTTCCTTTCCAGTCCTGTTGTGTAAGTTCACTATTTCATTTGATAGGAGGGGGACATGTGTCCAGGAACTGTGGATGCAACGTTCTGTTTTAATAGCCAATTAAATTACACTCTATGTTGTATAATTGTATATTGTATGTTGCATATTGTATAATGTCAAACTGCCGTTAAGATTGGTGAAATGTTTGAAGTTATATTTAAGGTGACGTCCGTCGCTGACCATTAGCAACCTTACGCCACCAGGACGGCGACGGCAGAGATAACGTCATTTTAAAAGTGAATACGCGCTGTTTCCAACTTCATGGCTATTATTCCAATTCGTTCAATAGGCTCTTTGCATGGCTTGATCACGTGATCAACTTTCGGGGGGTCAAAAAGGAGGCAATTTCCGAGGGGGTAGGGGTAGCTTTTCGAGGCCTTCTTCCGGGGGCTCCAAGTAAGGTTGGTGAGTTATGCAAAACTAACAGCTGTTCTATTTGTCATTCAGATGGTATCATTCGTGTAATGAAAGTATCCGCGCCTCTAGTTCTCTGGCAGTGGCTTACGTTAATCATTAGCTAAGACCTCTACAAGGCAAGATTGAGTTTATTTGACCATGTATTAACATGACTAAAAAGATTTGTTTCTCAATTTATAGTGTAACAACATTCTTGGCGGAAATATTCTTTCCAGGAGGTACACAACCAAAATGGAAAATCAATGAAATTCTAGAGGGTAGGGGGTTTGACAAGCATCTCTTAGAATGGAAATTTCAGGGGCGTGAGGGGTCTAAAACAAAAGCGCCATCCGTCGAGCGGCTATGGATATTTTCTGGGACTGCACAATTTAAATCTATTGCTAGCTAATTCATTGCTAATCTTTTGCCGTAGTTGTTGCTCTCACCGTTGTCATTGCGTAAGCTTCCAATTAATAATGAAACACCACACTCCAAATGAAAGACAGTAAATTTTTAAAATTCTGGACAGAAGAATTAAAAACAACAACAACAACAACAACAACAACAAACAAAAAGAATGTCTCGTTTTCAATGACTGGAAGGTTACCTTGATATCTTTAGCGTCCAAATTAAGGGGTGGATCCCACGTGATGGTCATGTTGTAATCATCATCAACACTCGCTTGCAAATTACGAACTTTACCAAAGTATCGACTTATCAACACTGAGATCATGGAGATTTCTCCAGGGCCAAAGTCTGTTATTGCTTGAACAGAAAATGAATATCTATAGCCCCGGTGCAAGTTGGGAATAGTACAGTTCGTCCCAGCACAAGTTTTTTGGCCCCTGCGTTGACTGTAGTAGCAGCCTGTACAGTTCCATTTGATCAAATAATGCTATGAAAATTAAAACAAAACAGCAAAGCTGAACTTTTGAGGGAAGAGGTGAAAAGGAAAGACTAAGAACTACTTCATAATATGATACAAAAGCAAGGGCTTCAATACCCCGCTAGACGCAAGGTAAGCGTTCACTGGGCTGCCTTAGGATTGAGAGATAAATGAATGATAAATAAATCATGCCAAAAAAGGTATCTGCCAGAACAAGTAACGACAGCTGATTGCTTTCTCTTGGCATGAATTTCTCTCCTCTTCAAAAGATGCTTCTGACGACACGCTTGAAATATTTTTCTCTGACCTCATGCTAAATTTTAATTGATTTAATAGTCTGAATGTTTTTTTTGCTCACACTGAGTAAGGATCTCTCTGTGAGAAATCGAATACTTTGAATTAAAGAAACGTAAGAAAAAAAAGCTCCTTTAATCTTCAAGCTATCATGTTGTGCAGCAAAAAACAAAATATTCCGCATTTAAAATGGAAAAGAAATTTTATAGTTTGTTATGCAAATTTTAACGTCTAGATACGGGTGAAAATACCACGCATATCATTCTTTCGGTGATACTTTACTCGCTCCCAGTCTGTGAGGCATTTTTGAAGGGAGAAAAAGCAGTTTTTTAACAACCAAAATTCAAGAATTTGAGGTTGCGTTGGAGAATCGGTCGAGATGGTTGTTAAAGTACATTGTGGGACTGCTCTGGGGGACGAATTTGCCGCCATGTTGAAAATGCGTCCCCCAGAACAGTCCCATAATGCACTTTGAAACCATCTGGACCCGGTCTCCCGTGTAAGAGACTTGGGAGAGACATTTTCAAAGTTTAGAATTGTTAATTCATGTTACACTTATCATAAGAACTGAAATCAGTTTTTTTTAAAATTTCAAGTCATATACACTTTAATGTACCTTCTCAGTGATTTAGGCGATTATTTATTCGAATGGCTGAATTTGGATACACAGCTCCTTTAATGAGTCTTTTTATTGTTCTTATCATTTATTCTTTTTCCTGTGCTTACAACACCAACTTCAACAACAAACAAACAAACAAACGAGAAATTAGTTGGCAATATGACACTCACGAAATACCTTGCCAAAACAAGAACCAAAAAAAAAAAAAAAAAATAGACAGAATAAGGTACATTTTTACCTTCAGAGCCCTGGGTCTGATCGTTCCAGGAGCAGACCAATCTAAAACTACACTGTTGTAGCCCACTTTTGCCGTCAAACGGCCCACAGGAGCAGTGAAAGCATCTGTTCTTTTGATGACATGGACCGGTGGACCAAGAGAATTATCTTTGCTGAATCTTGTTCGCACCTCAAAGGTGTATCGAGTGTTGAAATCCAAGAACCTGAATGTAGAGCTTGTCATTGTAGCGTTTGAAAGTTCCATTTTATATCTACCATCGGCTGTGTAGCTCATTGTTATCTGGTAACCCTAAAAAAGCGTACCAAGAAACTTTACAATGAACTAAGACGGGCGGTGCCCTGTAAAGGCCTTGTTGAACTTTTTACTGTGATTCAAAGTCAAATGTGAAGCCAGACCACTTTTCAGCTGAGTACTGAGTATCCTGGCCTTGAGTGGAAGTGGGACTAGAGGTAACCTTGTTTTCATAGAACCTCTCCCTTCTTTTAATGCAATTCATGTTCCTATGCACATCAATGGCTCTAAAAAAAACCCACTAGCCTCGCCTTAACTTTAAGGCTAGATTAGCATACAACTGTATATTGGCCTATTAAGAGGGATGACGAGCTTTGCTTGACAAATTGAGTTTTCTTCAAGCCCGTTCTAACGTGTTTAAATCGTCGGCCAAGCTTGTAAAAAGGAAACCGGTTGCCTCCTACCAGTTAAGGTTTTAATCATGTTTAATATGTTCTTGTTACATTAGGGCCATTTATACAAGGAAAAATAAGATGCATCTTACATAGGATGCATCTTAAATAAGAAGCAAACTTTCCGTATAAACGGCACATTTCGTCTAAAATAAGACGCGGCTTAGCTAAGACGCGTATTATTTTAGAACAGCCCTTAACACCTGTTCTTAGATAAGACGCGTCTTAGCTAAGACGAGAAAAACCTCGTATAAATGACCTTCGCGTCTTACATAAGACGCCAACCCATAGTACGCATGCGTTAACCCATTCGCCCCTTGAGATTTTGCCGAAAAACGCGTTTTGAAGCTAGTCGAGTGGTTTTCTGGTCACTGTCGTGCTATAAAGAGCTAAAACTTACCACAAACCGGTTTACAGGTCGTACACTTGGCGGCCTTCTGATCCAGATGCAAAATATCAGCTTGCGAAGTTCGGGCATGCGCAGAAAGCAAAATTTCGATTTCGTTTTTGGGTTTAAAAGTGACACAGCAGTCTTGACTTTTACTTTTCGCTTTCTCTCCTCCCTTCTTTTTTCGCTTTTCTTGCCTCATTTTTTTTTTCTTTTGCTGGGCATTTAGTAGGCTTCATTTTGGTGGGAAGAGTTTTTAGGAAAGCTTTTAAGATCTTAGGATTAGGTGAAAGGAAAGGTAGGTGGGTAATGGAACAAGATTTTCATGGAGATTTTCAGGTCCTTGTCACGTGGTTTTTTGCTTCTTTCTCCGGTGTCCTTGACTGAATTGTGCTCATTCTGGTATGGTTTGAAAGATCTGTTCACTCTGCACAAGTTAGCGAAGAAAGTTGTCCTTGACCGTTAAAACTGATGACGTCACAAAGGGTAGAAAGGTCCTGGATCCGCACGGGCGGTTACGGGCGGTTCAGGGGCGAATGGGTTAATTTTTGGCGCGCCACGTTGGATTGCCGTTGCTAGGGGCAACATTCACATGAAAACGAGTCAAGAACAGAAATAAGACGCGATCCATTTATACGAGCTGTTTTCGTCTTAGATAAGACATGCTCGTATAACTGGTACAGTTCGCGTCTTATTTAAGACGCGTCTTATTTTTTCTCGTATAAATGGCCCTTTATTTGCTTCAAATAAGTTAGGTGAAGTTATAGCTAGAGCATATAAGCGCCATTCCATTCCATTACAATAAAATAGTATCAGTACCATAAACACTAAAACTTACCTTAATATCACTTGGATTTTTAATATCAGGTGGTTTTTCCCAAGTAAGTACGATACTACTGGCATTAACAACAACAGCCTTTAGACTGTGTACCGGCTGATAGTCTTGATCTGAAAAAAAAAACAAAGCAACATGTAAAAGGCGTTAGGAATTAGAAAGGAGGAAAAGTGGGAGCGTTGTAAGCAGGGCTGCAAATAACGGCCGGTCAACGGACAATGTCCGGCCTGATCGCGGACTTGACAGGTCAAACTCCCTTCTTGCCGGTCATTTTGACCGGTCATTTTTGGATACAAACACTTTATTTTCCATACAATTTGCGCTTAATGCTCTATAACGCTGCAATGATTTCTTTTTTCTTTGGCGTTTTTTGCTGCTTTGCACTAAACCCTTCTAAGAAAAAGAACGCCGCAATAAATTAATTTTATGTCGTCATGTCGTAATCTAACGCAACAAAGTGAATAACAAACTGAGTTGGAAAGTAACGCAACGTTGCAAGTCGTACTGTACTTTCGGCTTTGCATGCTGTAATCAGCAATGTGACCTTCTTTGGGAATTCGAAGGAATTCAGGCAAATCGATCGCAATTCTCAACAGGTCGTCCTGTGTTTCTCCGGGAATAAATGTTAGCGCATCGATTAATAATAATTTTCGTTTATGTCGAACATGAATCTCGTTTGCAGACTCGATTCCAGAATGGTCTGATAAAAATTTAAGCTACTCAAGAGGGAAGGTCGTCGTCTATCGCGGCGCTAGATTCTCGTTCTTGTAAACAACTTTATGCAAATTTCTGTTGACATTTGAGCCCTTCGCGATAAAATGTTGCGCGATGACCCAAATTTATTTATTGACTTCTGATCATCAACACGCTGTTTGTGGAACAAACGTCTCGCCAATGCAAATCAACGTCTTTGCCGAAAATGTCAGCGACGATTCTTCTTTGAGGAAGTGACTTTCGATCACGTGCCAGGTAAGGAAAAAGATCAAGTTTCACCGATGTTCATTTCGGAACATCAACGTAAAACAAGCGTGTGCAGATTTTGTAAAATAACCCAATTCTTTTGTTGTTTTTTTTCATAATTTCTAAAGTTTGCTGAACTGTATGTGTATTCCGTTTCTGAACCTTGGGAGTTTGAAAAAGATTTACGCTTCACTTTTTACCACTAGAGACTTCAGACACCGCCGTGCAATGATACTCAAGGTAGAACGTAACATTAAAACGCGCCAAAACCGCGGAAAGGAACTCTACAACGTGCGAATGCATTTTTCACCAATTTGCTGTCAAAAATGTGAACGTCAATGTAGTATTAACGATCTATTGCCAGCATAATTGGATATTCCTTAGGCAAAAAAAAATTATTAGTAATCATTATTTGACCGGCCAGAATCGGGGTTTGTCCGGGCTAAAAAATATTTGGCCGGTCATCATGACCGGCAACCTGCTGTCCGTTATTTGCAGCCCTGTGTAAGCGAGATTTCACTGGTCAACAGGGTTGGTAAACGGTTACATGAATTTCATGAAATTTTCCATGAACCTTTTTTCAAGTTTTCAATGAGTCACTTTGAGTCATTTTATTCATAAATTCAAAAATTCATTGGTGAAGAACGCACACTTCTCGCTTATAGAGACAACTAATGCGGAGCTGACAACAAACAAAGTTATACGAAAGAGAATGATGAAAGAAGAGTTGAAAAGTTACAAAGATCTTTGGTGGCTTACCGCTGACTTAAAGGTAGGTAATTGTTTTCGATTTTTTTTGGACCAAAAATAAGGCCAATTGTTATAAGGCATTTCCTGGCTTTTTGACAGATTCTGACCCGCATTTTGTTCTTTTTGTTTCAATGTTTCACCATAAGCATACTTGTGGCAACGTTGCACTTATACGTGGGCAGCTAGCATGACTGTTGCACTTCGGCTTGTAACTAAAATCTAGTAAGCGATTATAGAGATAAATCCATCAGGGCATCATGGGGACGGTATGCTGTCGCTTTGTCGATCATTTCTGAGACCGCCTGTCGCCTTGCAGGTTAGGAAAATGCTGCTGTCGGTTAAGGATAAATTCTTATTGGTACTCAGTTTTGGAACTCACGGCAAATATAGCGCCTAGAAAGAATTATTGTTAGTAATCTTCTTCCCGAAGGGAGCGTTTTTTGATAATACCAACATTAGAAAACGAATTAAAGAAAATAACGGAAAATGTTTAAAAATAACGGAAGAGAGATTGTTATTTCGCTGCAGAAACAGTCCAAAATATAAGACGTCAGATGTCGCTTTCAGAATTTTTTCCTACTTTTCTGTCGATTGTCGGTGCTTTCTGAAAATTAAGATTGTCGCCAGGTTTCTGGGCCATGTCGCCTGCTGTCGCTTCCACCCCTTGGAAGGCCTCACTGTTCTGAGGTAGTTCGTAAGAGAATAACATTCCCTCATTAAAGAGTAGGCAACAAAACCTAATGACCTGCAAACACCCAATTTCGGACTAACCTGATTTAGGCCGCGAGTTGACAGTTTCACTGTGTTCCCCTGTCAGACCCAGTGACACTTGAAACACATAAACAACGCTCTGTTGTAAGTTGCCTACAGTGTAACTTGTGGCTGGGGTGCTACCCACTGGAACAGAACTAACTCCATTTTCCACTGTTCCATAGTAAATATAATACGTCTGCATGAGAAGAAGGAAAGGGCATGTTCAGTAGAAGTATTGGCAGAGAATCCGGAAAAACAACAACAACAACAGCATTTGTGACAACAACGAAATGGAAATGGACAATGAAATTCGATCAATATTAGCAGATGATGATGTGTTACTCAACAGAAATGCTCCCATGTTAAAATCATATTAAGAGCGTTAAAAAACGGGTCCAAGTCAAAGAAAAGGAGCTGTTCCAATGATAGAAATATTAAATAAAAAAATGCTTAATTGGCTGGAACCAATGGAAGTGTCAAGTATATCGTTAAAACAAAGAGCTTGGCATGGGTTGGATCGGCCTGGGTGCTCAAGCTTGGATTGAGTTCTTTTGTAAAAAGCATTTCGCAAACGAGACGTTCAATTTTCCTTGACACAAGGAAGAAGGCGAAATTGGCTTTCTTTTGTATTACGTAATCATCCCGGCATCCATGCGCCTCAAAGCTTGTGAACATGCTAGCCGATTCCGCTTTCCCGCCCATCCCAAATTGTTAAAGAAATGACCTGGAGACGAAGTTGGAATGAGCAACGTTCTAAATAAGCGGGGAACTGGCACGACTTACGGCCGCAAGGACTCTAGGGATACTTTAAAGGGACAGCAGAGGAAGTTAAGATAAGTAACATTTCTGGAACTATAATTGCAGTTTGGAACGAATCACCTGTAGTGCGCAGGGTATAACAGCCGGTTAATGAACATTAGTAAAATCCAACTAGTGGTCTATTATCAAAGCTGCGTTCTGATTGGTTGAGCTACTGCTAGGCTATATGTTATAGCCCACCAGAGGCGAAAGCGCCGGCTTTTTGGCGGCAAAAAAAGGATTAAAGTCTAGCTTTAACGAGCTAAAGTTGTTTTGTCTCCATATTTTTCACCAGCTAGTTGGATTTTACTAACCCAATTATTCCTCTCTCCCTCATGGCCTCTGAGTCAACAGCCCATTCGGCCTTCGACCTCATGGGCTATTGACTCAGAGCCCATTCGGGCTCGAGGAATAATTGTTAAATAACCTGCCTGCCTGTCGCATATCGTACCCAGTTTTTTACTCTTTTAGAACATGACGAATAGACACTTTATAAGGTTTCGTGAAGTACTTCCATTGTTAAGTTGCCAAGTTAAAGGCACCATACTAATCATTATTTAGGTTGTTGAAAATTACCCCTGCAAGACCCTAACCTTTTCTTGCGTTGGTTTGGGGACTGGTTCCTGCCACGTTAACTTCACAGCTGAAGAATTGTAAGGTACTGCTTTAACATCACGAGGTGCACTTGCTGTTACAAACAAAATCAGAGATGCTTACTTCAAACAAAACAACAAATCATCACCCAAAATGCCGCGACACATTTGGGACTTTATTACGGTCAAAAGCCACATTGGATTACAGTAAAAAAAAAAGTTGACGTGTTGGAACTTTAGCAATGAAGACGACGGCAACAAGAAGGGTGAAAAGAGCAATAAATCCTCTCTTAAGTCCCCCGGGGGGCTTATTTCAAACACATTTGTCGGGGGGAGGAGCTTATTTAATTTAGCAAAGACAATAGTATCAGTTCTCCATAAAGAACTAGAACGCGGAGTGGAAAAGCTCAAGTACGAGAAGCTGGAGATCATGCAGCTGAGGATCACAAACAAATCCGAAGTTTCAGTTGGTGAATAAACCATCCAAGATAAGTCCACACGAAGTTTTACAGTCGTGATTGATTAATATAGTTTATCATTTACTAGTGACGAATAATAAGGGGCAGGGGAGGGGGACGCTTAAAGAGAAGGCGGGCTTAGTGATTAACTGTCTTCCCCTGAAAAGGGAGGAGGGCTTATTAAAGAGAGGGGGCTTAATAGAGAATTTACAGTACCTTAACATTTACAAAAATTCAACATTGGGCGTCCAGCACGCATTTTAGAAGAGGACGTAAACACATCGGGACAAATTTTTGTTTTCCCTTCTAAACTTACCTACGTTGACATTTAAAGGGGCTACGTCACAAGGATACTACTGTTTTAGGTCACTTGTACGTATAACCCATTACTTACTAATAGTGCCGGATCATTTTACGTTTCTGTGAAACTGCCCACCTACCCCTCCCCTAGGCCAACATTTTGCCCTAAGTAAGAACTAAGTGTCAATGTTGGTTTAGGGGAGGGGTGGGTGGGCATTTTTCACAGAAACGTAAAATGATCAATATAGTGCCTTTACCCATACATAAAATGCTCCTGTAGCGTTATGAAGAAGGTATCAAACAAATTTCACCAGGGAACAAAAACGATGATAATTTTTTTTTGATGAGTTTGCAGGCATTGTATTAAAACTTGAAACAGGTGGCCCAATTTTTTCAAGTTTCAATTCACTTACATCCTTGCCATCCGTAGCAAAAGAAGACTGGAAACAGTTTCAAGGCCATACCATAGTCTATGAAAAAACTGGAGCAATGTTTTTTGAATTCAACTGATGGGAAAAAAGTTTTATCTTTTGAAAAAGATAGCAAATAGCACGACGCAGCCCCTTTAAGGCGAGTTGAAATTAAAGCCGCAAACTTTAAAAAAAAAGTGAAGTTTTAAAAATAGTGACGTTTTCGCTACCCTCGACGTCGTTGCAGTCGTAGTTAAACTTCGCAACCAGCAAAAGCAATACTTACCTCCATTAGTCTTTACCATAACAGCAGCACCAGGACCTTCACCTTTCGAATTGTACGCCTTCACAATAAAAGTGTACTCTGTGTCGGAAAGCAGCCCTGTTACCGTGTAGTTGTGCCGATCTGTCTTTGCAAGGAATAGGAGCCCACTGCTCGAACTTTCATACACATTATAGCCCTGCGGAAAAAAATGTGGTTCACTGATTCTTTTCCTTTGTTGTTTGTGTTAATGTATCACTGAACAAACGCCACACACACAATATATAAGCACGTAATTCTTGCAGAAAAGCGATGTGGGTAATGTTGTAAAAAAGGTTGTCCATATAGCTTCAACAAAGATAACAACGGCTTCTATAACATGTATAATAATAATATTAATACTATTACTAATAAAGACGACCTCTATTACGGCGGCCAGAAATAAAAAAGCACAAAAATGTTGCAGTGCACGTGCACCTCTCGTCTTAGCGCCAAATCCTGCAATGTGAAGACCTGTCTTGTGGCCTAGTTGCTACTACGTGAGTATAGAAGTCAACTTTTTCCTTTCTTGAGCTATTTTAAAAAAACAGCTCATATGTCAGTGGTGTGAGCGTATGTATCTTGTGGCTTTGTGACTGCAAGAGCCAATAAGATTGAAGGTACTATGAGTTGATGCTTAGGAACCAATGAGATCTTGGCATCTATTAAACATGGCATTGCTAAAGGTCGAACAACGGCACTCTTGATTCTTCACATTTTTTTCGTCTTTTATTACGGCTACAGGTGTTTAGAAGCATTACATTATATATCTTCATGATTCAAACGCTGTGTACAGTGATGCAGCTGTTTAAGGATTCATATTTTAGTGTAGATGCTGCTTCAAGACATTTCTGACCGAATTCGGCTATCGCGAACGGTACAACGCACGTATTTATGAGTTCTGTTTCACCTGCTTCAAGCTAGAGTATAAAAGATCATGTATTTTCAAAGCTCTTCCAATGAAACAATAATTGATATTTAGATATGGACTTTAATTCGAAAGTATGCGGCCTATAAATTCTGGTTTTAGATATTTGAAAGGCAGCTTATTTTTTTGGAAGTTGTACCGAGTATTGTTGATCCTGAAAACAAGTTTTACTCTCTCGCTTACAAAGTTCAACAGTCCTTTTTTGTTCCGGCAAAAAAAAAAAACATGAATAAGAGAACAACAAGATAAATCCTTCCTGCTTACTAAGTATTATAGTTATTGAACCGTACTTTACTTAGTAAAGATGCGTAACTTAAGCCTGGTTTCCATATGATCGCTACGATCGCTGAGAAAAATGTTCCGCGATCGCAGCGATCATAAGGAAACCACTTTCCAGCGATCGTAGCGATCGCAGCCACAACGATCGCTGAGATAGAAAAAGTTCTATCTCAGCGATCGTTCTCGCTGCGATCGCTGGAAAGTGGTTTCCATATGATCGCTGCGATCGCTGAGAAAAAAAAAGTTCAGCGATAGCAGCGATCGCAGCCACAACGATCGCTAAGATAGAAAAAGTCCTATCTCAGTGATCGTTGTCGCTGCGATCGCTGGAAAGTGGTTTCCATATGATCGCTGAACTTTTTTTTTTGTCAGCGATCGCAGCGATCACAGCGATCGTAGCAATCATATGGAAGCAAGGCTTTAAGTAGAAAGAGTTGCGTTAGGGAATAAAATTGGAAAAGCTAGTTGACACTAATTAGATATTGTTTTATTGAGTGGAATAACATGATGTGAGTAGAAATATATTTCGGCAGTTTCAAATGATAATTTTCTTGGAAGTTAATAACGTTGCATGAAGCATAATTTGATTGCAGATGTTGTAAAGCCTAGGCGATTTCTTAAAATCGTTGGAGAAAGCAAGACAGCCAGAAACGCGCGTAGTCACTGTTTGGACGCCGCTTGTTTTAAGTTGAAATTTGGCGGTCCACGGTAACGTATTCTGCCTAGGACTCCACATCCACGGCCGCCGTAGTAAAGGTCACCACAGCTATTTGCTATAAATCCCTATTATCTTTTATCTCCCGTTTCATGCCACATAAAGCTCCGAACTCTCAACCTTAATCAAGTTCAAAACTATGACATGAAATTCTTTGCAACAAGAAAAAAAGAATGGGAAAGATGTCTTAGATTCAGTCAGTGACACAGGCGGCTAGGAAGAAAGGATCCGAGTGCAAATATTGCCAAAAAGATTACCTGGGGAGCTGTTATAGTACCAATTCCAGACTGTGGGGTCCCCCAAGCAAGAACTACTTCTGTTTTGTTTTTACTCGTTGCTCGCAGGTTTGTGACAGGTCCTAAAGCAAAAAAGAAAAGTTGGTAGTAACGACGCAGTCTGAAACCCCGCGCACACGGACGGAACGTTGTTCGATGTTACATGTTGCGTCCATTTGCACGCATAATCCAATCATCAAACTGTTGACAAAAGGAATACTGCTTTCTAAGGTGTCATATCTGAATTCCAACTTCGCAATAACCCTGGGTTTTGTTAATCCTGCTTCGAACAACCTGGCCTTGAGGTAAATGTGTATTGCATGAGTAATTGCCTGGCCACAACAAGTCCACGCGGTGACTGAATGATACCTCCAGCGTGGATGACAATATAGTACTAATCACATAATTACTATGTTTTCATCTATGAACTAGATAATATCGCATAAGAGAGCGGGGGGGGGGGGAGGGACCAGGAAACCTACTCATGTTAAATAAAACGTAACTTGACAATGAAAACAGGTGTCAACTCCTACCCACTAATTCTAAAGGAAGTACACTTGCGTAACAAAGGAGAAACTATTAAAATTTTGATATTTTCAATCTTTCATTCGAATAAGCCATTTGGGATGAAAGATTTTTCTTCTGTTTAATAATAAGTGTTAAATTTTTACGCAAGCATACCTGTCGGTCGGAAAATTGAAATTGTCACAGACTGAGGAACAGAGAACTGCCCATCACCATCCTCCGTACTGTGAGCTTGCAACTGAGTAAAGAATAATCACACAAATTACATACTAACATTTACAGCAAGTGGCCATGCATGGGTTTATTAGGTAACATAACATTGTACTTCTCAAACGCATCAATAATTCATAAAGAAAATACAAAGGAAATTAATGTTTAATGAGTGTTTGGAAATCAGATGAAAAACTGTTCATTTTTGCATCCTTAATTTCTCCTTCTAAAATCATTTTGTTTGAGACGCAATATCAAGCATTCGACACTGTGTTTCATCAACAGATGAAAGACATTAGGTTCGTCAAAAATACTCCGCTGCGCATCGTATTTTCAACTCTCTCAATTATTGATAGCGAGAACGCGAGATGAAGCGCAAACGTTTACTCAGGTAATGTTTAGACAAGCAATCTATGATGGCATTTGAAGCAAAATGAAGCCCACCTTGATATCATAAGTAATACTTGGCGAAAGTCCTGTCAGTAGATATGAGTGGACATTTCCAGTTACAACAGATTGGAAATTCAGTTGAGTATCTTCCTTGTAATTTATCTGTAGAAATATAAACATATATTTACTTGTTACACTGTTTTAAGCCTTGTAATATAGACATTTTAATTTCTTGGCGAACAAGCATGTCTGGCATTTGAAAGACGCTAAGTTCAGAATGTAGTATAACTTGGAAGGTTTTAAAGCAAGCGGTGCATTTCAATCCCCCTTCAAACTGCTGTAATTTGTGCCTGTGGGGAAAATATTTCATCATTTGCACCCCCTGTCTGGCGTGCTTGAACAAGCGTAATGAGCTTGTAACTCCCTGCAGGCACGCGCGCAAATTTCTTTTAAGCAGCTTTACATCTCCTGTTGCCACGCAATAGCATCTGATTCAAATTCAGCGCGCGTGTGTATACATGTATCAGTGTATGCTGTAACGAACTTTTCATTGGTAATTTAATCTGAGGTGTGTCGCACATGTTGAAGCTAGTTGGTAATAAATGCCAAGTCGGATCTTACTTTGATCAGATCACCTTGATTATATATTTTGATGTTTATCTACAGAACTCTTTATTCAAACGCTTGTCCAATCAGCCTGCGTGTTACCTTATAACTCGTGACCGCATGACAGTACGTTGCTGGTGTTTCCCAGGTTATCTGTATTCTGTCAGTCCCTTTAGAAACATGCTGTATATTTCGTGGAGGACTTGTTGCTTAAAGAGAGAAGATCACGCTTATCACGTTGGCTTTCTTAGACTAAATTTGAGACGGCATTGCGACTTTATAATAGGGAGATTAGTGAGTTTACGCAACAGCACGGCAGGAAGTAGCCTCCCACGCATGCATTTTTAGGGCAGCTCGTTTTTCATCCCTCCCCACGAACGCCTGCTCAGCCGGAAACAACATTCCTTTCCCATTGTTTTATTTGCGTGGTAAGTGACCAATCAACAATTTTGCAATAAAGTGTTGACAGGCTAAACACGACTGAACGTGACCCTAGAGTTACCGTTTTCCTTCTTTTCTTTCCTTCGCTAAGGTTATGCAGTGCATGGAGTATTCTAAATTTTGACTAAATCTTATTTTTGCCGCTCTGAATCTAACATTTATTAGAGGTCAGAAAGCTTTCCCAGTGTTTAATGCAGATCGAGTAATTATCAGATTACCTTGCGGTCAAGGTCAACTTTCCAGAATTTGGAAAGTACAATGTGATTGGCTAAGCCTGGGAAAGGAATGTTACCTTCGGTTGAGCAGGCGTTTGTGGGGAGGGATGAAAAACAAGCTCCCCTAAAAACGCCTGCATGGGAGGCTAGGCAGGAAGAAGAGGACGGCAAAACGCTTGTGTGTGACAAACGTCACAGGGCTATTACTTGGGAGTTTTGTCGTGGTCTTCCCTTATCATTGATCTTTTCTGGTCTATTACAGAAAGGTCTGTTTAAAGGAAGGTGTAGTTTTTGAAATGTTTTTTCAAACAAAATTATTGTCACGCTTGTCACATAAGGTCTGCCGTCTTCTTTCCTCTCCCGTCCTGTTGCGTAAGTTCACTAATAAGCATCGACGACGGCGACGTCCACGAGAACACCAAAAAAGCAATAAGTTTAGATAGACAAAACATCAACTCTGCACGTGCATCACGCTTTTTTGTACAATTCATTTCTTTCTTCCGAAAACGCCTAACTTAACGTTTTGTCGAGGACGTGAACACAAGAAAGCGACTTTCTTTTTCTTTTCATGAACTTCGATAAAGTCCTCTAGACGTCAACTTTAGAAAAAATTTCCAAGTGAAGATTTGACGAACTGAACGAGGTGGAATAAGCGCGATAAAGTTTCAGGCAGCGCGAATTCACTTCTTAAGTTTTTAAAATGACGCTTTCGTAACCGTCGCCTTCGTTGTTGCTTAAGGCCGCGGGGGCACCTATCGATCAAATTCATAACGCAAAGTTTTGCTCGTGCTACATCTTTAAAACGCTTATATCTCGGATTTTTTTTAGCAGCGATTTAGATAATACTCTACAGAGACATCGTGAAATGATGGAAGTTTAGGAGTGAAGACCCTGGGAGCGAGGTTGGTCATTTACTTCTTTTGGCTCTGACACCTTGAATGTGGACTGATCAGATGCACAAAGATAAAGAACTTACTGACTGATGTTGTTTCGGCTTGGATGGTGTCCGAAAAGGGCCCTGGTTGCATTCCCAACAGCAGTACTTGAACTTTGAACTCATATTCCGAGCACGGTTGCAAGTCAGTAACCAGGTAATAGCTCAATGTCATAGTGTCTTTCGCACGCCAGACATCAGAAACTGGTATAGAGTGAAGAGAGGTAGCTCTACAATTAAAATAATCAACACGGTCAAACAACTTTCCAATAGCCTGTACCAGGCTCCAGGATAGTGGCGAAAGCGGATCGAGAAGATTTGTGCTAAAACCGGGTGGGGGCTGGGAAGAGACGAAGTAATGGAGCCTGTAAGCATTGTTTTCGATACTTCATTTCGGTATGCCAGCTCCTGGTATACCCTATGATTGGTCAATTGTGACAGTTTACTTTAACGCTTACGTCAATCATTTGGCTTCGCGGGCGCAAAGTCTAAGAAACATATCGAGCATGTGTGAAACCCTCCCAGACCAAAACTTCTGACGTTTTGATATTTGACATTTTAACACGAAGAAACGGTTTTTTTCACAAGCTCTTCCCTTCTCTCGATCCGCCGTTTTTCGCTTGTTCGCTGATTCACTGCTCGCTCGCTTTTTGGCGCGTCTGCACTGACCTACAGCCTGGCGCAGATTAACTTTCCAACAACCTATTGAGACAACGGAGGAGGAGAATGTGGTTATTTGAAGGTTGAGAATGACATTGTAGACAATGGGTGGATTGACCAAAGACAACGCTGTGACAGTGATGACGGAGCGTAAAGATCGACCAGTGATGGAGCAGCAAATAGATTACCGGAAGTCGCGTCTAGTCCTTTCCGCGCGTTTTCGCGTTCTCACTTGACTTTGCCTTGTCTTTGGTATGTCTGCTAATTGACACCATTTTGCATCACATCACGACGAGAATATGTGTATGGTAGCACTGTTGCTTACCTGTAAGAGATCCTGGATCCAATGATTGTAACATTGGGGGGTTTGTGAGAAACTGGAGTCCATCTGAGGCTCACTGAGGCTCCACCAGTTAAAGGAACTCCCGCCAAATTTGTAACTTTTAGGGTGTTCGCTAAGAAAAAGGATCAAGAAAATCGATTTCACTGAAAATACTAATAAGCAGAGGGTCGTTTGCGAGCAAGCTCTCCAATCGCGTCTCCTTTCGCGTGCGGTTCCTGCGTGACTTCTCGCGACTTCCCCAAATCGAGAGGGTCATGTAGCAGCTGCTAGGAAGAGAAGTCACCAATGGTGCCTAACCATGACCCCAAAAAATACTGAAACAATTGAAATGTAATTTTATTGTTTTCTGCGACCAATCAGGAGAGACCGTACGAGCAGCTCCTACACAACTGAATGGAGAGCTTGCCGCAGGCTCTGTGGAGATTGGAAGCTCTCGTGAGCGGGCACCCGCGGGACGCGAAAAAGGTGTCCATAACTGGGGCTGGCCGATTACGGAAATTTACAAATATAGAGTTTGTATGGGATTTGAGTAAAACGGGGATTTGTGAAGGCAGCCGTTTGTAGAGCTGTCCGCTTAGAAGAGTGTCCGTTAGGAAAGCTTTCACTGTGGCTCATAAGTACCTCTCAAAGACGAACCGAATGACCTTCTAGAGCCTCAGTGAAAAGGGGCAATGAAAAATATGGCTACCAGGAGCACGAGCACTCTTGGTCACTACAGACACAAGCTGTTATTGATCATATTCTAAATGATACTCTAGTTCTCTAACACTGAAGAGGCTCCTGTGGCTTTTAACGATCACAATGAAACCAATTTCAAAAAGGTATGTGGGGATGGAGGGCTTGTGTAAATAATAACTAGCAGTAGCCGTTGGCTAACAAGTGCGGGCGAAACCGCTTTCATGGTGAATGCCATTCAGGTTAGTGCCAACAAAAGAAATCACTGCGGATCACGAGAACTGGATTGAACAAGTCAGTAAATAAGACTCAAATTTTCAACGATTTTATTCGCAGTTGCTTAGATAAAATTAGTCTGCAAATGTTAAGGAGCGAGGAGAGACGTTTTTATTCGCCGGCAAAGATACATTGAAACAGTAACGCGTCACACAAGTAACGCGTGTATACAGTCATGCACGAAGTCTTATTATTTAATCGAATATTCAATCCGTGTTCAATGACCAAAGGCCGTTGATATGCAATACAAAACTAGGAGTCATCGGAACTTACGAGAGTGCGTTCGATATGTTTCTTAGGCGTACAGACGGGTAACAGTTGAGGGGGAAGATGGGATGGTTCTTGCGATAGATAAATGTGATTGTGGCATATTTTGAACGTAAGGGTTGCGTACAACGCAACTTCTATTTAAACTTGGTATCATTATAAGAAGATTTTGCAAAGATATCGTATGGTTCAGTGTCAAAGTGCTTGTAATCGGAGGAGACAGTGGCCAGAGTACGTAGGGCGTGTAAATAGAACATTTTAACTTTTTTTACTGGCGCCATTACAGGGTGCAGTTGTTCAAAGGCCGATTAGCGCTTAACCCGGAATTCATTTTCTTTCTTCAAAAACACTTCTTCGGATAATTTTCTCTTTTATTTTTAAGAGCATCCAATCATCAACTTGTTGACAAAATGAATTAAACTGAATTTACTTTTTTAAAAGCTTTCACATCTGAATTCAAATTTCGCACTAACCCTGTCAAAGCCTTCAGTGGAATGTGTGTGCGGCTCACGTCAATAACTTTTCCAGTAGTTTAGTCGAGCGTGTTGATTTCAGTGACTCGAGAGTGGCGCTACTGTGGGCTGGTTTATAAGTTTTAACAAATAAATAAAATAGAGTTAAAGTGTTCGTTTGTCTGGCGCCGAAAATATCACAAGTCATGACCAGATGGCGCCGCCGAGCTTCAGATCTCGGTAGATTTACTTTGTGACACAACGGGCGCCGAGCTACACAACTCGGTAAATTTACTCTTTGGCCTGACAACGGCTGCCGAGCTACACAACTCAGTAGATTTACTTTGTGACACAAAGGCGGCCGAACTAAACCCGCTTTGATGCATGCACCAGGAATCGCACACATTTTCCAAAGACAGTGACGAACCATGCTGAAAAATATGAAGGCTTATTCCAAAGTAAAATTTAACAGCAAACTTCTGAAAGATGAACGCTTTTGGAAGATTCAGCAAACACAGACCGATGTAAGCTTTACGAAGATTCAGCAAACTTTTTAAAAGATGAACGCTTTACGAAGACAGAATATCAGACCTCAGCAAACCTTTGAAAGATGAACGCCGAGGACACACGAAACACCACGTGAGATAGCGCGTCAAAGTGAGACAAAACGTAAGCAAGCACTTCAAAGTGAGGCAAATGTGTGTCGACGACGACGAAAATGCAATCTCAAAATAACCTCCCTTATTAATTGCACAGGACACCCAATAAGGCACATAACACCCAACACAAATTAGGGGTTGCGTTCTCGTACCTCGAACGCAATAATGAAACAGCTTAAATTACCACTGGAGTTTAAAGCTTATCGAAGCTTTCGGATGACAAGCGACGTAACATGCTTGGAAACGTATAAAAATATAAAAATCATGCACTGTAGTGAAACCTGAATAAACTTAATTTACATCGATTTCTAGACTTTGCTAACACTCGTAACTTACCGAAAACTTGTCCCGCACTAAGCTGAGATCAGGCTCTACTTTCATTTTCCTGGGTAAATAGATTCCAGGCCGGCAAGGCGAATGGAAAAGTCTCCCATTTAGTACCGTACTAGTGTACCTGAATTACGTGTGCTGGCGAATCGAATGTAATAGTGATTGTTGCACCACTTGTATGTGCATTCACGTGATTACCGTGACATCAGACGGACCTTAAACTCAACACTAGAGCCTTTGGGGCCACATACCGTGCGCAATAGTCAGTACAACACGGGTATCCCAAAAATGTGAACAGATTCTGAAAAAATCTCGCTATAGAGTTTAAAGAGTGCCGATCACCAAAAATAGGCTGCAGGCTCCTTTTATCACCCGCAATAATAATAATAGTAATAATAATAATAATAATAATAATAATAATAATAATAATAATAATAATAATAATAATAATAATAATAATAAAGAACTGAATCAATGAAATTCTAGTTTGTTTCTTTAAACAACTTATATTTATAACAAAACTAGGTCATAATAGAAGGGACTTGGAAAAACGAAAATCTAGCCCAACTTTATACTCAGAAACCGCCCCCCGCCTCAGTCTCAAAAGATAAAGTTAAAAAGGTAACAGTGAGAATAAGTGATCAATGGTAAATCGCAGTTAGCCATTTGCCCTGAACTTAATGTCGGTTATCATAAATCTCTCTATTCACACAAGATAAGTCAACTTAAAAACGCTAACAACTTGACCCTTAACAAAAAATAAATACCTCTAAAATCTCTCTATTCACACAAGATAAGTCAACTTAAAAACGCTAACAACTTGACCCTTAACAAAACGCTGACTTTTTTTTTTGCTAACTCAAAAGAAAATAAAATTATTTATCCTTTAGTTACTTACCACAATATCTCTCATCCGTACCATCTTGACAGTTTCGAACGCCATCACATACTTTAGCCAGAGGCAAGCAAAGGTTTGAATCGCACTTGAACTGGCCAGTACATGCACTTGGAGTTGCTACAAAATGGCAGCAATAATCAATGCTAATATAACAGTACAGTGACTGGGTTACTAGCCTGTGTGGTAGCTCTTGGAGCAGGAACGCCTGACCAAGCCCTAAGAACCTCTGCGCGGGATACCCGCATTACAGACGCATAAGAAATAGGGCGCGCGTGAGCGAGGGGGGCACGCACCAAGTGTGACTAACTCATGAGAGAATCAGGTACAGTCAACTCTCCCGTAAGCGACCACCCTTGAAGAAAGACAAAGTGGTCGCTTGCGGGAGGTGGTCGTCTATGAGGAAAATCAAGAAAATATACTTAACTAAACTGATTAACGTGATTACATAAAGTTATTACCTATTAAACAAGCCAAAATTAGGCACACAGAAAACTGGCAATGATGTTTCACATCGAATAGCACTTGGAACTGTTGAAACTATGTACATAACATTTTGCAGGTCTTTGCATCAACGCTACAATCCACAAATTTATCTTCAGATCGTATTGCAGCCATCTTTTTTGTAGGTCAACTGCTTTAATCTTTAAGCACGCTTGTTCAGCGCTTTTAAAACTGAACTTTTGTGACAGTTAAGAAATGGTTTTCTTTCAATCATACGTAATCATGCCGGGAGGTCGCTTACGAGAAAGTGAAAACAAAAGAATATGTCGAATTTCTGATTTAAAAAGTGGTCGCGGTCGTTTACGAAATTCCAGTAGTGGTCGCTTACGAGAGAGTTTTTAAAACAGTATTTGACTGAGACAGAAAACGGTTATTTTCAAAGTGGTGGTAGTCGTTGTGAGAGAGTTGACTGTAGAATCAGTTATCGAGTCAATGAGAGCGCGCGTGAACGAGGACGACACGCACCCAGTGTGACTAACTCATGAAAGCTAGAATCAGATACCGAAGTAATGAGCGCATAGTTAGGGGCCAACTGCTGTCACGTCGCGCGCCACTTCCCTTCCCTCCCCCCAATGTGAGGAAAGAGGGCCACATAATCTTTCTGACAAAGACATGATATCATTTTTTTAACTTATCGGCTTGCGAAGAATTAACAAAGCGAACAGTAGTTACTGTTTCCTAACAGATTCCTCTTTGCTTAAGTACAAACAAACCAGAGAAACTCGAGAAGGCTATTAGCTTACCGCAGCCAGATTCGTCAGAGCCATCAGAGCAATCACTCCTTCCATTACACACAGATGTCAGAGGAATACATACACCAGAGAGGCACTGGTACTCGTCAACTGCACAAGTGATGGGTCTCCTGGTGGTCTCTTGAAATAAAGAACAAGACTGTGAGCGGATGTAGATCAAAACACTTCAATATCCCATAATAAAAACGAGAAGGGATGGGACTGGAGCCGCAATTGTTTCTGGGATAGTTACATGAACCCAGCCGATCAGCTATTGGTTACTGTCCCTAGTAACAATCCCAGATGTCTTTGCGAAAGTTGGCCCAGTTTCTTTCTTGTTTCTAAACTGGCGAAATCTCTCATGATAGACACGTACCGATATGCAGGTGTCAGAAAACCAACGTATCTACGTATACTGTACAGGACGTAGTGATCTCTTTAACAAGTGATAATGCATTCTTTTTGGGAGGGCAGGGGGAGGGGGGGGGGGAAGCGAAAAGTAAAAAGTTTTTTAATTGTGTAATTACTATGCACCAACAAATATTATTTAAGTATTCTTTAGGGCATAGATACTTTGGCAACTGAATAATGTTGTTGAAGTAAGTTTAAGAAGTTTTTAAGCATTGAAGTGTCCGTTACACATCTTTAACCCATTGGATTTGTTACATATTTATATTTTAGACTCACTTTAATTGCCTGATGAATGTGGTCTCCTTTAGACCACACGAAAGAGCCAGCCTCTAACTACACTTTCATTATATCATTTATTACTTCTACAAAAGCACTCTAGCCAGTTCAGAAAATAGATATTTTTGACTCTTTATGTTATTTGCAATTTTAAATCTACACTCGACTCTCAATAATTCGAACCTTCACTAACTCGAACCTCGCGCTAACTCGAACCAACGTCGATCTCCCCTACATTTCCTGTAATTTTACCCTCGATAACTCGAAGTTTCCCTTCAGATCACTTCTATACAATTTTACCCTCGATAACTCGAACCTTGTTTTAAGCGCGTGACAAGTCGGAAAAAATCGTGTACTGAAGTCCGAAACACGAATTTATTTCAAAACAACCGTGTCAATTCTTTATCTTTACTTGTTTGTCACTCCAGATCCAATTCTTTGTCCATCTCTGTATACTTTGTTGGTTAATTGCATTCCCTCTCCATCCATTTGCTCATTTCCTTATTTCCGGTTATTTGCTTTAAACTCCCGATAACTCGAACTTTTTTCGACAGGATGCAAAGAAAGTCACTTTTACAGCTTGCCATTGGGGCAAGCTGAAGCTAACATTTACTAGCCCAAACATCATTTCAGCTAGCCCCAAAAACGTTTTGATGCGCAGATTGATTTCACAGTTCTTCTGTAATTCGAATTCCTCAAAAAACTTCACTCGCCCTAATAACAGAATTCATTAGTCCGATCGCAAAATCCACTCGCCCAGGGCTATCGGACACTACTTTATTTGCACGCTGTTCGATTTCCCTAAAAGGTTCGAGTTCGGGAGTTCGGGAGTTCGGGAGTCGACTGTAGTTTACATAGTGCATGTATTCATTTGTACATTCAAGATTGGGCGTCAATCTTGTACGAGGATCAAGTTCTTGTTTGTTGCCCCCTTTTCGCATCTCTTTTTACCACCTATTTTCATGCATAACAAGTTATTATACCGTAAAATTCCGAAAATAAGCCCCTCCATGTATAAGCCCCCCAAACTCGTAACGCAAAAACCATCCGTTAAATCGCCCCTCCAAATATAAGCCCCCCCCCCCTTCCCCTGGGACTTGTAATTGGAAATTTCCCCTCAAATACAAAGTAAAAGAAAGCAAAAACGGTAGATTTCCTTCCAAGCATAAGGCTAGCCCAATCGATTTTGAAACGCAAATTTCCCTCCATAGATAAGCCCCTCCATAAATAAGCCCCTCAAAAAGGGCCTTTGAAAAATATAAGCCCCGGGGCTTATTTTCGGAATTTTACGGTATATATAAAAAACAAACAAACTAAAAACGAACAAAAAAAGTAAATTAATATAAATTAATACTTGGACAGTTTTGTCGCTGTTCATCCCAGCTTTGTGGGCAGTTAATAACTCCATCGCACAACCACTCAACTCTGATACAAATTCCAGATGGACTGTTCTGACAGTGCAGCCATCCGGATGGACAGTGTGGTGCTTGGGTTGTTGTGGGTGCTTGTGACGTTGAAGCTGCAAAGACAGAACGAATTATGTTACTGGAACCGCAGTGTTCATATGGCGAATAAACAGTGACATAGGTAAAAGTTTGTTCAAGTTTTGTTCTCAATGCCAAGTTGACAGTGGTTTCCACGCGCATGTATCCCTCGTTCAGAGTAATTTATGGTACATACTGTATTAACTCGATTAAACGCCGCAGATGGAAGCAAAATTACCGATGAACGCCGCACAAAATCCAAATAATCTGGCGTTTATTTGAGGATTATGAGATACTGAACTCGGCACCACCATCGAGACAATTTCAATCTATCGCAACAAAAAAAAAGTGCTTTAATAATAACGGATGGTTTACCGTAAGAATTGAGATTTTGAAATAAACGCCGCCCTTGAATAAACGCTACCTCAGCTTCAGAAGCGTTAATAATTTGATAAACGCCGCAGCGTTTAATCGAGTAACTGTTATGGAAACGAAGAAAAAGAAAACAAACGCTACGACATGGAAAGGGTTCGTTCGACGTGGAACGCGCGCGCACCTTATACAGATTGCATTTAGGTTATGCAGCAACTACCGTTAATTCGTTGATTGAATGGATTTTCCGACAAGTATAAATATGGGCATCCCCGCAGACTTTGCAAATGCAAATGACATCATGAGCAACTAAAGGAGCTAAAGGAGAGAAAGCCTGGGTGCCTGATCGGTACTGCCGTAGAAAGTACCCCGAAATCTTTGAATATCACGAGTTAATTAATCAGGGTTCATACAAAAAATTGCAACCATTTTTCAAGGACTTTTCAAGGACTTTTCAAGGACCACATTAGATTTTCAAGGACAACCTACTAGGAATATAATTTCACAGATTGTACAAAAATGCATATTCCCAGTATATTCTAATAAGACTTTAAGGCTTTAACTGTTTGCTTCACCAAATTCTCTACATTTTTCAGTTCACTTGTCTTAAACTGATAGTTAATTATTGCATAAAACATAGAGCACTTTATGTAAATGACCTTTACATTCACTGAGCTACGATTTACATTCTGTCTTGGACAACCAAAAAGCATCAAAAAATTCTTTCCAGGCTACTACATTCAAAGTTGAAGAAAATTCAAGCTCTTTTCAAGGACTTGCACAGAAATTTAAGGACTTTTCAAGGAAAAATGGAATTCAAGGACTTTTCAAGGACTTCCCCTAAAATTCAAGGATTTTTCAAGACTGTGCGAACCCTGTTAATTATAGGACTGAAAGCGCCAAGCGATTGAACTTACGGCATCCTCTCTCATCACTATTATCACCACAGTTATCGACTCCATTGCACCTGTACCCATTATTGATACACCGCCCATTAGAGCACGTGAACTGCCAATAATGACAAGGACTGGGCGAAGTAGTCGTGTTTACTGGACCTGAAGTACCTGATGAATAATTAAATGACAAATGTGTTAGCTTCTAAAGAGTTATTTGTAGTCCTAGATTAGCCAATAGAGGAGTCAAACGTAAGACATAAATTTGATGAACTTTATAGTTGGCAAAAAAAGAAGAGGTATGTCGAACGCTACCTCCCGTTGTCACCCTTAGCAAGAGCGAATACAACACTAACGAAGCGACAGCAACTAGGGAATCATCCCTCGTCTTTTTCAATCTCCTCGTTGTGGCCAAAACAATCTACCGACTAGCTTGCGAATACAGTCGTATCCCGTCGCTCCTCGTCGCTAGACGTTTCGCGGGAGGGACTTCCCCGCGAGAAGAAACGGCTTTGTTCTCAGGCTACCTAACAACTCGCAATTTAATCACACAAGCACAGTGAAAAAAAAAGACGTCTATTCTTCCTATCACTGCAACACACAACACATCATCTGCATTTGCCTTTCATTAGGTTTACTTCTAGTGAGCAAACGAATACATGTTTATACTAGGCCATGGTCGCATGAGTCTCTTTAGGTTTGTAAACATGCAGCTTTCGTTCAAATGTTGCAGAAGCAAGCTGTTCTCAGCCCTTTCAATCCGGGTGCAAGTTATGGCAAAACAATTCGTTAGCCCATCTTTTAAAATTGTGGATGAAATCCCATGGTGTGCCCATTCAAATGAAACCTCTTCAGCAGTACTTTCACATGGTACTATTTATTTAGTATGTAGTTCTAACTTTTGAGTCTGTGGATGAAATTCCGTGGTGTTACCATTCAAATGAAACCTCTTCGGCAGTACTTTCACATGGTACTATTTATTTAGTACGTAGTTCTAACTTTTGAGTCTGTGGATGAAATTCCGTGGTGTTACCATTCAAATGAAACCTCTTTGGCAGTACTTTCACATGGTACTATTTATTTAGTATGTAGTTCTAACTTTTGAGTCTGTGGATGAAATTCCGTGGTGTTACCATTCAAATGAAACCTCTTTGGCAGTACTTTCACGTGGTACTATTTATTTATATTTTAGTATGTAGTTCTAACTTTTGAGTCTGTGGATGAAATCCTATGGTGTGACCATTCAAATGAAACCTCTTCAGCAATACTTTCACATGGTACTATTTATTTAGTGTGTAGTTCTAACTTTTGAGTCTGTGGATGAAATTCCGTGGTGTTACCATTCAAATGAAACCTCTTCGGCAGTACTTTCACATGGTACTATTTATTTAGTATGTAGTTCTAACTTTTGAGTCTGTGGATGAAATTCCGTGGTGTTACCATTCAAATGAAACCTCTTCAGCAGTACTTTCACATGGTACTATTTATTTAGTACGTAGTTCTAACTTTTGAGTCTGTGGATGAAATCCTTTGGTGTTACCATTCAAATGAAACCTCTTCAGCAGTACTTTCACATGGTACTATTTATTTATATTTTAGTATGTAGTTCTAACTTTTGAGTCTGTGGATGAAATCCTATGGTGTGACCATTCAAATGAAACCTCTTCAGCAATACTTTCACATGGTACTATTTATTTAGTGTGTAGTTCTAACTTTTGAGTCTGTGGATGAAATTCCGTGGTGTTACCATTCAAATGAAACCTCTTCGGCAGTACTTTCACATGGTACTATTTATTTAGTATGTAGTTCTAACTTTTGAGTCTGTGGATGAAATTCCGTGGTGTTACCATTCAAATGAAACCTCGTCAGCAGTACTTTCACATGGTACTATTTATTTAGTATGTAGTTCTAACTTTTGAGTCTGTGGATGAAATTTTGTGGTGTTACCATTCAAATGAAACCTCTTCAGCAGTACTTTCACATGGTACTATTTATTTAGTATGTAGTTCTAACTTTTGAGTCTGTGGATGAAATTCCGTGGTGTTACCATTCAAATGAAACCTCTTTGGCAGTACCTTCACATGGTACTATTTATTTAGTATGTAGTTCTAACTTTTGAGTCTGTGGATGAAATCCTTTGGTGTTACCATTCAAATGAAACATCTTTGGCAGAACTTTTGCACGGTACTATTTGTTTCTTGGAATTTTAGAAATTAAAACAAATAGCATAAAATGGAGATTATTTATTGGGTGAACTTGAACCGCTTTACTTTGGCTTCTATTAGAAGAGAAGGGTTTCGTTGGACATTTCATTAGAGAGATTAAGAGTCACGTTTACGGCAAACGAAAACAAAAAGATTCAAGTTGAGAATTTCTAAGAATAGAAAATAAGGACATAAAAACTTTCCAAATTCACGGTTGCCGTTTGGCGTAAACGTGAATCTTAGAGCCCTTACAATTTGTATGGAAAACCCGGAAATTCCGGGGAAAATTCAAATGGAACGTTTCATCCCGGCGGAAATTTTCCGGAAATAAAGAAACACCTTTCGACGTATTGCCTTTTTCCCGTTTTTACCGAAACGACCGAAATTTTCTGTACCATTTGTTTGGATTACTAGTGCCAGGCTTCACGTCGAGAGAAAGCGAAAAATTTACGGGTATTTTGTAAATGGTACAACTCAATCCCGTTCCTGTTTTCGGTGCCAAAAAAAGAAATGCCAGCACCATTTAACGGAACTTTTTTCACCGAAATTTTCGTACAAATGGTAAGCTCCGTTAATCTCTCTATTGATACAAACCAACCTCCGCTAGTGGTAGGGGTATTTTGCAGAACGCCAAAGGGCCACCAAAAGCAGAACGAATCTGACGTTTAGTGATTAGGGTTCTGACACCCAGCTGAGTGAATCAAGTTTCAGGTCAGTTTTCACAGCGTAATGACCCTGAATAGACCTGATTCACACAGTTTTCTAACCCTAATCACTTACCTTCAAAGCCATTCGGCGTTCTGTAAAATACCCCTGCCGCTCCGCTAGCGGCACTTTCTCTTTCAAGTTTACTTCACCGTGACTACATACCGCAATACCATTCATCTGAGTTGTCTCCACAGTCGTTACTGCCATCGCATACATCCCACATGTATATACAGAATCCATTGTGGCATTTGTACTCATACGAGCGGCAGTTTGAAGGGCGTGTCCAGGGAGTAGTCGATTGAGTGGGTGTAGTTGTGTCTATAACATAAAAGTAGAGGGCTGAAGCTGGCATGGGGTCGAGGCAATTGAGAGATGAAGCGTGACGTCACGTTACCATGGTAACAAAATTTCTAAACCTCAGCAATATTTCCTGACAGAGACGGCCATTTGCGTATGAAGGAAAAATATGGGCTACAATTTTGTTCCTGAGTTCAGGAAAGTCTTTCACTGTCAACGTTTTCGCCATTTTTTTTTTGCCACATTTGCAGGACCAGGCATGTTGAGATCCAGAAATTTTGCTACCATCGCAACACGACGTAACAACTTCTCCTCTCTATGAAGACGACAAAGAGCAATAAGTTTAGTAAAAACAACAACAACAACATCAACAGCATCCAACGTTTTGGGACATTTCTAAGCCACGCAGCTCATCTACGAGGTCAAATTTTGTGGAGGAAGTAACGCACAACAGGGATTTTTTCTTCCCTTTTAGTGCTTGAATGTGGTATTAAGGGATTCAATTTTAGTAGAATCTGCTAAATAGCTACTTTACAGACATGCCACACATAAAAATATATTTACACATTGATCATGTATTCATTTACAAGAACAAGAATGAATGCGGTAAAGTTTGAAAGAAAGCAAGTTCTCTGTATTAGTCACGTTTTTACCTTAGGTAATCATTTCTCATAACCTTCTCCCTTTACTACGTACTCATATTGTTGGGAGAAAACTGATGCTGGTCACTCTTGGGAATTTCAAAGTTCCTTCATGCTGTGCAGTTGTGACTCAGACTAGCCATTTACCCGCGCTATGGCCAGTTTAAACTTACTAGTAGCGAACTTAAGCAACAGACGTTCTTGGTACCACGGACGCCAACGGGAAGAATTTTTGCAGCATGACAGCCACTGCGCATGTCAAGACGTTCTTGGGCTGCAGACACGAACTTCAAAACGCGAGTTCTCAGGTTGAAACCAGAGGTTCAGAAACGTGAGTATGAACACAGTTAAAATTTTTCATATTTGATGTCCAATATAACAGTTTCCAATCATTGTATGTTCTTTTGTTATGTTAGAACTTTAAAAGCGTAGTAGAATCTTTGAAAGACATTTTCAACTGAATTATTCTATCCGCGTTCGTGATGGTTTCACGTTGGTTTGCTTAATGATTTGCATTTGGCACGTAAACCGCGTCCCCGATTCAGTTCTGCGCGGCCAGCCATGCGGTTCGTGAATCAAGAACGTCTGGTGCTCAAGTTCCCTAGCGAAAATAACCACGGGTAAATCGCCCCACGTAGGGGAACCCAAGACAGTCTTGGATTCTAGATTCTACACCGTGGATTCCAGGTACTGGATTCCAGTCATTGTCCCTGGAACTTGGATTCTGGATTCCAAAGTCCAGGATTCCGGATTCCATGAGGAAAAATTCCCGGATCCCGGAATCCGGATTTGCCTGCATCTTACGAGGAAAAGATTGAAGACTTGAGACTTACTCGGACATCCAAGTTCATCCGAGTTGTCACCGCAGTCATCTTCTTTATCACACTGCCAACTCTTAGGAATGCATCGTCCATTTGTACAATTAAACTGGGAGCATGGTCTCGCTTAAAAATAAACATACCAGTCAAACATGCATTAAGCGATCAACCATGGAATGGCTGACAGACCGCGAAGACATCAACCGTCCAGTGATGAAAAAATATATATATATGTTTATTATATAGACACGAGTGTTTTACTGGAAAATATACCACTCGTAAAATTCATAAAAACTACATCCGGGACCCGAGTGGTTTATTTTCCATATATCTCACACGTGAATTTATCGATGACGTAATTTCGGTCATTTCCCTCTATTATTTTATCGATGTCGTTTTGTCTATATAATAAAAAGAACATTGCACAGCGACTTGAAAATATGAACTTTATTTTCTCGTGGCAAAAACAATATTTTACTCACTCGCTGCGCTCGTTCGTCGAAAATAAAATTCATATCTTCGCGCCACCGTGTAATATCCTCTATATATATATCTATAGCGAAAGAATGAAATCATGCAAGAGAAGGCGGCGGAGAGCAAAAACAACTATGACGTAGCTAAATTATTGATTAAAAAAGAAAGCAAGATTTATAGCTGATTCAATGAAGGTTAAGGGGGGCTTGCGCACTGGCAAACTGTGGTCACTCAAGCAGAGCATTGCAGTGAGTTCTGTATGCTCTAGTGTCCGGCAATTTCCAACGACCAAGGCCAAGAGCCAGCCAGCTGCTTCAAATCTGCATCCATCTCAGGCGGAGTCGTTCGCGTCGCTGTCATACTCGTGGTTGGTTTGTTTGGCGAAATCAAGCCAACTACTCAAACAACAGCGACGCGAACGACTCCGCATATGCCAGAAAGAAACCTCCACTCACAAGAGTGTGGTAATGGAATTGTTGCCCATACTTACGGTTATGGGTACGAGTAGCCTTCCCTTAAAAGTGTATCTTATGGTCCCTAATACACGAAAGAAAAAAGAAGTTTCAACATACTGCAGTTTGAGGGCTCATCACTTCCGTCTCCACAATCTTGATCCCCATCACAGAACCAACTTTGTGGAATGCACAGACCATTGTGACAGCTGAACTGGGTTGATGAACAGTTGGGTAGCTTCACTGTCGGGGTTGGTGCTAAGGTGAGAAGTAAAACGTTATAAAGAGCGACAACAATAGCAAGGATTGGACAAAAAAAACGCACTCTATTTGAGTGTCACACTGCTATTAAGCACGAAAGTATTGCATACACTATTTCTGGGTCTACTACTGGAGACGGGGCAGTCAATTAGGCCATTTCTGAGTTCCAAAAACTCATTTTCAAACACGGGGCTAAGAGCAAAACCTTTCTTGTGACAGTGAGTTTTATTTACATGAGAATAATCATTTTCTAATCCATAGCTTTGCACTTAGCCTCACTTTGAAACACAGGGCAACGGGAAACTCGGAAATGGCCTAGTTACGAGGTCATTCGAACCACGCTTTTGACTGCGAGTGAACTCTCCGGGGGACTCTGAGGGTGGGGCGGGAAAACGAAGGAGAGCTTGCAACTACGTCTCTGGAATTTGAATTCCACCTCCAATTCCCCTGTGGCTCCCCGTCGACTGAGGTGTCAGATTTTCCGCTTATCAGAGCAAAGCGAAAACGAGCGCGAATGTAAACAAACATTGAAAAACACGAACCAAGGGTAATGACGTCATTACCAATATCACCTCCGCCAATCGGCATTTCGCATCGAGTTTTTCGATGCAGATATTCAAATTCCAGAGACGAAGTTGCAGGCTCTCCTTCTTTTCCCGCCCGGCCGCCATAGCCCCCCGGAAAGCTTGCTCGCACGCTAAGGACGCGAAGGTCTAGCAATTTACAGTGCAAAGGCAGTATTTTCATTTTTCAGTTATTTTAAGGCCCCGAGCATTCTCCGGTCCCGCAACATCCCCCTCTGCAGTTTAGAGCTCTACTGACAGAGCTAATTCGGCCGCGAAAAAATAGGCATCATTTCATAAACACGACAGGTTTTAAAACTTCACAATCTTCTTTATATCACTGAAAATACTGAAGCCGCCTGTCGACATTCCAGTTCGAGCAGCAAGAGGGATGTCTCCCATATGGACCTCCAGTTTTATCACCTTGGCTCCCATAAGTCTCCTGTTGTTCAGTGGTAGAGCATCTTGACAAGTAAGCAAAACGGGATAATTTTACGTTTCTGGGAAGCTGCCCACCTACCCCTCCCCTAAGCCAGCATTTTGCCCTAAGTGATAAGTAAGTGCCAATGTTGGCTTTGGGGAGGGGCAGGTGGGCAGTTTCCCAGAAACGTCAAATGATCCGCAAAACGAAGGTTACACATTCCACTCCTGTTAGGAAAACTTGAGATCGAAAGGAGGAGCTGTCTTTCCTGCTGGGGCAAATCCCATCCGAATAAACCAATGAGAGACACAGCCACACAGATAGATCATTTCAATTCAGCATAAGTTCAAAACACTGAGGCTCCCTGAGTTTCTTTGTCGCCTGGTCTGACATTTGCTCTTAACTAATCTCCTATCATTCAATGCCTTTCTCTCCTACTAAGCCTATTGTGCAAACGCACAGGAAAAAAGTGGTTGCAAAAAGGAAATACGGACTGCATACATACATGGAGTACACCCTTGTTCATCCGATCCATCGCGGCAATCATTGTCAAAATCACAGACCCATCGCCTTGGAATACAGCGCTTGTTAGCGCAGGTAAACTGATTTGAACGGCAGGTGGGATAGGCTAGAAAACGGAATCAATTAATCCAGTCAATTCGCTTTATCACAAACCTAACGTGAGAAAACAGCCGACATTTTGCGACGCCACCGGGGTGGTTTCCCTGCGAAATGACGTCTGAGGAACGAGCACAGAAATTCTATACTGATGACGCAACACAACCCTAGATCTGGGTTGTGATTCTGATTGGCTGAGACGCACTACCCAGACCTGGCAGTGACACGTCAAAAGTACGGAATTTCTGAGCTCGTTTATCAGACGTAATTTCGCAGGGAAACCAGGGCTGGCGTCGCTAAATGTTGGCTGTTTTCTCACGCTATGACAAACCCGGACACAGATTAAATTGAGACGTTATTAACGAGAAGTGCTATTTGATGAAGGTGTTTCAGTGTTATTCACTTTTCTAAAATTTGCAGTGGAGTTGTAGCTCTAGTTTCATTTGACGTCTATACTTAGCAGAGTTTTTGTTTTACGACTAGGCCCCATTGTTATCTTTGTTCGCTGTCTTCCCTACCACTCACATGAAGACTTGTAAGAGCTGCAACTTCTGCAAAATATTTTTTGGTTAGCTACAGTTGTCATCGAGCCTCTTACATGTATAATAAAAGCAATTTACATTTCCAACGCCTTTGACTATGACTGTAGCTTCTCAGCGTGTAGGAACGCCGAACAAATCAAAATGCAGCAGTTTCAAACACACATAACTTTCAATCCCTTGATTTGCTCTGACAAAAGGCAAACGCTCGAAACGTCACTGGCAACTTATCCAAACAGTTTCCACTCCATCTAAATGAAAATTCTACGTGGTGATTAGGGCTAGGTGTCACTTTTGATCCCGTTCATTCCTCTGTGGAACGGTGAATATGACCCGTCAAAACAAACAAACAAACAAACAAACAAACAAATGCCTGGAAAATCAAGGGCAATTCACATCTTTAGAATAAAGAAGAGAACTGGTGCCAAAATATGTCCCGTAATTGTTTCTTGTTTCTTTTGTTGGAGACGCACCGGTCAGCTACAGTCGGTTGCATCTAAGCGTATACACGTGAGGAAAAAACAAATTCTAACTGGGCGCAAACATGACATGTTTTGCCACCAAACATTCGAAGTTTGGAGTAGCCGGCTGTTGTCGACTTGATTTGTTTTCGCTCAACAAAATATTCTTTGCAAGAATTTTTAGACGTTAAGAATACTTTCGGGAGGCAAGTGTGCTGTTTCTGAGCAAGAAATACGCCTGAAAGTTGAGAAGAACGAGATATGAGCGGAAAGCGCTGATCAAAAACATATAAACAACTTACCTTTGGCGCGACAGTTTGCTTTAACGACTGTCGAAATTCAGATGTTTCGCGGCAAAACACGTCATGTCTGGCACCTTTTTAGAACATGTTTTATTGTCTCGTGTACACGCTTAGATGGAACCAACGGTATCGGCCGATTTTTTTCGTTATTTCTGTCTCCACTTAAAGTCCCAGAAGTCATTGCGAAAGTAAACTCGGCCTAGTTTCCTTCTCAACAACAACAACAACGTATGTAAACACGGTCAAAATTAAAGCTAATACAGCTTATGGGGCCTTGTGAAAGATAAAAAATTCAAATTTCTAAAGTGGCTAATGAATACGGCACGGTACAAAGTAAAGCAAATCTATAAGCACTTACAGCAGTTCCTCTCATCTGAATTATCATGACAATCGTCGTCATGGTCACACTTCCATCTGGCATATATACATCGTCCATTATCACACTGGAACTGAGTAGGACCACAAGTCGTGTAATCTATAACGACATATACGTCACATCACACTCAAACCCTTCAAATTTGCATTAAGCCGGAGGTTTTTTCTCTCAACCGTTTCGCGCACTCGAAGACTCGAATTTTTACGTGTTATATTGATCTTTCTTACACTCGTTGATCCACTATCGGCAAAGGTCGCCCTTGACATTTAAATATGCCAAAAATCGTCCCGAAGAAAGGAAAAAGGTGCAGGAAATTTGCTCTTAATTGTGAGTTGATTGTTACAAGAAGTCCTGGCAGCACAGTCGGGGAAAACTTTTTCACGTGAATCGACTGAGATCGCAAATATACTCTCTTGCACTTCTTACTCACTCATCATATCAAATGTAGTAAAAAAGGCTGTTTGATAGGCTGAAGTCAGTAAGAACAACCCATCAACGTGTGGTTTTATCGCAATTTGCCTCATAAGCAAGTCTGTCACCTTCTCAAGGAGACAAAAAAGGGTGATGAATCTAAGCCATTCCCTTCGCAGCTTTGGACGGGCACAAAAGAACAAACTTAGAAGGAAGTTGTGTTACTTACGACAATTTTGTTCATCAGAATTATCTCCACAATCATTGTCACGATCACATTTCCAGTGGGATGGAATACAGCGACTATTAGTACACTTGAACTCAAGTGGGCCACATGTTCCACCTAGAAAAAGCGTATTATAGTCGGTAAGAGACCTATTTCAGAGTGTAACTACTTCCATCGTAAAAGGTAAGGGGGCACCTACGCCATGAGGCTCATAACGTCCATATCTTAAAACACTGCGAACTCACTGTCAACAAACTGAGTGAAAAATAAAGCTTTTCCTAAACAGCACCAACCCCATTTAGATTCCAGATCCTTTAATTCAATTTACTTCAGCCAAAAGGAGGCGTACAACAACAGACAAACTCAAGGAGGCGTACAACAACAGACAAACTAATTTCAGTTTTCAACGACTAAGATTTATTCAAAAAATCGGCATTCTTTAAACCCCTCTTGAACACGGCTTATTGGCTAAAACACGTCATGGAGTCATTTACGATTTTTACAGCCATGGCTGATCACATTATTTTGTACTGCTTTCTGCAACAACACTTTGAAAAATGGTTGGGTACGACTTGCAATTGCATCTGAGGTACATAAAATAGTATTTAAAATAAAGAAACAGAAGTAAGATATTGCTCATGCACAAAAATATTTTTAGACAAGGTAGTGAATTTCTAGGACTTTTCAAGGCCTAATAAAGAAAAAAAGTACTTTTCAAGGACCTTAACAGAATTCAAGGACTTTTCAAGGCAAGTGCTAAAATTTCAAGACCTTTTCAAGACTGTACGAACCATGAGAGCCGGTGTTGAAATCCGCGCTGCCCAGTTACACAATTTACTCTATTTCTCCCCGCCCTCCCATCCATGACATTTCACAGGCCTTCCTTCCTTCCCCGAGCCTCACAAGGCTCCGCGACAAACGTATTTCTAGTATTACGTATACTCACTATGTGTTTTACACTCTCCATTGTCGGCCATATATTCACCAGCTGAGCATTCACACGTTATCATGCCAGAAGATGACGTCACTGTTCTCATGTTATCTGGACATGCGCAGGTATAGCCAGTTGGCTCAGCAAAGCAGATATGACGGCACAGCTTCAATCGTGAGCAAGAATTGTTACCTGGTAATCAAAAAATTCTCAAGTGCTAACCAACTAACAAATCGACCAAAATTTTCCACTGTCTTCACACTAACAGATCACAAAAGTACACATTTTGATATGATACACTGATATGTTCAAAGCAATAATTTGAGCGCTTTGGAAGTCAATCGTGCTGCGGGCTATATTTTTCACGGCAAAAAGAACATGCCCGCTGGAAATTCTTTGTATGTTCATTGACTTAACCGCAATGACGGACGCAGTTGTCTATGGAAGATCCACGAGAAACCATCCCTGCACGAAACATTAAACAGCCCTTACCTATACAGGACCATACTGGAAGATAAATCTTCGAAATGAGTTTAACTTTAGAAAAGCTGAAAGATTGTGGGCAAAAGAATTCCTTACTAACATCAGAATGGAAATTCGCAATGAGTTCGAATCGCTCAAAGAGGGCATACATAATTTGAATAGAAGATTTGACGAGCTCGAAAAGCAAAATTGTACCAGCTCTATAACTAGTTTTGCAAATGAAACCGCCTCCCATTAGTAACTAAACAGTGATAGTGGCCGGCCAACCTGAAAGCTTTGCTCCTTTGGCCACTACACACTTTTCCAATGCAATACTTATTGTAACATGTACACTAGCTCTGATTTCCTTCTTTTCTAGTTATTATTGTATTTATGTACTTTTCTTTGAACAAGGGTGAATAAACTGAACTTAAAATGATCACTGAAAGCGTCTAAAAACTGCAACGAAATCGTAACCACTGACCCACCTGTCTGAACATCTTGATGAAAAACTTTGAGATCCATTAACCCCCGTACATTGGACTTGATAGTTTGCCGGGCACTGCCGTCTCTTTTGTTAGCCTTTTGTATGGACTGTGTCGACCAGTCATCCCAGTACATCGATTGTTCATACACAGATATTGAATATGGGTGGGGTAGCCCTGTCCTGGTTACTACCTGCAAAAGCAAAAGTTTGCAATTCTTGTCTAGGAAGTGCATGATAGAGTTAGAATCCATATAAGTTTCTAAGAAACTGCCAACCTATCCATAACCGTTTAATCTAGTATTTAAGTTTAAAATAAAGGTGCGTTCCATTGGAATGTTCCGGATCTGCACCAGTGATCCGGGATCACTCGGATCATTGCACATCAAAGGAACCGACGAATCCACCACGGGAAAGGGTTCATTGGTTCATTTGATCTACCATGATCCGAGTGATCTCGGATCACTGATCCTGATCCACAACGTGTTAGAAGAGCATGATTTATCGTTAAGGCCGCCCTTCTCAATAGTGCATTTATATGGCTTTCGACGATCAACCCTTTTCATTCTACATTTTGCATCACAAAAACATTTGGTCGTGTAGCCACCCCATGTGGTGCACAACAAATACAATGTTGGAGGAAAATGTATGATCGTTTTGCCGAGGCCTCAGTAAAATCCTGATCAGAGCTTTATTATCAACGCCTAAGGCCCGGTTCAGACGCCGAACGTTTCTTGAGGCGAACCTAATACATTAAATTAAGTACATGAAAAGTTCGGCGTCTGAATCAATTAGGAACGCCTGTTTCAATGTGGAACGGCTCAGCCGTTCTTTTCGCCTTTGGAGCGACTTTGGAACGGCTTTGATTCAGACGCCGAACTTTTCATGTACTGAACCTAATGCATAAATTATTGTAACGTACTTTGTAAGCAGTTTGACCGAAATGAGCGTTTTTCGCCTTTTGAACTTAGTTCAGCTGCAATTAAGATCGGCGTCTGAATCAATTCAGCCGGTCTAAATAATTTGGGTCGGCCTTAATTCGAATTAGGTTCGGCTCATGAAAAGATCGGCGTCTGAACCGGGCCTAACAACCAAAATTTAATAGCACATGTAGATAAGCATACCTGTCGATAACTACCATCCAAGTTGCTTCTTTCAATTTTGTCGAACCCCGCATCAGTCCAATACAGCTTTTGCGCAGAAAAATCGATTGCCAAGCCATTGGGCCACTGTAATGAGCTTGATATAATGGCACGACGCCCCACTCCAGACATATATGCTCTCTCAATACGAGCGTTGTTTCCCCAGTCAGTCCAATACATGTACCTAATGTTACATTGAAATTTTTCAGTTAACCATTGATTACCACTCAAGCCAATGACAAACGATTCAGTGTCGTTTAGCACTTGCTGTTCGAGACACGGAGGCCTACGTCGCTTAAGATCGTCTTAAGTTTCCTAAAATCGACTAAATTCGCCTAAAATCGGTCGCTTAACGCCGTCTAAGATCGCCTACTGTCATCTAAGTTGCCTATAGTCGCTTTAAGACACATTAAATTGCGAGCGATGTTATTCAACAAGACACAACTTGTTGAGCGGAATAGAGCGCATCTCTATTCCCGTTTAACAGCGTTCCTCCATGCTGGATATACTATTTCAGTGTTCAACATGACATGATATACTGTTGAACATCTTTTCATCAACAGACGTTGAACATTCTCCTTGTCAAAGCATCTAAACTTACGGATATTGCCGTTTTTGGCCACTGCAAGTCAATATCATTGAGCCGTGAGGGCGGTATGTGCGCTAGCGTAGGGAGGGAAGAGGTTAAAAGGACATACATATGCATGTACTGAACAACAATCAACTTGCAAGACCGTTTAATTGACAACTGACAACAAGTGACAACGGAAATTGTTCATCGGCGTACCAGTGGGAGATTAAGCAACCACCATGACAAAGGCACAGGGGCACCCAACAACGGTTTCCTCCGAAATACACTGAAAACACTTTTTCGGCTATCCAGAGTACGCGCTATAAAATTTGTATCTCTTCAGTCAACCCAGGGCAACTTAAGCCTTTTCGAAATTACAAGGGCTTCAGGATGATTTCCCCCAAAAATTTTGGGTGCGTTTTAACGTTTAACTAAAATGAGAGTTTTCCTTGCATCTCCATCACATTTTCGAATCCGAAAGTTTTAGGTTTCCTTTTTGCGCGAAAATAGCCTAATCTGGGGAGTGAAATATGAAAAATTAAACTTCAGAAAATGGTAGGGAATTTATTAGATAAGCTTTGAAAATTGTACATGAATGGAAAGGTTATCTAGAACTTTTTAGCCATCCTCAAACAACAGAAAATTCTAGGCAATACTTGCTTCTTCGAACAGATATTTTACAGAAAACAGTCGCTGGGTACCCCTGACGGCAGTGACGACTTGAGTTAGCGTCATTTCAGAAATTTTTTCACTACATAATCCTTACCCTGCCTTAGGATTCAAAACAATTGCCCTAGGTCGATCAAGATTACGGGTGATGAGAGATTTGCGGAAACGCCCATCTGTCCTAGAGACTTCTATCTTCTTAGCACCAGCATCAACCCAGTAAATATTATCACCCAGCCAATCCAATGCCAGACCTTCCACCTGCTGTATGCCACCGTGAAGGGTTTCAATTATTCCTGCAAATAATAATAATAATGATGATGATGACGATGATGATGATGATGATGATGATAAATGATGATCATGATAACGAATGTGACGAACCAAAAGGACGTCTGCTTAGGGGCTATCCACACTTGGCACCCGAGCACTAGTATAATATTCATCCCTGGGCATTGTTATTCATGACATTATAATAAGGTATGGGGAATCAATCTGACCTGGACGAAGCCCAAGACAGATTGAAATCTGGAACCAGACTGGGGAGAGTGGGTGGGTCGCCAATCACCTTTGTGTCAGGCAAAGTGAAGTGAATGGGACAATGAGTGCCAGTGTTTCCTATTATCTATACTCATTTGCATATCATTAATTAATCCCCAGGGATGATATTTACAATTCAGATGGAACGTGAATAGTGCCTGGATTCCAGTACAAAAAGGCTTTGTGTTCACACCATGAGTACCCGATCTGTAACTGTGCACATAGTAACTCACTTTCACCCTGCCAGCCGCTATTTTGAAACGTGAGCATACCAGGGACTACAAAGCGGTGGATTGCCCAGGAACTACATGTAACAAGTCGGTGTGTACACAGGGACCCATTGCCAACGTTAGTGCCCGAGTACAAGGTCTCGCTGCCCACATTCGGGCGTGAAAAAAGAGCGTGTTCACACTAGTTCCCAGCGAGTACCGTGCTTGGACACCGAGCCTGGGCAGCACGTGTCTCTTCAAAAACCAACACTTCCAAAATTCATTCCGATCTGGTAACCCGTGTCGACAAAATATGCGGTTTGAGATTGTTCTTCCTTGCTGAGAGAGTTAATCCAGTTACTTCTCGCCTTCTTCTTAAAAACCAAGACTTACAGAATGCAATTCGATCCGGAAAGCATGAACATTCTTTGGTGTTGCATTACCAAGCCCAGTGTAAATGGACGCAACATTGTTGGCCAACCATTCCAAACATTGTTGGATGTTACTGACATGTTGCCTCCGTTTACACACCCTGTTACATGTTGTTGCGCGTTGTTAAAAGTTTGAAACCGGTCAAACTTTTAACCCAACTCCCAATATTTCTTTTGTGCCGTGATCGCCGAAGCGTAGCGCAACGATGTTGGATCCGTTTGAACAGCTCTTCCAACATTGTTAGGGTCTAGCACGCGCATTACACACGGTCTCCAAAGCCTTCTGGGTTGTATCCTTCCCACGATGCACTGCAGGTGCCAAAACTGCTGGGAGTTGTTGCATCCGTTTGCACACCACTGCCAACACGGACGCAACAACTCCTGACATTGTTGGCCCAGCCATGTTGGGAGTTGTTGCGACTGTTTGCACGTAGCTTTTTGGTACCTACCTGATCCATTCAAGTATGAGCGTTTGATGGTATCCAGAGTGATATCAGCCCAGTAGATGCAGTCATGTGCGTAATCAAAGTCTAATGCAATGGCATTTCGCAGACCACTGCCAAGAGGAATTGTAGTTTCTCTGTGATCTCCCAGTGTAATTCGTTTGATGTAGGTACGTGCAGCATACAGTAAAAACTCAGGAAGTGCTGAAAGTAAAAAGACATTTGTTTTACCCAAAGTGGACCCTCTCTAAAGCGGTTACCCTTCGGAGAGGGATTAGCCTCTTTATAACGGTTTTCTGTTTACAGGGATTTACCAACAATTTGGTCGGAGACTAGCAACTGGCCACTCAAAAAACGTTAATGAACCCAATAACACGACTCCTATGAGCCTTACACGGACTTCGAGAATATTTGAATACCAGGTTCCTCGGGGCCATTTCCCTCATGCCGAAGTTTTAAAATACAATAATACATGTAATTCAGAAACCTCCAAACAAGAAATCAGAATACAGTTCCGTTATACCGAGATTTACTGATGTGTAAACTTGCTTATCTGGGTATAATTCTGAAAGCTGACTGGAACGTGTTAGGAGTGCATAACAAACTATTCTACTGTTCAACTATTCTAGAGACTTCATTCCCCCCCCCCCCCCCCCTCAATGCCAACTTCATTCTTACAAAGTTATTTAACATACATTTGTATAATCCTTCAATTGAAAGCATATTCAAGCCACTATTAAGACCAAAAAAATATTGCTTTTCCAGCTGACGTTACTGTTCTTTTAGAATTTGTATCCGTAACATCACAGAGAACTCACTGAAGGTTAAAGGGGTTAGAGACTTGCTTCTCGTGATTCACTGGCAAATACAAGCTCTTACGGGCGGGTAGATTTTTTTTTTGCTTCAGCCAATGGAAGGTTTATTTGCCAGTAAAGTATTCACACTAGTCATTAACCTTGAAATGAGCAATTAATATTGACATAGTCAATTCAATTTTCCCTTACGTCTGATTGGACAGGATACCATATCTGCTTCATACAGATCTTCGTCTCCTCCTTGGCAAGTATCACCGGTAACCTTGCGATACCTAAAAGAAACGAAAACAAAGAAAAAAACAACTCGTATTTCCTTTGATAACATAATACCTCTCTTTCCTTTTTGTTACGTAATATTTCTGCGGAATTTCCGAGCAACTAAATTCGCGCGAATAAAAGTTTCGCGAAAGTTAACAACGCAGAATTTACGACCTACAGTCTTCGACAAAATTGTTGGGACACTTTACTGTCTTCTCGCCCTCCAAATGTTGGTGCTCAAGAGTTGGTGAGTTAACTGGGATAAACAACATCGGGCATTGGGAGAAAAAGGAGAAGAAGAAGGAAAAAAAACAGCGTCCAGTGGAAGTGTCCCGACTATTTCTGTCTGAGACCATAGCTGCTCTCCCAGCTGGGTATGTTTCTAGGAAATTTCCCACCTACCCCTCCCCTGCGCCAACATTAACATTGAGTTCTCACTTGGGGCAAAATGTTGGCTTAGGGGAGGGGTAGGTGGGCAGTTTCCCAGAACGTATAATGATCCGTTATGGAATTAACCGCTTAAGTCCCAATGGTCACCAACATCAATTTTCTCCCAACAATATTCATACCTTGTCAAGAAATAAGGTTATGAGAATTTATGAAATGACCACTAAAGAGAAAATCCTTTGATCTGCTATCAAATTCTCTTAACTAATTCTTAAAGGAGATGTATGGAGATCAGTTTCGAGAATTTGTATGTGGGTATTGAGGCTTAAAGGGTTAACCATTAAAGAATTGAGCAAGCGGTGTGACAACATAGTTTAGAGCGATTATCGTATGACCTTGAAAATGGTTTCATTAAGAGTTTGTTATGTGTTCTATCAGTCAATGGATGAAAAGATCACAACATGGCCTCTTTGTTTTCCCGCCAAAGAAAACCCTAATATGGAGAAGGCATTGTTCGATTGGCCAATCCTGTTGCAGTAAGACGTCAAAGCGAAGTATCGATTGATTTCTAGAGAGTTCTCGGGCATAAAGTTTTTCACCCGAGCGTTCGCTTAACCAACCAAAAGCCACACGGGTTTGTATCCGTTCGATAAACCAATCAAATCGCTCTATTTCCGTTCGTTTGTTGTTTTTGTTTCATGCGAAAATCGCCCCATCAGATTATACGGTGAATCTCAGGGGCCTATATGTGTCCACATGAGAAAATGCCCACTAATTTTATAACTTCACCAAATAAAGATGTACAAACCCTTTCGTGCGACGATAAGTTGTGCCGGCAGGACATATAGGTGGCATCCTGGTTGGGGTAAGACCGCTGGATTTGTCAAAAGTGCACACATTACTACCGTCAACCTCGTAGTAGCCCACGTCACTAGGAAACAAAATAAAACAAAAAATGAAGTGAAAAAAAAACAAAACGGCCCTGTGCACTGTAGGTTCCACACTACTCGGAGTATGCGAAGAATTATACCGTTTTAAAGAAAATCTTTTAGCGACAATAAGGATCTACACATATCGTAACTTGCATGCTATGAATTCTGTTCTAAAATGTAGATGTGTTCAGACCTCTTTTCGGGACAGGGACCCGTTTCTCGAAAGTCCTGATAACTTTTCGGGCCCGAAAAGCTGTTTTATGTTTGCTGTGTTTGCATTCAAGATCAAAGTTTCAATAATTTTGAAAACGATAGAATGAAATTATCAGTTAGCGAACAAAATTGACCAGTTTGTGAGCTTGGAACCGTGCTAATATTCAACAGGTTTAGCTAGGTTTTGATTTTAAAATTTGCCCTCAGACCAGAAAAGTTACCAGGCCTTTCAAGAAACGGGCCCCAAACCCGCTGTGGGTCCATTCTCGCCAGCCACCAACTCCCGTAAGCGACCACTAAATCTTCGTAGTTTAGGTGGTCGCTTACGAGAAGTTTGACTGTAATTTCCAACTGTAGTTTCAAAAACTTTGGTAACTAAGGCCCGTTTCAAAAGTCGCGCTACTGCCGTGTCGAACTCAAATGAATGTGACCTGGCAGTTGCACGGCAATAGCACGGGAGTGGTTTCAAACAACGAATTTAATTCAGTCGCGCCAAATTTAAAATAAACAAAAACGTCGCAGTGAAGCGCAGTAGAGTCAAAACACTTTCACATATACATTTTCATAATTTATGAATTGAGTCCGGCACGGCAATAGCACGACGTTTGAAACCCAGCCGTGCCACTGCCGTGTAGCACGGAAGACTCTGTCGAATTTAATTGCCATAAATTAACTAAATTTAAGTTGCTGAACTGAATGATTTCAAACGTCGGGCCACTGCCGTGCCAAATTCTATCAATTGCGGCACGGGAGTAGCACGACGTTTGCAACAAAACTAAGAGTCACCATTACCATTCAAAGTCCTCCCGGTCACACAGGCAATTCTGCTGTCTAATCGGTCGATCGTAATTATAGCCATTGTAGCAATGAGCGTGAGCAATTCTCCGCTCATAAACCATCTTCCTTCCCAACAGGCAAGTGTTATTTTGTTCATCAGACGGAATCCACTGTTTATAATCATCTTTCTTACAAGGAGCACCTACACGTTATCAATACAATGTAATGGTTAAAGTTAAGTAAAGTTAGTTGAGATGAGAAAACCTGTTTAAAACCATTATCTTCGCCATAAACGTTCACAGTCAATAGTGGCACGAACACAGACACAGTCAACTTCCTCTGTCTAAGACGGACACCTTTAGGACCGGCACTAAGCGTGGGTCATGTATTGGCTGCTTGGAAGACAGGACACCGATGGTGCGTTTCCCTAGCCTGCGTAGCAGGCGCTTGGAAGTAGTGGGCACAAGAAAAAACGGGCGCGCGAGAAGGAGACACGCCTCTTTCGTGAGGTATCCGTTACGAGACCCGCATGAAAGTATGCCATACATTAACGTTTGTTTCTGGTTTGATGATTGTAACGTTAACCACAACCGTTTTGCCCCCTTTTGCTGTGCTAATTTTTGAATAGCCAAAGACAAAAGTGATAGCGTTCCAAAACAGTCTCAAAGAATTCAACACATCACCCCTTCGCTTTCAAGTACAGCCTCAAAATGCCCATTACAATCCAAGGCGACCAAAAGACTTACAAGCCTTGTGCAAATGTAAGATTTCCTTGTCGCCAAAGGGCAAAAGTCCGCCGGGTGCAAGTAGAGCAGAGCCAAGGCTTCCATAAATTCATCTGTATACATCTTCTTAAACCATTTGACATAATTTAAACAAATTGCCAATAATAACTTGTACTCAACATTTTCATTTTTAACTTACCTAAGACTTTCCTCAAATCCATTTGCACAACAACCCACTTATGGTAACCAGGATATGATCCAAAAATTGTGAAATTTGCCGTCTGCTCTCCATACTCGGTCAGCAGACCATAAACATACATTCTAGTGTTGTTCAGGAACTTGTACGTCATCCACGTCTCACCCTCGTTCCAGCTGTAACTAAACATCACAAGAGAACAAAGAGTTTAAACCAATACATGTAGCCGACGTGATGTCTTCTCAGGATTATCATTATTTCAACAAAAAATACTTCACAAGCGTGTGTTGATTATGAGTTAACAATAATCATCTCATATTCAACAATGACTGTGCAAGTGAGAAAAAAAGACTCTCAATTGATTTAAAATAAGCAGCGATTATTAATAAACTTTCGTGATTTATTTTGAAAAAACAATATTAAGGGAAACCTTCATTTTGCAAAAATAAAACATGCATTTTTTTGCATGTGTGTGAAACCATGATCTGCTAATTACCTTGCAAAAGTACATTTGTAGTAATTGCAAAGATTCACTGATATCAATGTACAAGTCAAATTCTTCTTGGATGATGAAACAAAAAACTCTATTTTTCTCCTGCTTTCTTATCTGATTCTGACTAAAAAATTTTTTTGTGAAGAGCTTATAATCTTTCCTCTAGAGGGTTTCAGATAACGTCATGTCTGGTATATAGTTGTTCCACTGCAAAACAATAAAACAGGGACCATGTTGGTGCCCCAAACCAATCCTGTAAAAGCTTTCTTTTGTTCCAAAAAATTTACATACATATATTGTAGCTGCCAACTACGTGAGACTAAGGGCCTGTTTACATGGAGGTGGGAGACCCAGATAGGTGAGGTAACATGTGGCGGGTCACCCCACCTATCATGTAAACGTAATTAAATTAAAATGAGAGAATATATGGACAGGTAGGTTACCTCACCTACCTGGGGTCTCTCCCCCCCCCAACTTCACGTAAACAGGCCCTATGGCCCCGTCCACAGGTATCTGTTTTTGTCTGAAAACGGAGATATTTTTCCTCTGTTTTCAAAAAGATCTGCTTCCACACGTTGCATTTTTGAATGGTTTTTGCCCGCCCACACGAAAACGTAATGGTGACTGAAAATGGTTTGAAAATGGTACCACCTTTGAAAGGAGCATGCGCATTTACTGGTACCCAACACAGTGATGCAATCATTTTCAAAACACCTCCAATTCATCCAACCACAAGAGTACAGCAAAATGGCATTTGCAAACATTTCCACTCTGGAGAGTACTTTTGAAATGATGCGCTGTTACTTTTCGGTGACCATTTTCAACAGATACGTGTGGAGGTTTCCTAAATTGGTTATAGCTACATATATGTACTGTGACTTACTAAATCAGGTTTGTGAGCCTGGATCTTGGAACAGCTATAAACACACCACCGTGATCTCCGATGTTGTACCACCACCAAGGCTGTTGTAGAATCTGAGAGGATTAACCAGAATCACAAATTTCTCTCACCCTTTAAGAATTTTGTTGTAAGACTTCCAAATAAATGTTAACCTGCTTGCACTTTTAAAATCGTTGGCCTGTGATCAACTAAAAACCAATAACTGGTCGGCGGAGAACTTTAAAAAAACAAGTCACCTCAATGAGTTGTACACCTGAGCCCATGTTATACTGGTCAGTGGATACCCTATTTTGACGGCTGTCAATTGACCATAACATAGTTTTCCAATATCAAGATAAACACAGATTGTATATACTTTGGACTTCAAGCTAGTAAGTTTGTCATTTCACATCTACTAAAAGGAAGGGGTGGATGTACGGACCAACGGATGGATGATTTTTGTCAAAACCAAAATTTCTTGAATGTATAGAAACCAAATTTTATTACCCAGGGTATTCTAATCGAAAGCTCTACTAAAAAATCATAATGGTTAAGTAGCCTCCAAACAGGCTCCAAGGTGGAGCAGGGCGAAAAGGAAATCGGCGAGTGAAGGGAGGGAGGAAAAAAGGTGGGGGAGCCTGAAGACTTTATTTTGATGCTGCCCATCTGCCCACTTGCAATTATCCTGTAATGTCAATAAGGAAATTAGAATTGTCAAATAGTGATTTTTTTTTCACACTTGAATGCATTGGCTTCAATAACATTCATGTGCACATGGGAATTTTTGGCGGAATAAGTCAACAGTCAGCTACCTGACCAATCAGATCATGACATCAGAATCTGGTATCATGGATTCAGGCAGCATCAAGACAAAGTCTACAGGTTCCCCCGCCTGTTTTTCTCCTGCAGCCACGCTTGGCTTATTTCACTCATCGATTTTCTTTTCCCTCCGCTCCTCTTAGGCAACTGTTGGCAGAGTATGTTTAAGAGACCAACCATATGCCAGCTCATTCCTGCATCACTAGAAAGGAACACATCACCGCTGATCTTCAGGTTAACACCATAACTGCCTGGTAAAAACAACATTGAATGCCGTTCACAATTGAATAATGCTAATGGTGTGTTAACAACATCAACTGTTGTAACTACAGGGTGTATAAACACATACATACCTTATTATAGGAAATTAACGCTCCATGAAATTAAGGTATTGGAAATTAACGCGACTTGAATTAACGCGAATTTCATGGAAAACGGCTTTCGAATAAAGAAAATTAACGCGAAAGAGGAGGTAGAATTTCGTAATAAAGGAAATTAATGTGATTAAGACACGGTGGTGACAACTGGAAAAAAATTATTTCAACACTGGATGCAAAAAAATTCAAAACTGAACAAAACTGAGCTGACGTCACTTCTGACCGCGACAACGATGAAGATGAACACGAAATATTGGAAACCTTCGCCTTAGCTTTTGTGAAAGATGAAAAATAAAGGGTAAATGGAAAGAAAGCTTGTAGTTAATGTTTTTTAGGTGTCAAGAATGTCTGGACAGGTTCCAAAACTGGGGTTAAAATACTGGAAATTAAGAGCGCGGAAATTAACGATGCACTTAATTAACGTCGCGGAAATTAATGCTCAACAAAATTAACGCGACTTAAATTAACGCAAATTTTAACGATTCGCGTTAATTTCATGGAGCTTTAATTTCCTATAATAAGGTACACACTTTGTTGTTTTCTCCCCAAAGGGGCATTTCAGGAACAATTATTACTTTCAAGCATTACATTTAACTAATTACAACACTCAACTTAATACTAATTACAATACTAACTAAAATTTACAAAAATAATTGTGTGTGATGCCCCCATTGGTCACCAATCACATCAGTGAAAAAATCTACATTTGGCTGTATGGCACAACTATATTAAACAATAAGTTACAGACATTTTGATTTACCTATTGCCATGATAATTCCAGGAGCTGAACTCCAAGATTTCATTGGAGAGAAGTGGGTTCGAGGGTAGTATGATCCAAATTTTTGAGACAAATGTAAAGAGCAGCCCGGCTGAAACAAAATAATAAATGTACTCATTATTAGAAAATTACATTGTAAATAATGAGCCAGGATGCACACCACTGTTCTTTAGGTTTTGATCTTAAAATTTGCCTTGAGGACCAAAAAGGTACCAAAAGTATTGAGAAACAGGTCTCAGCTACTGACTGGCCAGCATGTCTTGAGTTTGACTTTACCTAAATTACATTTAAGCTACATTTTCTGCAAGAGTATTAATACTGTATAGAAATCAAACTGAAAGCAGTGGAAAGTACAAGGCTGCCTTAGATCTTGATATCAATGTTGCTGCAACTTCAAAGAAGTGAATCTGTCATGTGGCAAGTTGCTCGCATGAGCAGTAAAATGTGCAACACACATGCACAGTTTACAAGTAGCCATTATGACACCTGGAGGAGGAATATGAGGTTATCTCTATACTAAAACTAACCAAAGGTCAAAATGCTGTGCATTGTGTAGGTTTCACATGACAGATGGTCAAAATGCATGTTATCAGATTACAAATGATAGAAGGTCGAAATGCGCAAGATCAAATTTCGTTCTGCATATTCCATTCATTCTTAGTGGAAGTCCAATGTATGCTGGCTACATACATGCGACACATGCATGATTAAAAACTGGCAGATTAGGATTGCAGCGACAAGAGGAGCCCACAATTAAGATCTCTCCATTACAGATAACCTACCCAGCCCAGGAAAGGTTGCAGGCCAAACTAATGGGGTCTACTCTTTTTGAACAGTGGTGTGGGTTCTTCTATGTCCCACGAGAACCAGGTAAGTGAAAGTAATGTGAGACAGGACCAGATGCCTATGGCGTTTCATCCTTATCCAAGAAGACTACAAAGTCTAAGCATTTGCAGATGTCATTAAAAAGGCAGCACTTTCTTCGCAGTTATTTAAAGACTCTGAGTGTTGGTCTGGCCAGGGTTTAAACCCACAAACTCCCACTCAGCAGACTGGCATTCTCCCAACCGAGCTAACCAGGCGGCAGTCAAAATAATCCCCTCCACCTCATAACGTTGCACCTTAATCTTCCATGATCAACAGATCACCTTACCAGACTGCAGTTTAGTAGTTTTCCATTGTTATCCCTCTCAGGAGCTGCCACTGGCTGCCACACCCCACCCTTGTCGAATGTTATCTTGGTCATAAGATGCCTTCTCCCTACTCGACCATCTGTGAGCTGTGTTGCAATGTACACCCCTCTCATTCCTTGCACCTTGTGAAGGTCTACAAATGTGTCATCTATGTAACGCCTGGCACATTAAAAAAAAATAACCAAAGCTGATCAAAATCTGTTTCCTCTACAATGGAGCCCAGTTAAAAAACAAAAACAGAAATGCAAAAAGGTGAAGACCTTATTATTTTCTTGGGCTACACAGTTTTTTACTCACTTTCAGTCTTTTGAGGTGCGCATCCACTTACAAATTGTTTGCACTTTGTTACTTGTACATGTATATACAGAGTTATCACATAAAATCAAAATTTAAATGTACAGCGCAACACATCCACAAAAAAAATACAATAATTTTACTAAATGATAATATTCTCTAAGATGCGACTGAATATATTGATACAGTGTTTTTTCCGCCACAACCCAACAACCTAAGGTGGAGGTGTGTACAATGTACATAGTGGTGAAAAATGTGACAATCTATGCACATGAAGATAGAAACAAGGGAAGAAAACTAGATGGTACAACATCAGAATGATTTAGGACACTACGGTAAGTGTAACCAAGTCTAGTCATTGAGGAAGGGAGAACAGTAATGTTAGACAGGGAAGGAGGGGAAAGCCTGCACAAACGTTTATTACTATATAAGTTAAAAGTGAAGAGAACCATTTCAGTTTTTTAAAAACATATATGTGAAGTGTTATCATTTGTCACCTGAGCCAAGCAGAAGTGGTGTTTTGTGAGAAGTAGAGCACTCTTTCCATAGACAAGCTGTACTTTGTTCCAGACGTGTCTGAGATATACAGGTGTGTTGTCCTTGCACTGTGAGCAACTGCAAGAAATACTTGGTTCTCTGATGCATCAGCAACATAAAAATCCTGCAAATGAAAGAACCATAAACACGTACGTTTGTACAAAAATTATTATGGTAGCACAGCTGTAGTATGGATAAGAAGTTGGTTACAAAAGCCAGCTGTTCATGTTATATAATATCATTGCATATAATTATTATATGCAATATAATGACAATTTGTTGGAAGTGATCCCAAATCTTTTACACCGTACTGACCCACTTACAAAGAATTACTTCATGGAAGTGATTTACTGAATAACGGATCAGTTGCCCCAGGATGGTTTTCTTGACATATCCTAATAATTGCGCTTGATCATGGTGGTAAAATTGACACTTACAAAAAGATACACAAAGAGCTTTGTTGGGGTTCAAAATTCATCTTATCAACTACACAGTGTAGGGTGATTTAAGTGTAATATTCCAGAATTTTTTTAATATTCATAGATTTCCTATCAAAGTGTAGCTTCCCCTCCCCCACTGATCCATAAGCATAATTATTCTTGTTTACATGTGCATCACTTCAATCTCAAGCTATAAGTTACAAATTAAGACAGTTTGCTTTTACAGTCCCTCTCCACCACAAAATGTTCAAAGCTCTCCCATGGGGAGGGGTATGAATGTTTAATGAGATCATAAATAATAACAACAACAATAATGATAATAATAATGATAATCCTAACATAATAATATAATATTACAATAATATACAATAATATTAAAATTATATCATTCCATTCTGAATTAACAGAACATATAAAAACATGTACACATGTACATGGATGTAAATTTTTAAAGACCTTTTTCTTGTAGAAATTCATCAAACTACAAAATATCTTAAACTTTATGTCTTAAAATTCCAAACCTTTGTTGGAGCGTTTGTAGGAATTTGAGCTGGCCGGAATGATGAACGATTTAATGACACCATCAAGGTAACAGATCCACCTGGTGATGAGGACTTGAAGATTGAGGGAAATATAAAAGTATTTTTAATAAGAACACACTATTTCAAACTGCTGAGAAAATAATTGAGACAATGATCTAAACAAATAACTGTACATGTAATTATCCACTGAAATAAATTAGATGATAATATAATCATTAGGACTTACAAGACTAAATTTGCCATGGAAAAAGGTATAACATTGTTATTGTTATTGTACATAGTTAATAACAGATATCTAACATGTAATTTATAATGGACAAATCAGGTATTCAACATTCTTTATAAACAAAGGCAAAGATCAAGAGTACAAGAAACAGATATCCAGCTTCTTTACCACCTTGTAAAACACATGTTACATGTACATGTGCAGTGTTCTCACCAGGCCGCGGCCTTGCGGGATTCCCGCAAGAAAAAACTGAAATGGCGCATTAAAACCAAGAAGATGCGCCCGTTAGGGCGCAAGGGCAAGCTACGAGTCAAACGGACTTAAGTAGTTTTAATGGTCACCCTAACACTAAAGCATTCTGTTTGTTTGAATAAATAAAAAACATGATATCAAATAAGTCAAAGTCTTTAATTTTGTTGCCTTTACTTTCATTGGTCCCACGCACGTCCCACTACATCGTAAACTCCTCCTCCGAATCGTAAACACCTCTTCCGCCATATTGGATCAGGTAGGTACTTCATGTAACAGACAATTTGGAGTGCGGGCTCAGGTTCTTCGAAACGCGTGTTTTTTGTAACTTTGTCCCCCTAATGTTCTTACAGGGCCCCTATTTCTCAGAAGAGGGGGCCCTGGGACTCCCCAAGGCAAAATCCTGGTGAGAACACTGCATGTGTGCCTACAAAAAGGCACAGTACAGTGTACATGTTGGTCATGCGAATGTGATGTTTAAGATCAAACATAGTAGGAAAGCATTTTGAAAGAGTTACAATGTACATACCGAATTTGTAGAAAACATGTAGTTATCAATGACTTCAAAATCATTCACTCTTGAGATAATAGTTGTAGCAAAGTTGGAAAAATAGTCTGTTTTGACAACATTAGAAAGGCCACCTGAAGAAGAAAAAGAATTGCATGAGTATATTTCAGCCTTCATTGTACATGCAATTATCACATTCCTTACCTTTACTGGGATGTTTTTAAGAGACAAAAAACAGAAGACAAGCTGTCCAAAAAAACAAAACAGGGCAAAAATATTGACCACAGCTTTGTAAACTTCATTCCTAGGCCCAAGGAGAAAACACCTGTCTGCAAACAACTTCAGCATCCACAAAAGCTTCTGGATAATGGACAAGTTAATTTACTTACTTAAAAACAACTGCAGTACAATAAAAGGCTGGGAATTCAGAAAATTGAGATAAATCACAGTTCCATGATTGTATAACTGTTTATAAAACAAGATAGTACGCACACTCTGATAGGCCAAGAAGAGTGTTTGCATGAGACTATAATTATAAACATGGTTGTGACATCAAGATTTTTTTGCTTTTCACACCCTTATCATGGAGGCACAAATTTGTAAAAAATTTTGAATTGAAAACTCGACAAGTTTACTTTATTTATACAGCTGAAACTTGGAAACTCTTTACAAAACATGCTGTGTCAATTTTTTTTGCTTAAATGGAAAGCCTCTTTTTTGCAAAACAAGAACTGATTACACGTCCAAGACTTCGTGTACTAGACTTTGCGACTGGTGAGAATTTCTCTTTTAATCAGTGCCATAACAAAGAGTTTTATGTTTTTTCGTAGGAAAGTTAATTTATAAAAGCAATAGAAAACTTTTTTCCTGTATTTGCATAGCCTGATATAAACATTCAAGGCTTGGGAGAAGTCTTGACCCTTCTGCAAACCCTCGACTTTATCTCGGGTTTGCATAACTGTCTCATATTCTCCCAACCCCCCTCGTGTTTCTATCAGGTTATGCAAACACGAAAAATGTTTTCTATTGCTTGAGTGATTAAAAAAAAAATTTGATTCTAATATGGAAAAGATCATGACACTTAAACAATATGACAAATTTACCAACAGGTAAACTATACCTGTAATTTCTTCTCGCTCAATGTACAGTGTATTTACAGTGTCCCAAGGTGGAATACCCCTATTGAAAGCAAAGTAAGGTAAACTCAAACAATTGTGAACAGAACAAGAATTAAAAACCAAGAACACTTGAAAACACATAATTGTTGTCCTTTTTCTCACCAGTAATATGAACGAACATTCTCATCTTTCAGTCTCCAGTTCGATCCAAAGTCTACAGAATAATACAGCTGTTGACAGAAAACACAGACATCAAGGTATTAACTACATGTACATTGTACATAACAATATTAATAAAGCTGAACAAAATTTAGGCTAGGGTAAGTTAAACTTGCGACATACATGTATTGTACATGCATGTGTTAGAGGTCGAAATTAAGTTTAGGTTAAAATTCTCAATTCCTTTTTTTCCTAGCCCTAATTCATCAAATTGAGAATCAACCTAGGTTTTTTAGCTACTTTAAACATGGATCACTCTTAAAATTTGCAATAATCGAGACCAATATCGAAAATAAATCAGAAACAGTGGTTTTAAATTTGTATTTGCCAAGTGCTCTAGACCTAAGATGATCACTCTTGAGCTTCTTCAAAAATGGAATCAACAGGGCATTTAAAACCGGGAAAAGACTCTCCTCTATCAGGTTTTTTTTGCTTTTCACCACAGTCATTTTTCATAAGATAACAATGGTCATATAGTGCTTGTTAGCAATGTATGTCCACCAAAGTTTTAGGTCAGAAACCGCTTGTGTTAAAACGTTTTCATATCAGTTTAGGGGGTTCAAACCACCCAAACCACCCCTCAGGATTTGACGCAGCTAAGCAAAATTAACATTACCAATAAAAATATTAATATAATTAATACAAGACAAAAGTATTAATACAGACAGTGTAATAGGCAACATACTGTTTAGTTCATACTTAATGGAATTAACAGACTTCTTTGAAAATACTCCTCAATTTTAACTTGGAATTTCTGAAACAATGGCCGTCATTTATTCAAACTGTTTAAATGTCATTATAAAAATACATTCCAGGTTTATTTTATTTTTATAATGGATTACCTTTGATGTGTTCTCATCATAAGACAAAACAACATCAGTGCTACTTGGATGAAAAAGTATTTCATCTGGTGAAAAACTCAGTGGGCTGGACCGGACAAATGTTGAACAGTCATCTCTTGTGCTAAATATCACTTTGTTACGTTTGTCGACAAAAAGGTACTACAAAACAAAAATAAAAAAGAGCCAAATTAACACTCAGCATGTGATATTTGTTCTTTAAATCACAATGGTCTTTCCCCGTTTTAGAACTCAATCAGTTTCACCTCTGCTGCCTTCGCAAGGTCATGGGCATCTCTTGGGAAGATAGAGTCAGCTCCAACACAGAAGTGCTGGATGGGAAACCCTAGCTTGCTACAGATCACAGCGCCTGGAGAATTGCCGTCCATGAGGACATTCAAAATTTTCAAAAAGAGGAGAACTGAAACAAGTACTGCTGTAAGGTGCCTTCAGTGTGCTTGCATCTGTGCATTGAACCTTGGGCTGCATTCTCACCTTTGGTGTCACTGATGATGTCTCCATCACTCACGATGGACTTCCATGATGATGATGATGACATGAGAAGGCACCTGTCCAAATATCTTTTTGCTTCAGGCCCTGTCCGCACTACACAAAATTTTGCTTGTTTTTGAAAACATTTTGTCAACAAGAAGCCACTTTTATAGGGCAAAATATTTGTGACCATGAAAGGCAAAATGGACAGAAACAGAAAAATGTTTGAATGGGAAAAACGCACAGATAATGAATAAGTTCTCTTTTAGGCCATATAATGAATCCTTTATTGACCAAGCTTGTTCGGTCAAAATAGCTGGACATTGGCCTTGTGATTTTTTTGTGTTCTTATTGACCTTGACTTTGTCTCAGTCAATGAAAACACAAAAAAAGAATCTGGCCAATATTCTTGCAGCCATTGGCCTCACACTTGGTCACCAACAGATATGTTACAGGTTAAAATTAAATTCAGGTTAAAAGTTTTTAACCCAGGTTGCAGGTAGGGCTAGGGGACAAAGGAAATTGAAACTCAACCTAGGTTAAAAAAATTTAACCTGAATTTAATTTTAACCTGCAACATATACAACTAGAAGCAAATATTGAATATAATGTACACCCTGAGTATGATTTGCACACCTTTGAGTCATCAACTGGAGATACATGAAACATATTAATCAAGGCAGACGAGCCACTCCTAAGGGTAAAGAGTGATGAACGATTCTGAAAGCTATGTCCATAATTCTTGGAGATCCAGACATGACTGTTACTGTGCAATCCAGGTATTCGATCCCGTGTTAACAGCACAATAGTTTCTCTGTTGTAGTGGACATATGCCATGTAATGACTGTCATTCAGCTTAAACTGCAAGACAAAAATTACGATTACAATACTAGATCTCTTGAACTTTTGCTTCAATCACTTATTGAAACTTAATGAATGGCCTCTCCCAAGTGTTAGGCAGTTTATAACCCTACGTTAATTATAAACTAGAATGTGATATGACATGGCCAACTAATAACCATTATATATAATCCTAAACGCATCAAATTAAGCATTTTAAGCGAAGCTCAAAATCAATCAATTATAGTACTAGGGTATCTAAAAGATAGTAATGCTGCGGCACATTCTGTTGATACTGGCATTAGTTAGGCAGTGAGACTGAGACGGTAGGACTCGAACCCGGCACCTACGACTCGAAGCGACTACACCTAACCACTACAGCGCAGAGGCTGATTACGTAATCTGTAGTAAAAGTCTTTCATATTCCTTTTCCATGAAACTTCCGCCGGCAAGATGATCGCCGGCCGCATTAACCGAGCTATTAACAGTGAAAAAACAATGTAAACGCATCTTCCATGGCAATGAATGAATGAAAGAACATAATTATACTTTTCAAAACGCCGATACACGTCCTCGTCTGCAAAGTAGGACACAAAACATATGTTTTGTTATCTCGATTTCCGCTGTTATTTTGAAGCGAATGGTCAAAATCACATCCATTTTCGGCTCATACAGGTTCTTAAGAATAGCATGGCATGACATTTTCTCACTTTCACATCACCTTCTAGCAAGCTGGAATTTGTATATCCCCCGTGTTGCGGAGTCGAAGAGCAAATACTTATCTTCTCATCAGGTTTAACACCTGGACGAGTCAAAGGCTCTTGAATTGAAATCCAATCCCCAAGTTAACCATCGTACTCATCTGAAAGACTCCTGCGTGTCTTAAATTTGGTAAGACCTCTAACTGTGCTGTAGAAAATTTGCTACAAAGAAAACTCTGAGTCTGGGCAGCGAACGATGCGAACTTCCCCGTGTTTTTATTTGACTTGTTCGTGGCGCAATGCACTCTGGTTAAATGCAATGCATTGTGGTAAAAAGTGATGAATTTGAGAATTCGTCACCCCTTATATATTTCGCTTAAATCCTGATTATGTTGCTGCTCACTCCCTACGGTGGCTCCGCAGCAATAAAGCATCTCGCAGACAAGATAGCTCAGAAAGACACCGAGCCTTATCATGTTGTAATCACTTGGCTCAGGACACAGATCTCGTTTGAACTCTTAAGATCGGTACATGCATGCCTCAGAGGTTTGCGAACACCGTTTCGTAGCAAGATAGAGCAATCATTAGACTGAAAAATAAATGTCGCTAGTGCGGATATCTGAAATACGTGTCTATATGCTTTTATACTTAGGGCTTTTTATGGACACTGGTTTAGCCATCATTAGTATAATTCGATTGTATGATCTTAATATCTCTGCATAATGGAATTCTTTATTTTATAGAATTTTGAACTTTTATTATTAATTATATCTATTTCCTCTTCTTTTATGTAACTTTAAGTTACTTCTATTTTTTAGAATTTGTAAATGAATAGTTTCTTTCTTCACTTATTATATTATAGTATAAATAATAATAATAACAATAATTTCATTTTCTGTATTAACTATTATTTTTTCTTCCAAGCCTTCATGGACATACAATCCCAAAGTGGTAATTTTTATGATCTGCATGTACATTGTACATTCTGTGCCTCATTAGTCATGAAGCAAAATAATATTGGCACAGACCACGACATTTATAACTAAAAGGTTATCGTATATTATTGAGTGTACTTGAGGTTTAAGTACAGGTGTACAGAAATGTCACATGGTAAAATTGAAGATATCTCCAAAAGGAAACTTAATATTAGAGGATATCCCAATAATTTACTTGACTATGTATAAATTATGGCAACAATCATTTGTTTTTTTTTTTTTTGTTTTTTTTTTAAAAAAAAAAAAACCAATCATTTGTATTCTACTGCGTTATCAGGGCTCAAAGACAATCCTGTCTGGTCATCTGGTACCACAGCCAGACCATCTGAACTGTTGGAGGCATAGTGATGTCACACACAACATAATTTATGATCCCATACATTTACTGTATTTTGTAACACTTGCACGCAGCTTGATTCAAATGATTGGTAGAAGTGCTTCAGAAAACACAGAATTTTGCACATCCAAAATGTTCATAAATGCAAGAAAAATGAAGAACAGCCAAATCAACTTCGAATTAATGACAATTAACCTTTTTCACCTCCCAACAGCGCACTGAGTCAACACAAAGAGTATTTTGCAGTCATTCTGCTCTAATCTCAGGTTATTTTCAAATTTTGGATGCCAAGCGAAAGGCGACTTACAGCAGAAAAAAATAATCACAATATTATGCCCTGCATCAGCCGCTTCCAGCCATCATTTTCATCAGGAACGATGTGCGCTGTGGGGAGGTGAGAAGGGTTAGTTGTTGTTAATTCGAATTTAATATGGCCATTATGATCGACCACTTTGGTGCACATCCTCTGACTATGGTGATTTTGGGGCGCATGTGAAAATTTGCCTTGTCACTTTAGGTCGTTTTTGGCATAGATCTTCACAAACTATCTGGCTTTCATTTTCTATAGGCTGCGTGGTAAGGGACATGTGGAAGTGAGAGAAAATGGGCAAACTTCAGAAGGCATTGAGCTGTGGCCGGCTGCCGAATTTGCAAGCCTTTTTGTTTTATGATATGTTAGTTGGGGGTGTCAGTATCAAGTGACTGAAAACATACGGGAAGTTATCTTTCTTCACTTTCCTAACTTTATATCAACATTTGGGACCAAAAGGTGCAAAATTCTGTGTTTTATGAATGATTTCTACAAATAAATTGAATCAAGCCAAGTGTGGGCATTACAAAATACAGTAAATGTATGGGATCATGTGTCACGTGTGACATCACGTTGCCTCAAACAGGTTGGATGGTCTGCCTGTGCTGGGACAAGCAGCTTTTCTTTTTGGGCAAGTACATGTAACTGTTTAACCTCTCTAGTCTAATTAGCAAAGGTTTGACTGTACAGGTCAACTGGTACCTACAACATTACGTAACGCTAGCCTAGGGAGTATAATGGGCCTGAGCAGGCAAAATGCGAGAGCTGGACTGCTTGTCTAAAGGGGGAACTGGAATTCAAGATTTTATTGCATCCTGATTATTTAAAAAGCACGTAACAAGCAAAGGAGAATAGGAAACCCAAGGAAGGTTCAATGTTCTCTAGGAACAACCCAACAGTTACTCAAGAATGCAACTGCTATATGAAGAATGTGATGCCTTTTTTGATTTGTTTGTTTGTATTATTATTATGCAAATTCCTAAACCTTTTGAGGAATGTACACTTCACTTAATGACCACCTTAGGAAGCCTATATAAAATTAGTTTAGGAAAATTTTCCAAAATTCATTTTTCAAATGCTGAAATCACCAATCAAAAGTACTGTCAAATAGTTGTATGATTTGAGTGGTCAAAGCAGAGTTAAGATCATCCACAGACTCAAAAGTTCAAACTACATGTACATGTACAAGTCAGACAATCCTTGATGGGGTCTAGCAACTAAGTGAGAATGTTTTTAACCAAACAACAATCTGAACTTTCAAGAGGTCTTAAGTCCGTTATTACATGTACAGTGTATGTATATGTACATGTACCAGGTGAAATGTCATCTTCAAGACTTTAAAATTATTGACAAAGATGCTTCACATAGCTGTAGTTGACTTAAACACACAGTCAAACCAAAACATCTTGTTTATCACAGCCAAGTTGATAATTTCATATGGCCTGAGGCATTATTTAACCATGCATGTTAATATTTTTCACTGTCTTCCTGTTATGCAATACATGTAAAAGGTACAGGGTCAACTTAGCAAACAAGTGAGCCCAGCATTAATCATGGTTCGGACATTTTCAGACACATAAACTTCAAGGACTTTTCAAGGATTTTTTCAAGGAAAAATTACTGTTTCAAGGACTAAGATTTATTCAATAAATCGGCAGTCTTTAACCGCCTTTTGAACACCTCATGCATGGCTATAACACATCATGGAGTCATTTATGAATTTAACTTCTTCAGCCATGGTTGATCACATTATTTTATACTTTCTGCAAGTCAGCACATTGCAAATGATTTTATTGCATCTGAGGTACAGAAATAGCATTCGAAATAAAGAAGCAGAAATAAAATATTGTTTATGCACAAAAATGCTTTTACATTACCCGTAAGTTTTACAGGTTCTTGCACCAAAAGGATGAGCCCACTTTTTGTCAGCAAAAAATCAAATTTTACAGAAAATTGTGTCAGAAGTAGACAAAGTAGTGAATTTCAAGGACTTTTCAAGACCTAATAGAGAATTCAAGTACTTTTCAAGGACTTTACAAGATGACTACTAAAATGTAAGTTTCACTTGCCTTAACAAAATATTTTTTGCACTCTATCAGAAGGCCTGTTTTAACAATACAACATACACCCTTGGCTTACAAGACTAGTGCCATACAAGTAAATTATTTTGCTGTTTACGCATACAGAGCTAAGGGTTAGTGCAATCACATGGTTCTACATGGTAGACATGTAATATAAGTGTGATTATTAAATCTAGCTACCATTTCTAATTATTTGATCCACAAAATAAATCAAGCCCACAACATCCAACATCTGCACTTTACTCTGATCACTCTTCCAAAACACCATTACATTTATTTGACCAACAAGCTTCCAGGATGAGTTCCATAAATCTTTTTTTCTTTGAAGTCATAAAATATACGATGCTAATACTGGATGACCCATAAGTCACCTTGATATTCAGAAAAAACGTAGGGCAACCAGATATTAATCAAGGGACCCTATACTTGCTGGTACCAACAACAAAGTCCATTCTTTCTTTCAAAAAAATTGACATTATGACAACACCCACCAAAAAGAAGTACAGCCAGTTTCTTTGATGTCTATTTCAACTAATAACTGTCCATTTCGCTCATCTTCACTAAGGCAGCATCATTATTACACATACACAATGTGTGCTGTACAATTTGCAAAAATAAATGATGACACGAGAGTGGGCCTGAACAGAGCAATTTAATATATTGGGACACAATACAACTGCTGGGGGTGGGAGGGTAGGGTAACAAATGAGATAACTAGTGCGGACGTGATCAATGCAAAGCAATTGATACAAAATACACAACTGACACCAGATCCTATTGTGCCACTTCTATTAACCTATCTTAACATCACTTAACAAATGACCAACCAGCTGTAATTCACTTAGAAGTATTTTATATTGTGAGAGCATTAAAACTGCAATAAAGTTCAAATAAATAATAAATAATTGCAACAGCATGGTAACATCTGAGTTATTCTTTTGAACAAAATTAATGCTGTAGGTACATTGTAAGTTCTGCTCTAAAGATAAACTGGAAATATCTTTGTTTCCTACCAGTAAGATTAAGGCTACGGAGTAAAGAGAAATTTGAATCAAACTAAGTTGAATATTGGTGAAAAAGACCAACCACACTGAGAAATAAGAAATTCTAATTAGAACTATTTAACAACTCAACTGGAGGTAAGTTATGTCATCACCCATCACCTTACACCATTGGATGGCATGAGACATAAAAACGTTTTTGGATCAGACAACAGCTGAAAAGGGAAATAATTATGTTGTGTCTTGTAAATGACTTTATTTACCATGGGCAGTTATCATGGAGGAAAAAGTTTTTGTTTTTTACTTTCCTGAATTTGCTGATGCTAGGCATAATTAAATTTTTAAACAAAACTGTTGATTTCACTGCAGCTTCAACAATAAAACCAGAGATCACCTTCCTTCAAAATGGATGCCACTCAGTGCTTAGATATTCATTGTAAAACTCCTGGCGCAACACAAACATCAACTTCAGGAAACGGCAAAATTGCTTCAGCTTCATGAGCTGAAATTAAGTGACGGTCGAATGATGACCATATCTTCAATGCTAGGCGACCTGCTTGGAAATATTTCAGTCAATCAGACGCATAAAACGAGCAAACCAGGCGCTCGTAAAATCGTTGACTGACAGAAAATCGATTTCCAAGTGGTTTGGATTTCAAAGGTCGCGTAACAGTGAAAACATGGGTAAGAGAAGCAACGCGGAAGCTAGTATGACAATTGTCGTTGGAGAAATAAATATTGCATCTGATATTATTTTTCCATCGCAGGCTGAATTAAGGCACACAAATAGCAGCAAACCTTAAAAGCTTAACAAACAACTCTCACCTCATTCACGGAGGGTTTCATGTCCGGATTCAGCGATCGGCGAACTCGGGATAAAAGTTTGTGAACATTTTGGTCGCTGCTTGACTGCAGCTTGTTTTCAACTTCGTGCGCAAGCTCGAATAACTTTTTCGGCGAACCAGGAATGGGAGAACGCCTTTGAACGAACAAATGCCTAACTCTTGACTTTCCTATGGTGTCTCCCTGTATTATCCCAATCAAAGTGAGCCATAAACAGGCCAAAAACATGCTTCTCTCCATCTTTATGGAGGTGAGCAACAGTCAACTTCGCACAGTCTGGTACGAAAGGTCACGTGATAAAAATGACGTCATTTATTCCGTGACTGTGCATATCTCGCATATCTCGCTTTCTCCCACCAATCATGTACGCGCGACTCGCGCATGACTTATGAAACAAGGAAACAAGTCAAATTTTTGACGGTTACAAAAAATTGGTTTCCTCATGTTTGCAAGTTGTTGACAGTAGTTGCATGCAAATGCACATGTATGTCATAAGTGACGCTATGCCTGACTAACGATTTGAAAAAAAAGGGATTGTTCTCGCTCGTTGATTTTGATTAAATTCATGGTAGCCTGCGAAAACGTTTCTCCTCGCTCTTCGCCGCTGGGGACTTTAATTTTCGCGCGAAACGAGAAACTACGGAAGCCGAGGAGGGTCTTCCGACTTCTGACTTCCGACTTCCGACTTCCGACTTCAGATTTCAGACTCAAGACTTCATAATTCAAACTTCAGACCAGACAAAGTTCGAACTCCGGATTTCTGATTTCTGACTGTTGAGACTCAATGCTGCATGATTAGACTTCTGACCTCCCACTTCTCACTTCAGGGGCGGATCTTTCCCCCCTGAGATGACCTGCGGTTTTCTAATACAACTGGTATTCTGCCAAAAAAAAAAAAAATGAGGTTTATTGGTGTTAAAGTAGAGCAAGAGACGAGTGCACCCCCTCCTAAAAAAAAATCCTGGACCCGCCCCTGCACTTCTTACTTCCCACTTCCGACCTCCGATTTCCAACTTCCGACTTCCCACTTCCAACTTCCCACTTCTAACTTCCCACTTCCCACTTGACTCCTCTGTCGGGGTCGATTGCCGCTCGATCCGCCACCTGGGTATTAATGCTTAGGCACGGATCCACACCGTTTTCCCGGATTTTGCATAATAAATATATTTTTAGTTACTGTAATAAAAATGCTTTCCACTTTGAAATCTGGAAAATGTTGGACTCGCCCTGCCTCATATCCCCTACAATCCTGATGAAATAATCCGGCGATTTGCAAGGCTTCATCTGAGGAGAATGGAACTCGCCAATATCCAGAACCGACGAGCGACGAGGAGAGCGGAAAGGATGGCACTGCGTGCAAGTTACTTAAAAAAAAATTCACTGACAGATCCACTAAACGTCGAATGCTACTAAAAACGACAAAAACGGGTAACGGGGAGCATGGAAGAGCACTAGGAACGGGAAATTGAAAAATGAGAACCTAAAGCAGAGAAATGAAAATGAAGTTACTGATGGGGCTAAGGTTCAAAAGTTCCCGTTTTTCATTTTCCTGTTCCTCGTTTTGGTAGCATCCCTAAAGTCTGTATCCGAGCTGTATTTTTTATGTTCAGAGTTGTGTTTTTATTTTTTCCCCAAACCTTTTCACATTTTAACAAAATTCAGGTTATGTGCTCAACAAAATTATGACTTTCATAATCTTAATCTAACACGCAAACCTCTCGCTGAGCGTGGGCAGCAGTTTGGATTAGAAATGGATTCTCACTTTTCCGAACAGACTGCGTGTTGGCAACCCCAGCGTTAATTAAAGCAGCAATTTATTGATCGTGCAAAAACAAAAGAACAAAATAATGGAAAATGAAAGCGGAAAGTTTTTTACTAGAAAGGTAAGCGAAAGATACATGACATGCGATACTGGAATTCGAAACAGAAATATCCCGTAAAAATAATATAAGAAGTTAACTAAATTTGACCTTTTATTTTGGCTCTCCTTCCTCTCTTCCCCGTCAGGATCAGTCAGTAGTTTTTTTTTAATTCTTCGGAGTATATTGTCTTTTCAGTATCGTTTTTCTTTCTTTCATTCTCTTTTTTTTTCTTTTTCTTTTTTTCTTTTGCGTTTTTGGGAAGACAGCGGCAACAAGTCAGTCTCAATGAAAACGCAAAAAAAAGGAAAGAACGAGGCTAGTTTATGATATATATGTTATTGGCCAGGCATGTGGTCAAATATTTGCCAAGTCGGTTTTTTTTTCTATTTTTGTTAATTTTGAGTATTGACTGACCGAGATAAAGTCGAGCTCGATAAAAACAGCAGCCTGCGTAACAAGCGTTTCCGTTTGGTTTTGGATCAAAGAAAGACCGGGGAGCTGGATTTTCGGTTTTGGCCGCGCGAGAAAGGAAACGAGAGCCATTTTACACCGCCCTCTCCCTCCCCTTCCTGCCGTTTTACTCACGCCATTTTTCCCACAACCTTTTCCCCGAACCGCACGGAAATTAAACCCTTGCTACGTAGGCTATAAAAACATGCGTACAGAGACCGATATATACGCGTCATTGACCAGGCGTTAGGTTACAAAAGCTAGATGGCTGGATATCGGCCAAGTTCTTTTTGCGTCAGTTTTATGGACCGATTCGAAGTCAATATCAATAAAACGCAAAAAAGTTACCAAGCAAATTTCTAGCCATTTTGGACCGACCAAATTTCGGTCAATAAAAGATTTGTTATATGGCCAAAAGAGAACTTTGATTTTTCTTGTGCGGGGCCGGAACAAAGGGAAATACACTTGGGTAACCACCTCCCATTACTTTGGAGGGAGGAGGCCGTATAATGTCAGGGATGGTAGGGCACGAGAGAAATAGAGTAAATTGTGTGACTGGGCACGGCGGATTTCAACACCGGCTTTGATATTGGCAGCTGAGATATAATCAATCTCCTACTGGTTGGAGTAAATTCAAATCCATTGCCCTGGTTTGAGAAAAGGACATGGGATTTAAATGGGGTTGCTATTATTAAGGAAGAGTAGCCAAAGTTGCGTGATCCTGTGTTCACCTATTCAGCCCTCCTTCACGTGTAGTTATTGTCGACCTATTCGTATTTACTGTAAATGAACAAGGGTATGGTCGACTCAATCTTTCCCATCTTCTAATTGGATGTCACGCATGTATGCAATCGAACAGTTTTTATTTTTCGCCCCATCAGAAGGGAATCCAAGACAGTCTAGGATTAGGATTCCCCGTCGTGGATTCAGTGGAACTTAGATCCTGGATTCCTTGTATAACAAGTGGGATTCCGGATTCCTCGACTGTATTCCGGATTCCACAAGTACATTATCTACATTGTTATACTCCGCATTCCAAAACAAAAATTCAGGAATCCGGATATTCCCTTACATGGAACGATGTTTTAGCGCGCGCAAAAGAACTTACACGTCATAAACGCAGCAATGATTTGTTACTTCGCAACCAATTATCCAAATTTAAAGAAAGTTGAAATCTCGCAGTGTTTCTGATTCCTTAGAAGGTAATCTGGTTTGTCTGGAACATAGCGAGAGAAAATGCCCGGTCTTAGAGACGAAGATAAAGTGGATCCTATTGAAGCCCAGCTTGAAGCCCAAATGGAGATGTCCAATCTGCAGAGGCAGTACCGATGCATGCGCAATGACAGAAAAACTTACACTGAAGAAACTGAAAACACCGTGCGCAAACAAAACAAAACCATTGATGCTCTCTTAAAAGACAACGAAGAACTAGAGGCGATGATTCTGGTGGCAAAAAGCCGCCAAAATGAGATGTGTGATCAAGGAAACGTCGAAAAGATCGTGGAACTGCTCGATAGGGAAAAAAAAGTGCGAGAAGAAATCAAACAAGAAAAAAACGCTGTTGCGTGCGTTGAGGAGCAAGTCGCTAACATGAGGGAAACGATTAACAAACAGTGTAAGAAGATGGGAGGAGGCAAGGATGTTTACCACAAGAAACATGTCGCGAATATCAAGCTTACGCGAGTCTTGGAAAACAGGCTTGATGAGATGACCAAAAAATTTAACGATGTCTTGACCAATAATTTACACCTCCGGGAACACATAAGCCATATTGAAGGACAGAAAGTAAAGTTTCTTGATCTTTCCAAGCGTCTGCAAACAGAAATTTCAGAAGGGAAGAGAGAAATCGATCGTATCTCAGAAATAGCGACCTCGCATTTCAACGCTAGAGATGAGGCGCAGCATAGAATGGCTTCTTTACGCGAGAGGGCGGAACGAGACCTGGCTATGTACAATGCAGAAATCAAGGATGTCATGCGCGTTCTCAAGCATGATCGGAAACTCCGAGACTTCATGACGACAAAAACCGAAGATCGCTCGTCAATTCTTGAACAGGAGTTGATTGCGCGAACGCTTAAGAAGATGGAAATCCAGCTTAGTGGGCTCATACAGGAAGCGACAAAATATGAGGTGATTTTTGACCAGATCAAGGAAGCTACAGGGATCGAGGACACTGACACCTTAGTGGAGTCATTTATTGAGAAAGAAGATAAAAACTTTGCCCTGTTTAATTATGTCAACAACATGAACACTGAAATTGAATGTCTACAAGATGGAATTAAATATCTCAAAGATGAAATCGAACTGATAAAGAAAGAGGGTGTTGAGAACGATGTACGCAGAAAGGAAATCCTGCAAGAACTAGAAGAGAAAATGGTCAAGGTTACTGAGGAGTCAACTTCTGTCAAAAAGGAGTACAAGTTGACAAGGCGACTCCTAGAGCTGCTGAAGCCAAAAATCGAGGGTGTTTTCAACTCGATCAAGTGCGATCGCACCGCTATTACCAGTCTTCTCGGAGGCGGTGTAACAGTCGATGATAACAACATGTTACAGTACCTGGGTATTATTGAGCAGAAATGCAACGAGCTCTTGCAAACTAAAGCGCTGGAAAAAGTTAAGGCGGCCATTGAAGAAGCAAGAGAAACACCCATCGATGGACTTCAAGGAGCTGGACCTCACCCTGCGCATGCGAACCTCTCTATCGCACCGCCATCAATCGAAGAAGAAGGAGAACAGAGCTGGTGCGCAAATGACGCAAAACCGCTGACTGTTGAAGAAGTGCAGGCCTTGATCGTACAGGGAAATCTGCGGGGTGGTAATTTAAAAGCCACAGGGGCTGCCAAGTGCCAGGGGAAACGAAAACGGCCTTGAGTGGAATCAAATCGGAACTTTATGCTTTTAGAGACATTGCTTCTTCTTCCCTTCTTAAAGAGCTCGGGCAATTTTGAGATACAAACAATCTGTATATACATATTTTTTACAAAATAAAGATGTCTTTTGCAATAAAAAATTAAATCTCCGGTGGACATAAAACTCCGTGTTGCAGTGTGCTGGTGTCGAATGACTATGTTGCCTGATGTTATTAAAATTCTTCCTCGGGTGCAAGGTTTGAAGGGAAAAAACAAAAGAAATGGCATTGACATTAAAGAGATCAATACCTCACTTCTCAGCCTTGGTGCCTAGTATGAATTCTAGCAATTAAAAACTGTCCTATTGCGCATTTTCACTCACGTGTCCATCATTAATGAAAATGTATTGGAATAAAAGAGGTTTTTTACGTGAGAAAAGTGTTCAACTCCCACAGGATTTGTTTGGAATGCCAACATGGCCGCCGTTATTGTTTTGAAGCACCAATACGGCCGCCGTACTTACGTCATGTGAAAACGCTCTATTACTGGCAAACAAATCGAGCCCATCCGACAAGGCTTGCATTGCCCGGGCAGCGAGACTGTGAAGTTACTATAAAAAACGCTAAAATCTTTTTTTTTCGATGATTTATATTTAGCGGAAAATCAAACGCAATGCCCTGCATCAGTTTTGAGCTTTGAGCAAGCATGATGATTCTGGCCTTACGTCACTATTTTTTTTCGTGCTCTGATCTCTCTTTGGAAAAGCATTTGATCTTGTAGGTCCACGCATTCCAGTGACGGCAGTTTATAGGTAGGCTCGATTTCCGCCGTCTCCCGGGTCCGGTCTTTGATCCTCCCTTTCGTGGGGGATGAGTGCGGGCTCGTTTTCCCGAACAGCGGCTGGTAATCGAGCCTAGTTTATAGGTTTCTCACGTAATTCAAAGTAATTTCCAAGGGCCTTCTCCATACATATACAATCGTTATAAAGTGGATTGAACTAATTACCTCTAGAAAAATACTGATACCATTAACCAGGTGTGTTTCAGGTCTCATGGCTCAGTGACTTGCGTAGTGTAAAAAATCAAACAGATAAGTTTTATCCGTTGTCGTAAGCTATTGTAAGAGGTATTCAACTCTTGTAAAGCCCTGCAGACCAAAATTCTATAAAAAGCACCTTCTAAAGGAAAGATCTTTGGGAAAATGTTTTTGTAGGCCATGTTGCTTATCAACAGCTTCTACTAATTTTGATTAGTACAACTGACTGATGCAAAAGCAATAGATGAGTCGTGCTCCTCGAGATCTAGAGTGCCAGTTACAGTTGCCTTTTGGGTCAAGCCGAGGATGTTTTTTGATGAAATCTGAATTTCGGAAAAGTGAAATCCATGAAGGTGGGTATTGGTCGTCACAGTTCCCCGCCAATATCATCTTCCAAGATGTTTGCATCATAACTATCGTTAATCCTTTCCATTAAAAAATGCTGCCTATACCTTAGGACAGCAAAAACCCAATGGGGGAGTGGTAAATTTTTCAATGACCATGAAATTCAGAGTCCGGGTAGTTAGTTAATCAATTGAGGCCCTGAAAAAATTTGAAGGAAAAAAAAACTACGAATTTTTAAGAAAATGCTTTCTTCGTGAGAAGGACTCTTAAATGCTGACAAACGTCAACAAATAGCGAAAACTATAATTTCTATATGTTTGCTTTGCTCGAAATCGCGCGCATTTACAAGGCCCTAAAGCGTTTTGCTGACTTGCAAGGACCCATCTGTTAAAACGATGCCCAAAATAAAGAGATGAATCTCATAGTTTATTAGATATAATCCGTGTAAAGTTTGCTTATCATTTTCGCATAAATCATGACCTAAATTTGGAAACCGCTGAATTTCTCGAATTGGGTCTTTGCGATTTTGGTGAAACTCTGTTCAGCGCAAGGCACTAATGCGCACTATTTGTAGCCGAGAGATTTTTACGAAAAAATGCCGGCAACAGCAGATTTTCGAGTCAGACCTCAAAGGGGCGTGGCAGTATAACCACGTGACATTTACTCCGATCGCCAAAAATTTTATGTTATATTGTAGATTGATCTCTATGTTATCCATTCTATGTGTTAGACTTACGATAAAAGTAAAGGAGGGGATACCAGAGAGCTTCAAAGTAGGATGGTACCCCACCAAAAAAACTGGGTCGAGTCACCTTAATTAATTTGTTCACACTTTCAGGCCGTCGGCTCACCTAAGCACGTGCCGTTTACGCAAGGAAATTTAAAAGTGATAAGACTGAACGATTTTTTAATGGCAATTTAAATTTTTATATACTCTTACTCAAAATTGGTTTAAGAGCGAATGCACAGAAAAATCGAGCAAAATCGGCAAATCGTGGCCACAGCTCAAAACCTAACTTACCCTCATTTTCAGTCTGTAATAAGGTTTTAATGAGTTTATAACACTGCTGAGGTTTAAATTTCAAAATGCGGCCGAATTTGGGAATTATTTGAGATTTTCGATTTCAACGGTCTGCGGGCCTAAAATTAGCCGCCGAACACGGCAATATAGCCCAGGGACAGAAATGAGCTGACTTTCATAAACAAGCGAATATATTGGCAATCTTCTACTTAAATCTCAAAAAGCAGATATCTAACAATTTCTGAACGGCACATTTTTTAGATTTAGAGTATAAAATATCGACGAACCAGCAGAAATTTGAAACGTAATTTGCATAATGCTTATAAATACAACAATTTACCGCTAAAAGCAAAATCGAATTTTCTATATGGGGGAATTCTCCAAATCACCCCAAATCCCGCTTACTACCTAATGAGATATAGTACTTCAACATTATCTGAAAGTTAGTCTGGTGTTCTTGCGAACGCTTGTAAAATAGATTGATTATTTTGAGGTTATTTTGCCCCAAACAACTGCTAATTGACCCCAGGGTCAATTGACACGTGCACGACACCTTTAATAGCTCGCGGCCGCATGGCGACTGCTTGTTCTATCCAGTGTCGTCCGCAATGGCAGAGGAAAATTGCCGAAAAGAAAGGTAAGGCCCAGATCAAATGTTCATCTTTTCATGTACCGAACTTAATACCTGTTTAGGTCGACCCAAATGGTTCGAGGTTGTCTCAGGCGTCGAACTTAAAGTGTAGTCGAACTCGATTCATTTTCAGGATGTTCAATGGTCTAGAAAGTTTTAAACAAGTGAAAATAAATTTTAGTAATTTGTGCTTTAGTTTCGGCACATGAGAAGTTCGACGTTTCAACTGGGCCTAACAGTGATGATTGTAGCCGTCTTTTTATAACTTAAAACTGCATTTTTTATCAAGAAAAGATTTCTTTAACTCAAAAGGTGTTGGCTTAGGAAAGGAAAGTTCAAATAAAAACATCGACTACAGTTTTGAAAACTAGCTAGCTAGCTTTAATTTGTACCCTTATTCTTCGTATAAAACAAGGAACTCTTCTTCAGTAATTGAGCCTTCTGCGAAAGAAATGACAAGCGAGTTTCGCACATGACTTCACCGTCCTCTGTTTTGTTGTCCGATCTTAAATTGAAAATTTTTCGCGGCTTCTTACCGTCATGGCCCCAGGCCGCCCGTATACGCATCCAACTGTCCCAGCCTACCGTAGTGACCTATCTTAAAGTCCCTAATTTTAGGCCCGCAGACCGTTGAAATCGAAAATCTCAAATAATTCCCAAATTCGGCCGCATTTTGAAATTTAAACCTCAGCAGTGTTATAAATTCATTAAAACCATATTACAGACTTAAAATGAGGGTAGGTTAGGTTTTGAGCTGTGGCCACGGCCGGGGGCCACGGTTTGCTCGATTTTTCTGTGCATTCGCTCTTAACATTTAGTAAAGAGAGTTTCAGCAAATGGTTGTTCAAGTCTAAAACATATTCAGTATTATAGGGATCATAAATTAGGATCACTAGAAGGCTACAAGCTTTCTGTTGTTTCGGTTATTTTCTCTGCAATGCGAGAAGCGGCGCCCAACCGCAGCACGTCAGTCCGTTATAAGTTTATGTTAACTCAATGCTCGCAACTATACTTCTCTCCTCATATGAACCATAATTACTCATTTACGAACATGTGTTCACTCAGAATAGACAGCTTTCGAAAATGTTTCCAATACGACGATCGTTATATCGTTCACATTTGGCCGCAAGCCGTCATGTTAAACCTGCCAGTATATTTCTAATGCGTTTACATGCGGACCTTAAAATGAAGGTCTTGCTGGGAAATAGGCAGGCCAAACTTGATTGTTTAGGCATCATGCACATTGATTTAGACGAAAACAATTTCCGCTTCTCTATAGAATGTAGCTATAGAATAATTAACATTTAAAACACAATCCTCGATGAAAATTGTGTCAAATACGTCGAATGGATTTTTTCCTGTATTTCAATAGCCTCCCACGTAGGCGTTTTTAGGGGTCTTCGTATTTCGGAAGAAACACGAGCTCCCCTAAAAACGCCTGCGTGGGAGGCTAGTATTTCAATGAATAGTAATGAACGTATTTCCGAACTGGCAAGCTAAACTAATTTCGAAAATACCTCATCAACGAATACTACATATCACTAAACAAACACATTTCTACGCACAAACTCGGAAAAATTACAATTTGTGCTCTCTTTTCTTAGCTTAAAGGGGATCGCGTTTTTCTAAAGAAGTTTGTATTACTTTTTTCGAAAATGTTATTTTACCTGAATTTCTTCAATTATTTATTATTTTTATAACTACGTTTTTGGCACATCCAGTCAAAATTTTTGTACTTTTTACTTTAAATAGTTTACTTGTTCATGTTCATTTCCAGTCCAGCAAGCCATTTACTTTCCACCTACAAAAAAATTTTCATAATATTATATAAATGTCATCCCCTTTTATGGTTTTCTAGTTACTGTATCTTGAATGCTGTCGGGGTCACGTCGATTCCTCTTCTTGATGAATTATCCCCCTTTGTTGGCTGTATCTTCATTCGAAACTTTTTTATTACAATACTGGTCACAATCTGCCGAATTTCTCGATATCGCCAGCAGAGGATAAAAGGATTTAAAGAAGAATTTAGGAGAACTAAAAACTCTGTAAAATTATGAACCATCAAAACGCGGATTGGAGATACGTTTGTTAATGTGTCCAGTACTACAGAAAAAATGAGAGGAAGATAGCAAATTAGGAAAACAACATAGACGAACAAAGCGTTGAAGGCAGATTTCTTTTGTCGGAGCAGCTCTGTTGTCTGGGTATTTTGCAGCTGGATTTGGATACATTGAATTTGATTCTGATGATATCTGACTATTTTGTAGATGCGGACATATGCTACCGATGTCAAGAGAAGGCCAGCAAAGTCAACAATCGCTTGTACCAAGTTATTTTTTTCGGGAAGGGCAATAAATATGGAAGCAATTACAGCGCTAGTTGCCCATATGGACACCAAACCTTTTAAAACACGTTTTTCAGTGATAAGTCCAAGATACCGAAGATGGAGAGAAATAGCAAGAAGTCTATCCAGTGCAATGGCAGTGATATGCAAAAACGACGCACAAGCGAGAAGAAACATGAAATAGTAACATGTAGTTAAAATGTTGGGACAGAATGAAACAAAGTTGTAGTTTCCTGTCAATGCCTTTCTCAACATCGTCGCCATGATAACACCAAACATAGGTTGCAAAAACATCCCAACAGCAAGATCAGACAAAGCAAGACTGAAAAACAACTTCTTTAAATTGGCGGGAATTGAGGAGGCTTTCCACAAGGCTCGAATAACTAGTAGGTTCCCAACAGCCGCAACGACAGCAAATACCAAACTTAGAATGCACAAAATCAGCATGGAAGATTCGTGAAGGTGAAATAGGGCCGATAATCCATCCAGCCTGGCTTTGCAGAACTTGCCCGCCATGATAAGGGCTTAAGAAAAACATATGGGAAGTCATTTCGACCCATCTGTTCTTTAAACAGCCTGTCAACGGGACGAATTCATTACTTAAACATGTCGCTTATTGGCTTGTTATTGGCCAAGGCTTCATGACACGTCATGACATATTGTAGGGAAACCACTTGCAACGACTTTTTTTTCTTTAAACACTGGTTTGAAGTGTTTAATGACGCCATCTTGGCTGGAGGGCAAACACGGCTAAAATCACGGCAGTGAATGTATGGGATTTTGGCCCACTTGAAAACGCTATAACTCCGCTACAAAGAGTCGGATTAATATTTCCACAGCGAAAATAGATTTTTTAAAAGACATTTGTACTGAGATTATTTTCATGAAGTATAAAGGAAAGTTTCAGGTTATAACGACCGTAAACGAAATTTTTTTTTTTCATTATTACAAACCCTTCTAATCAACATTAGGCAAATTATATTACCATGAAATTAGAAGCCACATGAGAAGTTTTTGGCCGACACTTTTATTATTATTATAATTATTATTTTTGACGGTAGTTCTAAAAGGGGGTTGTTTAGGAAAAACCACCTTAAATGAAAAATATTAACTAAAACTATATTAGAAAGTCAAATGTTTTCATTGACAAAGATAATTAAAGTAGTCTCGATGCTGTCCTCAACCGTGCTGTTCAATAATAATTCATGATTTTAGCACCACCATACTTTTTTTGTTATCATGACCACTATTATTATTATAAAAGTATCATTTTTTTGGTTAAGAAAAAAAGAACCTGTCGGCCTGCACTTCAACTCCTGTTTTTTCCTCCTGAAGCATTTTTTGGCAGGATCTGGCAAAAATTATTTATTCGGCTGATTATTTAACAAAAGATTCAACTACAAAATTTAAAGCCACCATGTCTGACTACGTTTTTTCAGTGTGATGTTTACCCCTTTTGATTTAATGTATTTTTATTTTTTTATATTTCCTCATAGTAGCACTTTAGTTATTAGTTAGGAGCTTGCGAATATGTCTGTTATAGATATTGCAGGATCATGAAGATGATATATGTAAAATGTAAATGCATGGAGCTAGTCCAGTAGCCATCTGTTTTATCGCGAAGTGTAAGTCATTCAAATTTTCATGAAAAGTCGAGATTCGCGCGCAAAAAAACCGCCAGAGTTGGCGATGCGAAATTTAACAACCTGTTAGTTTCTTTTCCAAGATCCATAAGGACTAATTTTAATTGCTGATGCCAAATTTTTAGTTTTATCGCAAAGGAACGAGTTTAAAAACTTGTTTAAATCTTTTTCTCTTAAGTTATTCTGTATGTTTTTTTCCTTTGAAGACAATTGCTTACGCAAGTCAGTGCAAGTGTCTCTCCGTCTTTTAATTATGACTTTTTCTTGGAGAGGACAATTTAAAGTTTTTTAAGCTGATAAATTTTCATTCATTTCTAAATTTTTACTCAATTATACGTGCGGGTACATAAGAATCGTTATTAGGGCTAGCTGTTTACTCAAAAGAAAAGCGTTTAACAGAAAGTTCATGAAGAGCTTTGCTTAATAATTTGAACTTGAGGAAACATCTGTCAAGATCGATATGTCACCAAACAAAAATAAAAAACTTTACTTTAATTTCATCCACTGTTCAGCTACAATACAATACAATAGTTTATTGACACTCCCCTGGTGGGGCTTTTCAGTGACAATGCGACTAAAAAAAAAAAAACTAATTAAGATAAGAGAAGTAGTTAACAATTCGATTAAAAAGAAAGAATGCGGTGAACAATTAAGAATTAATCGTATAATAAATATTCTCACTTCGTACTATACAATATGCATATTTTAAGTTAAAATAAAATAAGATACTAGTAAGATACTAAAATACTATCATAACGTGCTTTTTAAAAAGTCAGTAATCAACTTGTTTTTCAGACAAAATTTAAAAGTAGAAATCGATTTTGCAGTTTTAAGAGTACTGTCTAGATTGTTCCAAATGTGCACCATGCGTTAGTGGAATGTTCTCTGTCCGGTACTCGACTTATACAAGGGGATGTTTAATAATTGGCAACTTCGAGTCACGCGCCCGGTGACCGCAATTCTTGTTGTAAATTGATCGCTGAGGTAATGTGGAGCTTGACCAGTCATGCATTTAAATGCCATGAGAGCGTCGCGGAAGAACAGCTTTTGTTTAATTGGAAACCAACGTAGATCTCTTAGTGCGGGGGTTATATGATCAAATTTCCTGGTACCTGTAATAATGCGCGCGGCAAAGTTCTGCACTGACTGTAGTCTACAGATACTTTTGTTCGAGGTGTTCGACCACACTGTGGAACAGTACAGTAATTTGCTAAAGACTAGTGCATTTATTACTGTCACCAGTTGGTTACGGTCAAGAACATGTTTAACCAGTTCGGGAGTATGCCAGTTTTGGAAGAAGCAATGACGTCATGATTCCATTGTTCTGCTAAAAATACGCAAAAATGGGAAAAAATAATCGCCACAAACAAGGGAGCTTTTTTTAAAGCCTGTTCCAGGTTCACTCGTTCAATATCTGGGACTTCTGAGCTAGCAGCGCTGATGAAGAAGCCTTTTCCTTGCTTTTTGAATGTCAAGAGCAGTTTCGTGCCGCATTACGGTAGTTAAAATCGACAGTTATCGAACAGCGTTCGAAGACGTCGCCGCCATCTTGACGGGCATCAAATGTAAGTACATGTCTTTATGTTTAGTTTTCAGTATCTTGCCGAATTTTTACGAAATCAAGACTAATTTTCCTCAAAACTACAACGTGTAAGGTGTGTTCAGGCAAAGTTTCATCGATGGTAACAACCTAGTAAAAATGGCAACCACACATTGAAAATTGCCAACGGACAGGAAGGGTTACTATATTGATGGTTATGCATTAGTCTGTCTATGTATTTTTAGTTATAAGCGATCAAGTCTATCTTTGGTTGTGTTCACCGGCAGTGTATGCGACTCTGATCAAGAAATCACTTTATTGATCCAGATCATGTGTGTGGAATGAGTTTTAAATCAGTGTGAGTAGGTTCTTATATTGATTTCTTATATTTTGATGAAGATGTCCGTCCAAAATGTAGACAAACATCTGGACATATTACAAACATGTTGTCGCGTTTGTGCCAAAAAGCTGGGAACAGGAACGAGGAAGACAAATGTTAAATATCTTCAGAACGACATATTTGTGCTCTGAGGGCAAAATGTTGCTTTAGATTCGTCTCATGTTACTCTGTAATAAAAAATTTAATGTCCAAATTCAACCCTTCCTCAGTAAAATCAAACATGTGTTTTTGTTTCTTTGTAGTGTGGTCACAGGCTTACCTACCACCACAAAAGCCCCTCCTCCCTCTCAAAAATGGGTAAGAGGGAAACAGGTTGGACGGGGGGGCTTATATACCTTGTGAGTGGAAGCTGACACTCAATTCAACCATTCAACCATAGAAGAGACTGTGGCCCTTATTCAAGGGGCTTTAAAGGAGATAGATGAGGAAGGAGTCATGGAAGTGGAGACTTGTGAAGATTTTCTCCACATAATGTTCAATCCCTTGCGTCAAATATTGTTTATCCTTTACAAATGCCAAATACATAATATGTTCAGTCCCTGTGCTGTGCAAAGGTCAATCTGAAACAGGAAAAATGCCACACTCTCCCCCATCAATACCTTTGCATAAGCAATAAGCCCACATTTTATGTCATAATATTGAATATGTTTGTATTTGAATAAATCCTAAATTATTGAGATTCTCTCGATGAAAAAGCATTTATATTAATGTATCCCTCCCTAATAAATAATACATGAGAGACATATTGAAAACCTATGTCAGCTGCTACTGTCTCCATTATATCAATTAAACTTTGGTTTTTGGTTTTCATGTCCAAGGTGTTAAAAAACAAGATTTTGAGATATAAGAGTGTGTATGATATGCGAGCCAGCGAGCCGTGGCAGCGAGTCATGCAGGTCAGATACGACTCATTGAAAAGAATACATAAAAATCGAAAACAGGAATACCGAAAGAATTAACTAAAAGCTAACCATGGTAAATAAGTGTTTAACCCTAAACAGCACTTAATCATAACCCTAACCCAACCTAAACCCTAATCAGTAAAAAGAATGCTCAACTGTAATCTGTAAAATTTGCAGTTTTGACTTGTTTTTACTTTATTTTTGCTGATGGTCTGCGTGACTTGCATAGCTCCCTTGCTCGTAGTTTATGTCAGGACCAGAAATAAAATGTTTATTTACAAAAAACAAAATGTAACAATAAAATTAATAATTTTTATAATTGTATCTTTACTCTGATGTGTGAGCTTTGTTTTCTTGAAAGTGCTGTTCAATAGAAACATGGAGAACTATGAAAAAGAACTTTGGAAAACTTATGTTGTGTCCATGCCAAGTGCAGCAATCATTATTATTTTGGGCCAAACCTTGTCTAATAGAATTGTTTGAGGGTCCCCACAGAGAAGACTTGGAGAAAAGTGCTCCTCAAAGTTACAATGCCTTTGGTTTGAAGGGAACCCCAGAGTTAAAAACAATAATTTAGTATTATTCGGATATACATCAAATCCCATATAAGAGGGTATTTTATAACAACCCATAACCCTGTTGATCTCTGACCTCTGGTCAAATCCGGTGCATGGACTACAAGACTAAAGTATCCCATTTCAATCAATATATCCAAAAACATGTAACAGGCATTCTTAGTTTTCCAATATGTATATTAAATTCTAAAGAGTCTCTAGCATTTGTTAAGCTTGAGCAAATAATCAGTGAACTTCAGACAGTGGAATAATTGAAAGCAGTAGGTTTTTTGGAAGCGGGACAAAGAAAAAATGATCAGGGATGATAAGCAAGATTTTCACTTTGTGGGTTTTCAAGAAGAAAACGCGAACACAATACCCTCAGAAATCCCTTGTAAACCTGTTGTATACCTGGACGGAACCGCTTCAGGACATACACCAACAGAACATCATATTCGACAAAGACAGATATTTTAC